CCCCCCGCCAGCCCACCCCGACCGGCTACCCGTCGGCCCACGCCCACTCCGGCCATTACGCCAGCCGACCACCGCTGCCGGCGCCTTCGCCCGCCCCGTCCGTCGCCTCGGCCTCGTCGCGGGCATACCAGCCCCCCGCCCACGCCAACGCCTCGACCTCATCCCTCAACAGCACCATCGACACGACCGGACCCCCGCTCGCCGTCGACGAGTCCCTGCTGGAACCCTCCGACAACGACTCCCCCAGCGGCAGCGACGAGGGCACCTTCGACCCCAGCTCCATGCGCGCCTCCATCTCCTCCGCCGCCGCCGGCAAGCGGCCCGACCACCACAAGCGCAGCTACGGCCGCGTCTTCAACGCCCGCCACGTCACCGCCGCGCGCCTGCAGAACGGCGAGCGGCCCCAGGTCCCCTCCGCCTCCGCCTACGCCCGCCCCGCCGGCGCCGGCGCCCTCGAGGTCGACCACGACGCGCCGACCGACCCGAAGATATCCGCCGCCTCGGTCGACGCCGAAGACCCCGACGACGAGGCCGCCGAGATGGACCCCACCATGGCGGTCGGCAAGATGCGGTACCGCCGCGCGGACGGTTCGCAGGTCACGAGAGGCATGGGCACGATGATGCGGTAGAGGAGAGGAAGACGAGGGGTGGAAATATGAGACGGAGCGGGAAAATAAGGAAGTCGACACGATTCGATGGATCGACCGACCGATTGAATCTGAAGGATTTTCCCTTCCTGCGATCCTTTTGCGCTTGCCCGGGGGAGGGTTTCGGGCCCTTTCCCCATCGCCCTCCCGCTCCGGCAATCCTCGAACACACACATATACACCAACCATCTCCCAGACATGAGGATATCAGACCCACCTGTCCAACGCCACGACTCCCCCTTTCACGACACGGAGTTTTTCCGGTTTTTTTTGTTCCAGGTGTTGTTTCCATTTTCCGCGCTCCTCCGGTCCTTTTGTTGTGGCCGCGATATTTCCATCTGTGCCTCTGTCGCCGACGCGCAACAGAAGCCACACGCTCTCTTTGCTCTCTCTCTCTCTCTCTCTGCTCTCACACACCGCCCTTTTTTCAATATCTCCCGTCCATAATTTTAACTCTCTCTCAATCTCTCAATCTCTCAATCTCAATCTCAATCTCACATCACAGCCCTTCTCTTTTCCCCAACTGTTTTCCAGTCCGGGAAAAAAAACACCCACCTCGATCCGCGCTGTCGACATCGACATCGTCCCTATACGCTCTCTCAAAAGGATGCATGGGATGGGAGCGACCTCGTCCGTCCACCGTGGCGATCATCCCGCGGGGCCGCCACTCCGCTCCGCTCTGCTGTGCTCTTATTGTTTGTCTGTTTGATGGTTCTATGGTTTTTCCCCTCCCCTTTTGCTCGCTTCGGGATCTCCGCGTGTCCTGTGGATACATTCCGCTGGGGAATTTCTTCCCCCTCGCCGTCTACGACCTGGGCTTTGGGCTTCGGGCATTGGGCATCGGGCATGGGCGCGGGCTTCTCTCGGCTCAGGGAGATCTCATGATGCGCCGGGAGGACGGAGGGGGAAAGGGAAGAGGCAAGGCAAGACAAGGAATGGGAAGGAAAGGAAAGGAACGGGAAGGGAAGGGAAGGAATGGGAAGGAAAGGAATGGACTGAAATCAACGGGTGGGTCGTGTCCGTCTTGTCCAGGCCATCCATCACATCAGCTGTGTTTCGGCGGATTTTTCTTTTTGGGAAGATTTCCTGTTGTTACTGTTACTGTTACTGTTGCCGTTGTCGTTTGTTTGTTTTTGTAAGGAAGAATAGATACCCATCCGCCCATCAGCCACCTCACCTCATCTCGTCTTTTCCTTCCCTCTGGTTTGTCTTTGGAAGTTGCGGGTCTCCAATGTTCGTTTGGCTCCTCTTCATACCTGGGTATTCTTTTTCCTTTTGTTTTTCTTTCCTTTCCTTCCTCTTCGCTGTTCGGAGAGAGCTGCATGGGGAATGAAGAAGGAGAAGAAGAAGAGGAAGAAGATTGTGCGAGTGGAAGGCAGGAAGGAACATGTGAATTTCAGAGGGAGGGGGAGGGGGGGTGGTCACTTCTCTGTCAAACATACTCGTGGGAACTCGGGATGTCATTGTCATTTGACCATCATCCCCGTCGTCGAGGAGATTTCGCGAGGTTTCAACCTGGCGGGCGATGGATCGAATCCATGCTTGTTCCATATGTCTGCCTGTCTGCCTGCCTGTCTGTCTGTCCCCTGTCGAGTCTCTCTCTCTCTCTCTCTCTCTCTCTCTCTCTCTCTCTCTCTCTCTCTCTCTCTCTCTCTCTCTCTCTCTCTCTCTCTCTCTCTCTTTCCCTCCCTCCTATACGAGATTAGGAGGAAGATTGCTGTAATTATGTTTATGTATGCCCAGGGCAAGGAGAAGAAGAAGAAAAAGCAAAAAAGCACTTAAAATTAATAACAAAATTAACCCCTTGGTGGGCACCCTGGAGGTTTCATTGCACTTGCTGATTACTGTACAACCGTGAGAGACCCGCTCTACATCCATTTCTCCCGTGACCTCGGCCTTCCTTGATTTGATTAATTTTTTCTTTCCCTCCTCCTCGGGGACGATCCAACTGTAAACCCATCCCTCCGCGCCACAGACCTGCAGGTACGGCGCGCCCCAGCTGCCCTCGGTCCAGCGCGGCGCGCCGCCGCCGCCGCCGAGCGGGGAGGGTCCGCCGCCCTCGTCCTCCGGGAGCAGCGTCCGCAGGCAGGAGCCGGTCCGGAGGGAGTAGACCTGCATGTGGCCGTCGCGGTCGACGGCCGCGAGCATGTCCATGCGTGGGTTGACGGCGAGGGGGAGCTGGGGGGTCTGGGTGGCGTGGGGGATCGTGAGGAGCGGGGTTGTGGTGGGTTGCGGTGGTGTGAGGGGGGCCGGGTGTGAGGGGCGGGAGGATTTCGTGAAGCGGAGATCGAAGAGCGAGATGGCGCTGGTGCTGGCCGTCAGGAGGAGGTGGGGGTTTGGGGAGACGGCGGCGCTGGGGTTGAGGGGAGCGCATGGCAAGTTGATCGTGGAGAGACCGGTCAGTCGGGAGGAGGGGAGGATGCGGGTGCTGCTGTCGTTGCTGCGAATGTCCCAGAGGCGGACTTCGCTGTGGTGATCCTGGAGGTGAACAGGTTTGGTTGGTGTGCTGTGGTTATTCCGTCTTCTCCGTCGTCCGTGTGGCGGGCCCCCGGCCGTGATATGCTGTCTGCTGGTATGCTGCTGCTGCTGCGTACCCGGATCTTTGGGAAACGGCACCACGGCAATGGCAAGCGTCCGGGGATCGAGCCAGGATATGGATGTAGCCTCCGTATCATCGTGGACCTTCAAAAATAAGGTGCGGATATCCTCTGAGATGTCAGGGATATTTATTCGCCGTCTGATCCGTTCCATATCATATACTCCCACGCCTTCTGATCCCGCCATGGCCCATGATAGCCCCGGTGACTCCGGCTGAAACTTGACGTCCACTAACGAGTGACCGCCGTAATCCTGATGCTTAATCGTTGTTTGCCGGGGACGTTGTTGAAAGCGGTCGTCTCCAGCCCGGAGCACGGAGCGCGGGTCTGTCCCTGGTTCTCCATCATATTCGAGCGTGTCCAAGGTCCACGAGGCACTGCGGTCGCAGCGGACGAAGAAGACTTTGTTCTCTTGCATGGTACATGCTAGCGCCGACACTTCACCCACGCAAGTCTCCGTGTTGGTGGCGGTGGGTAATTGGAACTGCTGCTGCCGTCGCCGCCGGGTCGGGAGGAACCAGTCTTGTCCGCCAATATAGGTCGTGGTGCGCGTGCGGTCGCCGCGTTGGCGAATCAAGACCGTCACGTTCGCGTCGGGGATGTCCTGCATATGCGTGATTCGACCTACGAAGCCATCGCTGTCGGAGACTCGTGAAGATTTCGCCTGAAGGGCGCCTAGCACGGCCTCGCTTCGCTGAGCATGGCTATGCGCGTACGGACGCTGGGACAGCTCCCTGTACAGCCCTGCACCGCCGATGAGAGGGTGTCGAAGAGCGGCAGCATGGTTCACAGTCTGAATGCGTGCGCGAGACCGGTGGTCATCTTGAGTCTTCTGGCGTTTGACCAGTCGCTCCTCGCGCAACACCTGGGATTTGGAGTATTTGGAAGCCTTCCCCGACGAGGAGACACTGTTGCGGTCGGCTTGAATGGAGAAGTACTTCTGTCTTTCTTTATCTGTTCGCAATCTGTCAGTGGGTCTCTCGCGATGTAGTGGTGCCCAGATGAGATGTAATGATTTACCAAAGTACATCCCCGGGATCTCGCCGATATACATCTTTGCGGCAATGTCGAGTCTTTTATTTTCTCATGGGCTTCGGAAAGCAATGTTCATCGATAGTTGGTTAGGAATTGTTGGAAAGGTTGAAGTTGCTCATGCTGGTGTTTGCGGATTCGTTCGTGTTTTCTCGTTCGATAGCGGCAAGGCCAGGCAATCGCTATTTACGTCCATCCTAGTATCGTTGTGGCGAAGATGCAATGAATATGATGTTGTAACAAATACGACCACCACAAGGTTGGAGAAGCGATAGATGGAATGAAATGCCCTTCAACGTCACGCTTCCCTGATACAATCATCTCGTCCACGGCTGGAAGTTGACGTATTAGGGTCAGCCAACCCCAACCCTATCAGAGGTCTCCTGATGACAACACGACAACCACGACACCAATAGGTAGATGATAGACAGCGGCCATCCCCAAGACGTAAGCCACCGATATATCGGAGCAAGTGAAAACAGGCGAAGGACAACACGACAGTCCAAATCATCAATATTCCTGCAAAGATTCAGCCCGGAGGAAGACCATCCTGGGGGGTAAAGGTACGCAACATCATCACCGCGAGGGTGGAAACCACCACCCTGTTTCTCCCCGAAATCAGATAGAAATAAGAAAACCACATCCTCCCCCATTCTCCCACTTGAGACACTCTCCTCCTAGATCATTTTCAAACCAAGCCTCCAAAAAATCGCCCGTTCCCAAACGCGAAGTGCAAAAGTACCAGAAAAGAACCAAACGAATCAAAAAAACGATGAAGCAAGCAAGCAAGAAAAACCCGAACAGAACCCCCTCAACCCAATGGAAAATCCACCCCGCAAACAATCCGATCCCTCCAGAGAGACCCAAAGCACAGGACGCCCGAAGCCGACTTTCCCAGAAAAATCCCCGTCATCATCATCGTCACTCAAATGTGAGCGCCCCGTCCCCCTAACCCAACTTCAACCGCATCTCGTACCCCACGACGCCGTTCCCCTCCGCCCACTCCCCGAGGATATGCCAGGCCGCGCGCGCGGCGCGGAGCGGCGAGGCCGCGGGGGAGATGGGCAGGCGATACGGGCCGGAGAATCTCCCCGGGGTGTGGAGGTCCGGGTCGTTCACCGCCGCCGACGCCGCCGCCGAGGAAGCGGTGTGGCGGGCGCGGTTAGCCCAGGTGCGGGGGAGTTTCTCGACCAGGGTGTCGACGTCGAGCTTCGATTCGGCTTCGCGCAGGGCCTGCTGGAGGTGGGCGTGGTATTCCAGGGCGGATTCGCGGGGGAAGGCGCCGGCCTTGTCCGCGGAGAGGGAGGGGTGGGTGGCGTAGAGGTCGAGGATGTGGGCGGTGAAGACGGCGCCGAGGTGACAGGCGAGGCCGGACAGGGCGGGGAAGGGGTCGGTCAGGCGCTTGACCAGGGGGAAGAAGCCGCGGAGGGTAATCCAGGGGCGGGGCAGGGGCGCCTGGCGCGGGTCCGAGGTGATGCAGGACTGGTCGGCGGCGGTGAAGGCGAGGAAGTAGGCGAGCACGCTCTCGAGGGATTTGACCGCCGCGAGTTTCTGCTGGACGGCCCGGTCGGCGGGGGGAGGGGTGGTGGCGGCGGCGGTGGCGTGCGCGGTGGCGGCGTGCTTGAGCTCGCGGCCGAGGGCGGAGAGGCGGGCGACCTCGGCGTCCCAGGCGGTCTGTTTGGCGGTCTTGGTCGCCGGGGTGGTGGAGCTCGGGACGGTGTTTTGCGGGTGGCTCGAAGGCGGGCGGGAGTGGGTGCCGCCGCCGGCGAGAGGGTTCGCGTTTGGGGTGGAGAAGGCGGGAGGGGTGGCCACCGCGAGCAGGCTGTCTTGTGAATGCTCGCGTTTCATGGCGGCCGCCGAGAGGAGATCTCTGCGGGTTGTGTTGGCGGCCGCGTGGGATTTATGTGTGCTTGCAGGGCCGGGCAGGGGTGAAGAGCGGCCGTGTCGGGCAGGGGTGGACGGTTGCCGGTTGGCAGCCGGGGGGTGATCCACCGCGTCTTGCTGTCGTCGACGCTGTTTGGCCGCCGCATCGGTATTTGTACTTTTCGCATCGGGCACAGGGGGACTCTCATCCGACGGGGCTCGACGTTTCTGCGTCGGCCCGACCTTTTGTGCGACGCCTTTGGCCGACACGTCGGGACGTGCGGGGCCGCCGCCACGACGATCGTTGCTGCTGTTCTCCACAATCTCGCCGTCCTCCCAGGATCTGCTTGGAAGGGTTTTGGCAGCCCGGGGTCGCATTTTCAAGATGCGGAGTATATCTTCCCGTCGCGATTTCTTGTATTTCAGTCGCACGAGCAACGTCGACTCCTCCGTGACCTCCGCCTTGACATCCCTGCTCTCTGCAACATCACCTTCCGCCACAGTCTCCAGCTCCTTGGTGGGATGCGATTTGGAGGCCTCTACGGGAGAGCTCGATCCCGTACGGGAGACATGGCGTGTGGCATTCTTTGCGGTCTTGTTCTTCTCAATGCCACCGGCGGTCGAGACAGGCGTCAATTTGCCTTCTCTGTCCTTGACAATGGTCGATGCAGTTTTGGAATTCCGCGCAGCATTCTTCCTGGCTTCCAACGCCTTGCGAATGCTTGCCGGTAGAAGAGGAGACAATCGCGGGGGGATCGCAACGTTATTCTCAGCATCGCTTTTGTCGCGAGTGATGCCCAGTGCGTTCAATGGAGATAGCTTGGTCGGCATGAGGCTCGGCGATATCCTCGGAGGCAGACCTGGAGAGCCTCGCGGAACCACATCGCTGGCCCTGAGCCTACTCTCGCGTTGTCCCAAATGATTCTGCGCTGAGACGGGTTTTGGTGGAATCGGTAGCCGTGCCTTGCTATCACTCTCAACCGGCGCATTGTTCCCAGTCCGCGCCTTCTTCGCGATCGGTGTGTCCTCCAACGATTGATGCGCCTCAACCCGACGTCCCGAGTCGGGCTTCGCCTTTTGCTCGTCCTCCCATTTCCGTTTCATGTCCGGCACGGACTTCGAGCTCGGCGCGGCAGCAGTCTTCTTCACTGGTGTCGTCCGCTCCTCGTCGTCGCCCACCGCCATCAATATGTCCTCGTTCTCAGCCTTGATCCTCTCCACAGGTCCCTTGACTGCCGGAGGTTTGCCGGGAGTTCCATTGCTCTGCGCCGCCTCGCCTTCGGGAGTGGTTGCGGCTGCCGCTTGCTTCTTCTTGTACGCATCCAAGCTGATGGTCTTCTTGGGCCCGGCCGACACAACATCGGTACGTTTCGGACGACTGTAGGTCGAGTTCGCGACTGAAACCTCTTGGGGCCGATTGGGCAGTTGTACAAACATGTTGGTGCTCGGCTCATGAAAGACGAAGGTCTGATATTGCACGACTTCCTCCTCATTGCGCCGAAAGGGAGTGGAAGCGAGCCAGGCGTCCGCGACGTGAACGTTACCGTGACGATACCGATCTTCGACGTGCTGCGGGATCGTGAGCATGTACGGGTCGGGCGCGGTGACCTTGCGTATACGATCGACCGTGGCGTCGAGCGCATCGATCAGCCCTCGCTCCTGCTTGTTCGGGGTCCATTTGGAGGCGGGCGGAGCAGTTGGCTTGTCGTGTGTAGCGTGATTCGCGACTGGCATTGTCCTCGGACGGGTGTGTCAGTCACCAACAGGGTTGCGACAGCGATGCCGCAGCGGGTGCCGAGTACGGTGGGATCATTGGTGTGCGATACTCGTATCGCTGCGGGTGGTGGTGAAGGTGAGGTCGGGCGGAGATTGGTGCGCGCGATGCGGGAACGCGAGGCGCACTTCCGTCGCGACCGCCGACGAGGGTGATGAAGGAGCGACGAGTCGTTGTGGGATGCCGTGACGGGGATTGGAGATACGTCGGGATTGTCGAGTACTGCACGGTGGTGGTGGTGGTGGTGGTGGCAGTAGCAGTAGCAGTAGTAGTAGGTATTACGACTGATGAAGATAGAGTTCGCTTGTGATACAGCCGCAACGGGCGCTGGCTTGTCGCATGACCGTTAGCGCGTCGGACTCAATTCATCGAGGCAGGAACACTCGGAGACGACGAAGCGGGCGGGACTGGACTGGAGACCGGAGACTGGAGACTGGATCCACCGGTGGGAAGACGACAATCCATGAGATGCGGGCGGTCATGTACCTACAGTGCTAACAAACAACCTTGGAATACTGCAAAATGACAATAAGCCGCGTAGTTGTCGTCCCCCTAGGCAGTGGTGGGCGCGCGCGCGTGCGGTCGATCTGTCTCTGATGTGGATGGATGGATAGATGGATTGGATGGATGGGGGATGGTCGCTCCCGGGTCGGTTCGGGTTGGGGGGCGGATTGCTGCTTGGTGGGCTGAGGCTCCGCAGTACGCCAGCGGACAATATCCCGATTGCTGGAAGCCGTGAAGATGTCGGTCCGGAGGGAAGGACGAGGTTCAGACTCGAAAACAGCGAGTTGCGGTGTGGTGGAAGGAGAGTGGAAGGAGAGTGGACAGGAGTCGTTGTTGTTGTTGTTGGAATGGGAAGGGGAGGGAGTCGGAACGGAACAGGTAGAGAGAGAGAGAGGTACTGTAGACGTATGGACGGGATAGGTGGAAGGTCGGTAGAGATGATGAACGCCGGTAAGATGAAGAAGAAGAAGAATGTATACAGTCCAGTCCAGTCCAGTCCAGTACATACATACAATACATACAATACATACAATACATACAATACATACAATACATACAATACATACAATACATACAATACATACACCATCACAGATAGAACACCATCTCCACAGGCCATGCTACAGTATCCAGATAGATACACACACACTCAGAGAGAGAGAGAGAGAGAGAGAGAGAGAGAGAGAGAGAGAGAGAGGGAGAGCGAGAGAAGGTAGGGAGAAGTACAGTCGCTACTACTCACTGTCCTGTGAGAGCTTTGCGGTTCAGGTTCACCAACGACCATCTGTACCACTTCCCGAATTCGTCTCCCACTGCCTTTCTCCTCCAGCCCTTTTGCCGATCTGTTGTTATTCATGATGGATTGTGCGTGCCAAACTCGCGATCCGGGCTCGAAATGTAGAGTAAGATCAGTCAGTCAGTCAGGTACGGTATGCATGCATGCGTGCATGCATGTCTATATGTCTATATGTATGTCTACAGAGAAAGGCGCAGAACCATCGTCATGATGAATGCGATCGGAGTATCATCCTCCACCTATCCCTCGGCAGCTCCGTCTGTCTGACGGCCACCACAGTGCATGTCGTTGTCAGCAGCCAAGTATTCCCATCAGCAGGGATACACACACGCACACTCCCGCTCATCTTCAGGTCCGGCCGTTATCGGGCAGCCGAGAGGTGATGATGGAGGAGCAGCGTGTGGCATCTCCGGGTCAGCGTTCATTGTTGCGGCCTGTCCGAATCCGGGAGGAGGCACCATCGATGATATCCCTCCAGCCGTACAAGGCGGCCCGGGGACGACCCCGATGCTATGTCTTCCATCCCTAGCCCAGGCGCCCATGTCTTTCAAACTGACCTGGGTGACCACGCCATGCTGGTGGGAGATGTTCTCGAGGCCGTAGTGATCTTTCAAGCCACTGTTGTATCGTTGCCCACTGTAGGTGTACAACATGCCATATCGCCCGAGGGAGGGAGAGCGTCTAGGGTCAAAGCCGAGAGGACTTGGAATGAACGACACCCGTGACAACAAGCAAGCGGCCCATCGATTCGCCCCATCAAATCCCATCAAATCCCATCAAATCCGCCGCCGACCCGCACTGCAACACGACAGAGAGCCACAAATCCGGCAGGTGGTTCTCACTCCAGATAAACTTACACATATCATGATATAAATTCGACACAGAAGCATCAAAAATGTATTGCGTGCGCGCGTGGCAGGGTATAACAAACACGACATGGGAAAACGCGATGAAATGGTTGGGGGGGAGGGTTCCCATCCGGACGGAAAACGTTTCCTTCCCTTCCCCCCCGGGACCGATCAGAGAGGGAGCGCGGTTTGCTGGGACGGAAATTTCGGGGAGGGAAGAAATTCGAGAGTTTGACCAGTTTGATGGATGGGAGGATTCCAGTACGTTTTCGATGGGTGGCTTTTTTTCCCGGGTGCCGTTTTCCCGGGATCGAAAATGGGATGGTGGTGATGAAGTTTGGTGGAGTGATCGTTGATGATGGTGTGCCGGAAGATATGATAGACGATTCGAAGCGAAGCGGTGTTCGGCGTTCGGAAACATATGTACATGGGATGGCGATAGACGGTCGTGTCAGGCATCTCTCCTTGGAGCTCATCATGTCGGTACTTGGCTGCAATATATACAATCAATGTCGTTTAATGCATCCCTCACGTCTATTTGTTATATCGTCCCGGGTGAGAACGTGTGTGGATTTATACATTCTACTTCCAGATCGACTGTCATGATCATAATTCGTCTTCCGTTTCGTCGTCATCATCACCATCACCATCACCATCACCGCCTCGCGTCGAGGTCTCCTGCTCTGACTTTCTACGAAAAGGCAGTCCCCGACGCGGTGGTAATGGTTCGATCGATCTTTGTACCGCGGTGTCCCCCTGCGACTGGCCACTAGTGTTCGCATCTGTACTCGGCGCGGGAGGATTATTCGCCCGTATGGAAGTGCTCGCCTCGAATTCATCCTCGTCTTCTGTCGCATCCTCGTCCTCGCCGGATTCTATCTGACGCTCTTCGTCCGAATCAACATCGTCTGCTAGGTCTTGATCGCCTGTCGCATCGTCCATGTCCTCGTCAGAAGCCGGAACGATTTCTTCTCTGGCCTTGCGCTTATTTGTTCCCGATTCCCCAGGTTGTCGGCGCGGCTTTCGAGATTGCGTGGCGGATGCCCGTGAGGTCTGAACCTCTTGTGCGACCGCCGGGTCGATCTGTGCTCGTGAAAGCAGGTGCTGCTGATCTCGGATTTTCGATTTTTTGGCATTCAACAACGCAGCAAATTTGCGAAGTAGCCCTTCTTCATGGGTTTTCTTGGCCTTGACAAGCTCATCTAGTTGTGCCGACAATTTGGCGACTTCTTCTTGTTGTTGCGTGACGGAAGTTTGAAGGCTCTCAAGCTGACGACGTAGATCATCTGACGTGGCCACCGCAGCGTCCACCCACTCAAAAGCAGCGACTTCCTCGCGCTCGTCATCTTCGTTCAGCTTGATTTCTCCGAGTCGTTGGGTGATACTGCCGACTTTCTTGCGAATCGTGATTGTTACAATTGATTTACTGATGGAGGCAACCGCTTCGACGCCGGAGTATTGATCCGGTGATATATCCTCAGGTCGAGTCTGTAGTAATGAATGCGATAGAATGCTTTTCCATTCGTTCAATGGACCGTCAAAGTTTGACGCTTGTAGTGACTTGATGGCATTGTCGAGAAGAGCTCCGTGATATAGATGCTCGTGATCGGTCGCGACGAGCTTCAAGTCCAGCAGTGAAGAGCCTGTTTGAGTGATACTTAGAAGTAAATGTTGATGATTCCCGTCAATGCGAGCTAGACGACGAATGATCGGACGGTCCATCGTGTTAGGCGTATGACAAGGTGGCGGGTGATTTCCACTGGCGATTGACACTTTGAAGCCAAAGGTTCTGGAGGGCGAAGAAGGGTCGAGCCAAAACGGACGACAGTCCCAGTATTGTTATATTCAGTGACGATGAGCAAAGTTCGTTAGGCGATTGGCTATGAGGTTGTTGTGAATATTTATTTGTGGCAGTGAAAGCGTGTTGCGCATATGTCACAGACAGACTGCGCGTGTGCACGCTGATGCCTTGCTGGTGCCTGCTTGAACACACCTTGGGCACGGCACAATGCAACAAGCGCAGGCCTGTCCACCAGACGCAATTCTCCACCAATGTTCTTACCTAGTACTTGAAACACAACGTTGGCTTGCCCGTATTAATAAAAGACGATATATTCACATTCTCATGTGAGGATGCAGAATCTGGCCGATGGGCTACAGATCCGCATTGGTATTCTACGTGTGTTGCAGATCTGGCTGTACGCGTTGCAGCTTCATCAGTGAGCTACTGGCCTATCCCTGCGCCTGTTCGCCCAGCCGACGAAAGCTCATCGTGTCCACGGGGGTTTTCGCAGATCACGTGCACGTATGCAGTACAGTATCTTCTTTACAGTACGTCGAAGGCATATGGTCTACCTAGCCCACACTTGGCAACCGGCGAGAATGGCGCAAGCCTTTCCCTGCTTTTCATCGTTGTCGTTGTGCCTGGGGCGAGGGAGGAAGGGAGGAAAGGCAGGCATACCAGTGAGGAAACGGTTGGAGGAGCAGAAGGACGATGGACAGGCGAGTACGCGCCGCTTCCTCCGCCCCGACTTCCCTGCATGCATGCATTCCCGTAAGTTCAGTATTACTATGGCGTGAACGGGGAGAGACGATATCGCTGGTGTTCGTCTCCACTTATAGCGTATGGCGGGCGGCGCGGCTGGTACAGATCTGGTTTGACGTGGGGCTAAGACGCAAGAACAACGCAGAAGATCCATCACTCTACTGTACGTCCACGTACATTAGTCCCGGACTCGGTCAAGGGGCCTTTAGTCGTGGTCTTGTTCAATGGTCGCCCGGACTGTCGTGAACAATGAGACCCTCAGCAGAACACGATCATGACACAACGGGTAGAAGAAGTCTCACGAGATCGTTCACCGGAAAATCATGGCGGGAGTGCATGAAGTCGTTTCGATGACATTCATGGATAGATGTGCCAATTGCACGCAAATCTGACTGTAAAAATCCTCGTGAGTTTCTGCATGTCCATAGAGCTTCAAAATCGACGCGACGTCACATGATTCAATTCAGCGATACGCGACGCCGCAGATCCGAGAATCCGGCGTCTCATCACCTATCATGACTACTGCCGTGGTTTGCACTCAACGCACAGAGGATGTGATGTTGGACATGCACAGTAATTGACAGTGAGAACTCGGACCTGCCAGTCAGTACTTGACAGATACGCAGTACCAATTTTCCGACCTGTTGCGTGAAGAAAACAGGAAATCGACATTTTCTCGCGTGTGCGCGTCTCCGGTCGCGACTTCTGACCAGCCTGCATCCTGTCATCGACGCAAGAAGTCCGTGCGGTCGTGACCTTTTGCTAGCGGAAACCGCCCAACCACCTCACGTCCGACCGCTCGTTGCAAACTGCCGGCCTCCTGCATGCAGGCCCAGGAGAGAGAATTCTGCCACCGAATACACCATTGTGGGCGGGACATTGCTGTCGTCCGAAACACCAACATACAGCGCTTCGACCCACGACCTTTCCTCTCCTGCTTCGGGCAGCATTCTGCGACTGCTGCGCATGCCGACGTCTCGGCTTTGCGGCGACGACACGTTCACCCTCAGCACGACGTGCAATATCCTCCACGGCCGGTCGCAACCATGGCCGCCTTATCCATCGAGAACTGGGACGACGACGCCGACTTTCAAGGCGATTTCAATGCCTTTGCACATACCAGCCATGGCTCGGCTCCTTCACAACGATCACGACTGAGCAGCCTGCGCTCCGAATCCGTCACTGGCGATGAAGATTGGAATGTGGTCATACAACCCGACAATGAATCCAGCACCACGCAAGCCATTCGCTCAGCGAAGCTTGCCGGAATCCCTCTACCAAATAATATCCCATCTAGTGCCCTCCTTGGTGGGACCATCAAACGATTAGGGAAGCGGAAATCCAAACAGAAACTACGAGACGATGATTGGGATGGGGATCTCGAAATGAGCGATCTTCCTCTCAAACTCAAACCTCGACAGGAGTTTCCATCATCATCTCTCGGCGACGACCTGGACGACTTTGACGATCTCGAGGGCAGTTTAGGCATCCGATTTGCTGGGACAAAGCGCGATACTCGTGCACGTAGCTCATCAGCATCCATGATGAGTCCGAGCTTGGACTCGGTCGCGAATGATAGCGAGATCGACGACCTCGGCGGTCTTGAGCTGCCAGAAGGTCCGATGGACTTCGAGGCCATCTTGAAGAAACGGCGGGCCGCAGATGCCGACCTGTCCGATATCTCTCAGCCGAGCCCGGCAGTCGAGCAGACAGCCACAATGAACTCTCACAAGAAATCCAAGCACCACGCCGAAGAAACAGACGACTTTGCAGGCGACTTTGACTTTGCTGGCGCCGATGTTCTCGATGTGCGGAAGCGCACCGTCAACAAAAATCTAAAAGTCAAGTCGGCCAAGCCGGCGTCCTCATCACCTCGACCTGCAACCACAATTAACTTTCACGACAAACCCACCGACAAACCCATCTACAACCGATCTCACATTCCGCGGCCAGTGTCGGGAATCAAGAATTCCTCCCGGCTCGAACCGGTCTTTGAGAGTGGCATTCCATCCGCCGTGCGGGAGCGTCGTCAACCTACCACGACCAGCGCTCAACTTCTCCGTGCAAAACGTTCGATGCCGGTCTTGCGTAATGCACCCAGCATCAATTCATTTAGCAAGCCCACTCCTTCATACGCGGCTCCCACTTCATCCAGCTTTCAATCCCCGCACACTGCGGCACACAGAGGGATGCCGATGCATTTGCGGTCAGACTCTGATCACGCTCGACGTGGCGCTCAGTCGCCACCTCTCCGATCCCATTCCCGCCTCTCCAACCAAGTGGTCCCAGACACGCCCTCACGGACATCGAGACAACGTAATGACGTCGCACCTGCAGCTCTTGCTCGGGAAGCGGCTGCAAAACGAACTTTGACCAGACCAGCTCGCCGAAGGAATTTCGGCGATGGCTCTGAGCTGGAGGTCTTTGACGATCTTCCCACGTCTTACACGAAAGAGAGTCGCTTCGTCAAAGAGCCGCAATCTCGTGGCACGTCCAAGGTGGGCCTGCGACAGACACAAAGCCGCGGTGACATTCGTGAACAATCTCGAAGACATTTTGCCATGCCCGATCGCATGATGACTCCCGCACCCAGGACTCCTGCAAGCCCCACCAAGGCATTTTATGATACTCCGACAGGGCCCACACCAAGCTATCTCCGAGACACCGCCGCGAGCCGAATCGCGAGAGAGACGAGATTGGCTAGTAACCCTCGTCCTCGAAGTGAAGGCCCTCTACAACCTCTGACCACCAACTGGAAAGCACAAGTGGCCGCTCGAAGCCCATTCTCCAGTCCGAATGCCCAACGTCAACGAGGTCGACGACCGGCGCTAATCTCGGGAATTGGTTCCCATGGCACCGCAAAGAGTAAGTTTCGTTCGCACGGACTGGTGTGCAACACGTGTGTACTTGTAAATCTAACGAACGTGATTCACAGGTGAGAAGGGAATGGTGTACAACCCACAGACCCTTCGATGGGAGGGCAATGAGAACACACTCGCGCAATTTGATATGCCGCCGGCGGAGACTCCTACCCCAACCGCACATCACCGACTACAACATGCGACTTCTTACATGGATATCCCGATCACGGACGACCTTGATTTTGAAAGCCATGACGAGGACAATAGCCTCAACAACAGTCGCAACGCAGACAACAATCACAACCTCAAGACCATGTTTAACAATGCCAAGTCTGCTTCTCCGACACGACCCGCACTCATCACCAAGATTGCCACCTCCAATAACACCGGCCACAACGTGCAAGTTCAAAATGGCATGGTTTACGATCCACAGCAAATGAAGTGGTTGAAATGGAAAGGTGGTCGTGACGCGTCTGGCCAGCTGAGTCCCTCGGTGACCTCAGGCGGCGAGGACGATGACGAAGAAGATGCATTTGCTGGAATTGATGACCTCCGCGATGAGAACGCCCCTCCTCTTCTCCCAGGTGGAGGCGATGCAGCAGCTGCCATTGCTGGAATGGCCAGCCCAGTCTCACTGGCCGCTGCCGGTGTTGGCGAGGTCCACGAAGAATTCGACATGGGACCGCGCTTCATCCAGCTGCAAAAGGATGAAGAGACAGCATGGCGCCGACGGTGCAGCGCATGGTTCGTGAACGACTCACCGCGAGCAGACCACGACTCTGGCAAATGGAGATATGCCCTGCGTGACATCTTGCCGCTCCATGAGGTTTCGGCCGAGGAGAAGGTGGCTGCGCCAGCAATCGCAGCCATCCCGACAGATGCAGAAGAATCAACACCCACAATTCAGTCAGCCACTGTAGCTGAAATCACCGTGGAAAGCACCACAGAAACAACTTCCGCAGAGGCCGGAATGGCTGGCGTCACTCTTGACCCTTTGCTTATATAAGTCTTCCCTTGGCTAGACCACCACATTGACTGCTTTTCTTTGCGTCAGCGGCGGTCGGTGCTGCGGACGCAATGCGGAAAGTCGGCTTCTGCACCGACGGGACGGAAATCGTTCCGCCTTTTTGCAGTCCACGATAGCGACCGGGCTCAACACTCACTCGTTTGTATGTGTCTCTCATGACTCGGTCGACGAGCAGTCGCAGCAGCTTCGATACTCATTCCACCTGCTGCGATCATTCCACAAAATGGAAGACAGGCTTGCCGAGCTCGCCTATAATTGCAGAATATTTAAACCTGCTCTTCGGCAAGTTTGACCATTCTCCACGGATCTTCGCGCCGATCGTCTCCACCTAATTACGACGATCATGATGATCTGGACCCGATCTTCAACCCTTCCCTTCTCTTCCTATGCCTTCCTCATCGCTGCTCATCACGATGGCAAGGATATCAGAGAAAGTTGAAGCGTGTCGTCGAAGAACACTAAATTTTTTACGATATCACGAATTTTATGACCAATAGCGGGAAAAGGGGAACAAAGGTGGCTACGGCGGTGGTAATTTTTTGATTGTACCACGAACAGAGCGAGAGGCGTTTTTTGGGTGCCGGCTAGGAGAAAAAGACAAGGTGCACGATACGAGAACCACGACCCACGAAAACGACCCACGACGACCCACGACTATGATGATCATGATGAAAACCCGATTTTGATGAGACCCATGACGACCACTTATTTAATTTCCGACGGCGCGGTAGCGGGGTGCGAGAAGCAGACGGAATGTGTGTGTGTGTGCGTGTGTGATTTGGGGTTTCCCGGCATACAATCCTCTCCGTCTCTTTCGGTCGCCTTTGCGAGTTGATTCTACGATGATTTGACATTTAAGAATTTGTTGTTGTTGAGAGAGGGTGTTTTAGAGATTAATGGGGCCAGAAGGGAGGAGTGGACCCTGATTCAAAATTACTTGCTTCTTGTTCATCTTTTTTCTCTTTTGATATTTCAAACATACCTACCTTCCGGAATCATCGAGCTCCAATGTGAGGCCATGCTATACCGTACCTGTCCCCACCCGTCATGCTCGCTGCCGCAAGATGCGTGAGATCTGCATCGGCCCATGCCTGTCTCGCCCTTTCTCACCACCCACATGGCGATGATCGTCTCATGCACAGCAGTCGAGACTGCAGCTCTGCCTCTTTCTTTCCCTCTCGTGTGGGTACCTGTGCCTGATCTGGCGGAGCTCGATGCACCAGAATGTAATCGACCTGCCGACGATGAATCGCGATGACTTTATGGTCCGTCTTCCTCGATCTAGTCGGTCATCGAGGCCGGATACACATACGGGACAGCATCGGGAACTGCGGGATTATGATAATCGCCCGAGAGAACAACAGGGTCATTTGAGAGGAGGGTGTTGGTTGGTTCTACTGCATGCCGTCTTCTTCTTCCTCTTGGTCTCGGCTGTTCTTTCAAGCAAGCTGGGTTGCAGACAAAATCTAGGTGATGTATAGTAGGATGTCTCTGTACGTCTCGATTGGGGAGGTGATTACTGCTGTCTGTATTTTCCTTTTGGTTTGTTATACTAGACCGATGAGGATTCTTGCCTGTTTGGGTGACAATTCCGTCATGTTGGGTGTAAGTGCTGAGATAGCTCCCTCCACCCATGCACACCACAGTCGTGATGTCGGGCGGGCGTTCTATGGAATCTTCTAATGCGCTTCTCTTTCTCGGTTGTCGCCGTTAGTATACTGCATGGCCATTTTCGCCGTGTTGGCCACGGGTATGCCGTATGCAGGTGGCCGATTCTCTCTTTTTGGACGTGACATGGAATAAAAACCACGTCGCCACATAAAAGCCAAGCACTATTCGGGCGTATCTATTAGTTCGCGCGTGGGCGTGTTCGGCCGTCTTCACGCCTATGGGAGACGAGGATCATCCCACGTGCTTAATTCAGACGACGTTCTTCTCACCAGAACTTCACCTCTTCCTCGCGCAGACTTACCTCCCCACCGCAACACACCCGACTCGTTTGCGATTGCTTTTCCCTGCTAACAAGCACTAGAGTTTCTTTTCCTCTTGGCAGAGGCGCAGGTTGCCTATGAGGGCCTTCCTTCCCGTGTTCGCTTGGCAGAGGCCGGCGCATCTGGACCCTTGTCTCTCGAGACTTCAGGCCTTGTTGGTATCCACCCGATATGAGATCGCTCTGCATTTCCACCGCCCGCAATACACGCTTCACAACCCTGCACAGGCCCGGTACCACCCCGGCCATGGCTGACGGCAGAGGTTCAATCGAGGTTGTCCCTCCGGCCCTACGCAGCGCCGTGACAGCATCGCCCGCCCCGCTTGGCATCCACGTGTTGGCCCTTGATGAACGAATACCACACCTCTCCGCCAATGAACGGCATGCATGGTTGACGTCCCATCGACAACGTGCTCGCCTTGTGCCCCCCGGACGACGGGCGTGGCTCCCTGGTCTGAGCGGGAAGAAGCAGCGATGTCATGGATATCGCGTAGCCTAGACGGCTCGGTGGCTGGCACAAGGCATATTGGAAGGACGATCTTGTGCCGCAATGGTGTAATGAGCTCTCTCGCAGATTTGACATTGCATGGGGTAGCATCCTCAGCATTGGGGATGGAAGCTATGGGAAGAGAAAGACTTGCCCGCGTCCATAACATCTATATATATGAGAGCTATCCGTCGTTCCCTTCATGTACGTCCATCAAGGTCTTCACGATCGTTGCTCCACCCCCCAGCGAATAGAATCGACTTCTTCCAATCAAGATGAAGTCCTTCAGCATCGTCGGCGCTGCCTCCGCCGTCCTCTCGTTATCCAGCATCGTTTCCGCTCAGACTTACCAGCGTCTCGGTGCCTGCCCTAAGCTTGGTTGTATTTTCCCTCCGGACCAGCAGGACTTCCTTGCCGGTCAATACTTCGACATCCGTCTCGAGGTTCACGCTCCGGTCAACGGCTCCGAGGCCACCAACGGCAAGCCCGACACCAACTTCTCCTTCACCATTGCAAAGGCTGGCGCGAAGGCTCAGAACGCTACCCAGTACTTTGGCCTGACCGAGCCCCGCCTCGAGTCATGGAACTTTACTTGGTTTGAGTATGTATCGCACATGATCCCACGCGATCCCGTTGAAAAAAAAAGAATGGAGTACTGATGGAAATTCCACAGGGACCTCTTCGCTGAAGATGCTAAGCGTCCTTCCGTCGTCAATGTCGCAGCCAAGGCTTACCGCCGTGTCGCTCTTTACGAGCCCGGTGAATACATTGCCACTCTCAGCTACAATGGCACTACCACCACCGCCTCATGGCTGGTTCGCTCGATGAGCGAGGTCCGCAGAACCAAGAACGTCCTCCTTTTCATCGGTGACGGCATGACCACCAACATGATCACCGCTGCCCGTCTTATTGCTCACAAGACTGTCAACGGCCGTTACCAGTCACTGATGCAGCTGGACAAATTCCCCGTTTTGGGCCACCAGATGACTCACTCTTTGGACTCGTATATCACTGACAGTGCCAACTCCGCCACTGCGCTCTACACCGGCCACAAGTCATCCGTCAACGCCCTCGGTGTTTACGCCGACTCCTCGCCGAACCCCTTTGACGACCCCAAGGTCGAGACCATCGCCGAGCTGTTCTACCGTATCTACAAGGGTCACGTCGGTATCGTCAGCACTGCTTTCATTGCCGACGCTACCCCGGCTGCCTTGACTGCCCACACCCGTGACCGTGACCAGTACGGTGCCGTTGTTGACTCTTTCGTGCACGGTATTGTCAACTACACCTGGACCGAGTGGAACGGCCCTGATGTCCTCTTCGGCGGTGGTGCCGAGCAGTTCTGCAACATCAGCGGCAAGACCTACCAGGGTTTGGACTACTACAAGGTCTTCCGTGATGCCGGTTACGCCACTGTCAACAGCAACACCACTCTCCAGGCTGCCAGCAACAAGAACAAGACCCTCGGTATCTTCTCCACCTCCAACATGGCCAAGTGGCTCGACCGCAACGTCTACACCGACAACCTCAAGGGCATCAAGAGCTCCCCCACCTGCAACGGCACCGACGCTCTCGACCAGCCCGGTCTCAAGGAGATGACCATCAAGGCCATCGACATCCTCAACAACCGTGCCGGCGACAAGGGTTGGTTCATCATGTCCGAGGCCGCCTCCATCGACAAGCAGATGCACTTGCTCGACTACGACCGTGCCCTCGGCGAGCTTCTTGAGCTCGACGACACCGTCAAGGCCTCCGTCAAGCACCTCCAGAAGCTCAACGCGCTCAAGGACACGCTGATCATCGTCACCGCCGACCACGGCCACGGTTTCGATGTCTTCGGCAGCGTCGACACCCAGTACCTCAACAACAAGACCGACGACCGCCAGAAGCGTCGCGCCGTCGGCACCTACGGCCAATCCGGCCTCTCCCAATACATCAACACCGGCAACCTCCGCTACGCCGACTCCAACTTCCCCTCCAACTGGGACCCCCGCTACACCCTCGCCCAGGGCTTCGGCGCCAACCCGGACCACCGCGAGAACTACCAGGTCCACAAGAAGGGCCCCCGCGCCGCCGCCACCAACATCACCGGCTACCTCGCCAACAACTACTTCGTCAACCCGGCCGACGCCGTCACCGGCTTCGTCGTCAACGGCACCCTGCCGACCACCAACAACCAGGGCGTGCACTCCCTCACCGACGTCCCCGTCTTCGCCCAGGGCCCGTGCTCCGAGATCTTCGGCGGCGTGTACAACTCCATCGACGTCTTCTACAAGATGGCCGAATGTCTCGGTCTGAGCCGCAGCCTCCAGCAGCAGCACCCCGGCAGCGGCCCCGGCTCCGGCGCTGGCAGCGGCGCCTCGACCAAGAGCTCCGCCGCCGCCGGCACCGCCTCGAGCAAGGCCTCCACCGCCTCCAGCAAGGCCGCCACCGGCACTACCACCGCCAAGACCACCCCGGTCGCCGCCACGACCTCCACCCGCACCGGCGGCGCCGCCGGCAGCGCCAGCGCCAGCGGTGCCTCCTCCGCCTCCTCCGCCAAAGTCTCCTCCGCCTCCGCCGCCTCCTCCTCCCCCAAGGCCTCCAGCAGCAGCTCCTCCTCCACCACCTCCAGCAAGACCTCGGCCGCGGCCCAACCCTACCAGACCGCGCCCGACAACTGGGGCAAGTACGGCTCGCAGTTCGGATACCACCAGTACGGCCCGTCGAACCCGGTCTACGCCTGCTAGGGGCCCGATCCGATGAAGCGAGGCGTTCCGCATCTGTGCATTTCCCACATGGAGTTTTCTTCTTCTTTATGGCGGCGAGGAGAGAGGGTTATGAGTACAGGGGAGTAAGGGTGGTTTAGATATTTTCATATATATACAGGTTGTTTCTCTTAACGATTTAGAAAGGAATGGGGGGTTTTTTCTTCTCCGCATTCCGTCCCGCAACTCCCCCAAAAAAAGGAAATGAAATGGAAAACAAATACCAGAAAACAAATCATAACCCGTCGAACCGCCCTCGTCTCCGTTGGTGCACGAACGTTCTAAGCATCGATACCTCTCTTCCAACCGAGAATTGATATCGAATTCATTTGTTTTTCCTCAACCTCACCCTTTTTTTCCGGTATGATGATCTTCTCCCTCGTGTCCTCGTCGGCAAAGGCCCCCCTCTCTCTCCGATTCTTCTCTCTCACTCACACTCTTTTTTGGTTGTTGTCAAAAGGGACTTTTTCACTCTTCACACAAGAACAAAAAGAGAGAAAGAAAGAAAGAAAGAAAGAAAGAAAGAAAGAAAGAAAGAAAGAAAGAAAGAAAGAAAGAAAGAAAGAAAGAAAGAAAGAAAGAAAGAAAAAAAAGCAATATGAGATCGAAACGGGATTGGATTTCATTTCCACAAACAACAACAACAACCATGATGACAACAACGACAGCAACAGAAAAAACATGGGCCATTCAACTGGATTTATGAGCGAGAAGCGAGAGATTAAAAGATCGATATGGGTATATATATATATATTTTTCGAAGAAGAGTCTATATGACGATGGCTTGGTGGGAGGCAGGCAGGGAGGGGGAGGGGGAGTGCGAGTGAAAAACCATGCGTGTCCTGTGAAAGGGGGAACACAAAGACATCGACGCCGTTTCTACGCTGGCTCGCTCGCAGGCTGGTTGGTCAAGGAGGGAGAAGAAAAAAGAGAGGGAAGAAAGGAGAAAGACAACACGACGCCATCGTCCAATCCCCCCCTCGTTTTCACTGATAAACCGATGTTGTTTTTTGTTGGGGTTTCATGGCGCCATGTCCTTGTCTTTGAGATCCGCCTCGAGGGTCCGGTCGATGTCCATGCTCGGCTTCGTCTCCCGGATGGTGGGGATGGGAGTCTGCTGTTGTTGTTGTTGTTGTTGTTGTTGTTGGTGAGCGGCTGGGTTTGTAGAGGGGACGTCCGGCGCCGAAGCGGAAGGATGCGACGTGTTGGCCGAGGCGAGACCTGCCGGCGGGGGAGCGGTTTCGGGGGAGGAAGGAGAAGAAGAAGAATGAGGGTCCTTGGGCGATGAATCAGACGCCGTGGAGCCGGTTTTGCGGACGTCCGGGGCGGAGGCCGCGCGGGCTGAGGAGGGGAGCTCTTTGCCCGTGACGGCTTCGACCGCGTTGCTGATCTCCCCGCTCTGCAGGCGCGCGGGCTGAACGGTGAGGGCGACGTCGCCGCGGGCGCGCGAGCGGGCCATGCGCTTCAGCGCCTCCTCGGTCAGGGCCTGGCGGAACATGCGTTCGAGGACGTCCTTCTTGCGGGTGCGGTGGTCGCCGACGGAGATCAGGATGCCGGCGACGATGTTGCAGGTCAGGCTGCAGGCCAGGATGGTGGCGGTCAGGGCCTGCGGGCGCACGCGGTAGTCGATGGACCAGGTGCAGGTGCCGAGGGCGATCTGGAAGAGGCTGTGGAAGTCGAGCAGGACGACGACGGCGACGAGCAGGCGGAGCGGGAAGGCGTGGTGGGTGGAGGTCTCGTGGGGTTTGTAGAAGGTGTGGGATTTGGAGAATTTGGCCTGGTGGTACTGGAGGCGTTTCTGTTGCCGCGCGGTCAGGACGGAGTATTCGGCGAGCGCGGGGTCCTCCTCGGTGCCTTTGTCCATGTCGGCGACGATGGTGTCTTCGAGGGTGGCGGCGTCGCTGGAGGGATGCCGGTCGGGAAGGTCGTTGTGGTCGACGAGCTCGGGGAGTTGCTTCTCCTGTCGGAGCCGCCATGTGAGGTGATGATAATGTGCGATGAAGCACATGTGATAGGTGTCGACGGCGCGGAACGGCGCGAGACCATCGCCCATGAGCGCGAAAAAGGCGACCAGGACGTTGTCGATCACGTCGATGATGTAGTCCTGTCGCTCTTCGTTGCCCACATAGATCCAACCGATGAGTGCAAAGACCCAAGCGGTACCGAACAAGGTCACCGAGGTGGCGTAGATGAAAACAAAGAGCCCCAAAGGTCGGCTGATGTATTTCTTGAAGCCCTTCCAGCTGCGTTTGAACCCTTCTCGGCGGGAATGTAGAAGATGTCGGACATGGTCGTTGAGTTCTTCGATGTCTTCCTCGTTCCATCCTTCAAGTGACACGCCATGAGGGAGGACCGCATACCGTGAATCACTCAGATCCGAACCGATCGATAACCGTCGCTGAGGGCCTTGATCCGAGGTCAGGTCATCCATCTCGACCCGCTCCTGACGGGTGGAATCCGCATTTCGAGGCCTCTCGCTCATGCGGGACGCGTGGGTCCCCGCTCTGGAACGGTATTTACGATCTTCGTCACCCTTGACGGACCGTAGAGACATTCGATCATGGCGAGAGGTCAGGTCATATGTGGGTCGACGGTTGACCAGGCTACCAAGATCGGGTACGAAGAGGGAGTTTTGCAAATTCGTCAAAGTACCGATTGTACGGACTTCGGGATCAATCAGATCCAATAGATCGATCACATCGGAATCGTATTCATCATGGTAGATCTCTGCCCGGCGTGGAATTCGTGAAACAGAAGTGTTGCTGCGTAAGCGTGACATGCGATTGCTGAACCCGCGAGGTCGCGTGGTCGTCCTGGAGATATCGCTCAGACCAGGTGTTGATGGCAGGCCCTCGTTGATCGCTGGCATATGTGCCTGGGGTTCACCAAGTCGCGAGGGATCGTGTTGTACGCCATCCAGGACTTCGGAACGATAGCGCTGAGGAGCAGACATGCTCCGCCGGCGGCCTGTCGTCTCCACAGGCTCAACCACAGGGCTCGCTGGTCGAGTGTCGGCCTCGCGCGTGGCTGGTCTTGTGAAGGAGCCCTGATGAGAGGGTAACCTGCGGATCCGGATCGTGGAGGGAGCTCGGAGACTCTCGAATGAAGGAAGACCGACCGGCCGGCGGGAGGTCGAGTTGTTGGGAGCAGCAGCGGCATTGTTCTGACCTGCCGGAGTCTCAGCACCCTGTACGGCAGGCGCCGAACCGTTGAAGTAGTCCATCTGAGCAAGCTCCGTGCGAAAGTAGTGAAATATGCTGAGGATGTCGGCCCGCGAGAATGATTATCGCTAGTTTGGTGGGCGGAAATTAGTCGCGATTCGACATGACTCTCGTGAAGATAAACTCGAAGCAGCCGCAGTCGTTGGTCGAGGGAGTTTGTGCGTTGGGTAAGGTCGCCGGAATGATATGCGCGTTGGTTAAATTCGTCGGGATGATAAACAGGTCGTCATGAATCGGAATTAACACTGTCCACGCTGCAGGCGTCGGGTCTGGTTGGAGATGATGTCTTTGGCACACGATGGTGAGGCAAGAGTTTGGGACGGCAGCAAGAAGAGCAAGACCAAGCAGGATTTCCCCAAAATTGTGATAAACCGATGATGGAGACACGGCACGGCACGGCTCTATTGGTGGATATGGGCGTGAGTTGGTTGGTTGGTTGGCGGACGTGGGCCAGCCGCCTCTCTGACCAGGATGGTCAAAGCAGAGAAGCAGAGATGATGTTGACGATGGTGACCGGTGGGACTCTGGTGATATCGATGGTGATATTGATGGTGGTCGTGGTGGGATCGTAGGTATGTTGTTTTTGTTGGCGGCAGTGCGATGGAAACGCGCCAAAACGGAATGTTTGGTAGCAGCTGGAGACCTGGGTAGGTTAGGTAGGTGTGTGTGTGTGTGTGTTGATGTTGATGAGGAAGGAGGAGTGGAGAGCGAGCGAGCGAGCGAGCGTGTATACAGCACAGTATACAGAACTGAACAGTCCAGCCCGGCAATTCCGCTACTGCGCAGTGATGAAATGTGATTGATTGATTATTATTATCGTCTCCCCCCCTTCGGATTGATCGTCTCTCCGCCCGTTTTATCCTTGGCCTGGGGCAAAGAAAGACAGAAAGACTGATGGAAATGATCAAATCAGGGTGAATGTCGAACGGGCGCTGGTTGGCGCTGGCCCGGATTTTACTTGGTCTGGCGTGCGCGCCGGCCGACTTTCTCATTTCCGCGCGGTCGAGAAATGACGTATTTACGGGCGCGATGGGATGGATGTTCTCGGTCAAAGATGTCCAGCGCATGTACTGTCGGTATATACTGGATTTTTATACATATATATGTATATATATGTACACTCGCTCAGACTGTACCCTCCCACAACCGGTCGATCGTACACACCTAGTATATATCAAATCGATGATAGACGAAAATATGCACAGGTTCCAAAGGGAATGTTCAGAACTCCCACCGCCGGGTCTGCCGGATCAGACGGCACCTTACAGGCACGGGCAGCGAGGATAAAGGACAGAATAGACGGAAGAGACGGAAAAGCTATGGGATGATCAGCATGGATCCCTCGTGCAAACTCACAGCCAGCGGAACAGCCAGCATAACCATCGCCACGAGCATCATGATGATGCATCCCGAGAAGATCGCCTCGACCCAGGCGGGAAAAGTTTCATCTGCTGGAGCGCATCTCTTCCAAATCCGCGGTCCCATTGTCAACCATCGCATATTCGCAGATTAAGCTTATCATTATTGTTATTATCTGATCGGGTCACACTGGACGATTTGGCCATCGGAATTACAGCTCCGATTCACAGAACAGCGCAACTGGTCGTCCACTGGGATAGCATGGTCTATCGGTGTTGGACCGGGAGCTGTATGGCTTTCGAGATTGATCCAATGTCACTGCTGTACACGGATATGTCCTTGAGATACATTCAGACCTTTACCAGTAATATTTTGCACAGCAATGTAGACATCTCAGCATCGCCACAGCACCACATCGTCAGGGGATGGCGACAACAGTGGTGAGACGGGACTCAGTTGTCTATTATGAACTGTGACGTAGGTACAACATATCAATAACATTGCCTTGGATCGAGTTTTAATGTGGTGATATGTACCTACTACCTAGTACTGAAGATTGATGTCTATATCTTTCTTTGTTCCCCGCCATATGCCGAGCTTTCTCAATGCTTGTATTGTCCGGGGTGTGGGTGTGGTAAGAGTGACCTCACATGTCCGGATTGGGCGTATAACAGTGGGCATACATACATACATACTAGGTATATACTGTACATACGTACATACCGGTCCACGAACGCCATTCACACACGCGGCCCCTCATTGGTTTGTTCGGTCGTAATCAATCAATCAATCACGTAGGGATCAACTCGAAAATCACTACAATTCAACCTCACATCTGACATACACCCGGATATCCAGACCATCGCTCATCAACATGGCGCTCATTCATACTCCCATCCCAAGTCTCAAGCTCAACGATGGCAACAGCCTCCCCATGGTACGTGACAGTCCGTCAGATGAGGATGGCGTTCGAGATGCTCCATCGATCTTCAAAGACATCCCGAATCAATCCACCGCCTCGGGACCAAATTAATCCCCAATGATTCCTCTCCAGCTCGCATTCGGGACCGGGACCGCATGGTACAAGACCGGCGACGAGTCCAAACTCGACCAGAACTGCATCGACAGCACCGTCACCGCCATCGAATTGGGCTATCACCACCTCGACGGCGCCGAGGTCTACAAGACCGAGACCGAACTCGGCATGGCCATCAAGAAGGCCGGCGTCGGCCGCGACAAGCTCTTCATCACGACCAAAGTCCTCCCGAACATCGCCGACATCCCCGCCGCCCTCAGGTTGAGTCTGCAGAAGCTCCAGGTCGACCATGTAGATCTGTACGTGTGTCGTTTCCCCATCCTACAATAACAATAACAACAACAACTCTCCTCGACCTCAGGCTAACCATCACCTCGCACCGAAACAAAAAAGCTACCTCATCCACAGCCCCTTCCACACCGAGGACAGAGCCGAACACCAGGCCCGCTGGAGACAGATGGAGGAGCTCCAGGCGCAGGGTCTGACGCGGTCCATCGGCGTGAGCAACTACCACCCGGAACACCTCGACGTCATCCTCGAGACGGCGCGGGTCCCGCCGGCGGTCAACCAGATCGAATTCCACCCGTACCTGCAACATCCGGAATGGATCGAATACCACAAGAAAAAGGTACTGCTTTCCTTATCCCCATCTCCCGTCAAAAGAGACCGAGAAGCTGACCTCTTCCGTCTCTCTCCCACAGGGCATCGCGACCAGCGCGTACGGCTCGCTCGCCGCCGTCGTCAAGCGCGGGGCGTCGTCGTCGGCGGCGGAACCGGGGCCGCTCGAGGCGAGCCTCGCGGCGCTGGCGCACAAGTACGGCGTCTCCCCCGCCGAGGTCTGCATCCGGTGGTGCATCGACCAGGACGTCGCGGTCATCACGACCTCGTCCAAGGAGCAGCGCCTGAGCGACTACCTCCGGGCTATGACGTTCAAGCTGACGCCGAGGGAGATCGGGGAGATCAATGAGGAAGGGAGAAAGAGGCATGTGAGGGGTTATTGGAACCATAAATATGGCGATGACGATCGGTCGTGAGAGAGAGAGAGAGGGAGAGAAACCGAAACCGAAATCGAAATCGCAGAGAGAGAGAGAGAGAGGAGGGAGAGAAACCGGAAATCCGCATGACGGTCCCTCGAAAGTTGAAAAGAAGAAGAAGAGACAAATGAAAGAAAAAGAAATTGAAAAAACGATCTACCCCGGGTCTATTGGTCGAAACAAATTCCGCAACGTGACATACAAAAACATCGAGGGGGACCAGCGATCGTCGGCTCTCCGGCCCAATCTCTGTCTCTCCCGCTCCCACGCCCATGCCCTCCACATCTCTCCCTCGAGCACCGGATCGTAGCAAGCAAGCGAGCGAGCCGGGAAAAGAAAAGAAAGACAAGGAGACCGCGGCCGTTCTTCACGCTCCCGTGCGACTCCACACATCTTTCCCCCTCCGTCTAAATCTTGATTTAGCTGTTCTCTGTGGGAAAAACCAGAGAACTTCGAAATACCCAGTTGAGGGTTGCCGTTCCGAACGCCGACTCGGGTGCACCACTCGGTGAGTAGGGGAAAGGCTCGCCCTGGGTAAGCCAGGCCCTTCCCTCCCAAAAGAAGAGACCGTCTCCCCGCTTTCCCTCTACCATCTCCTTTCCAAACGCGGAGGATCGGGAGTGCAGACGACAGAAAGGCTCTCTAGTGTTTGGCGGTGACCTTCTCGCCGGTGAGGTTCTGCACGGCCTCCTTGGCGACGTCGCCGAGGGCGACCATGCAGATGGTCTGCCAGATGCCCAGACCGATGCGGGGCGCGACGCCGCGGTACAGGCCCTTGAGGCCGTTGTTCTTGTAGATGTACGCGAAGGTGTTGCCGACGGTCATCTTCTTGGGCCGGTTGGGGTCGTCGGTCCGGGACTGCATCTCCACGCGCACGACCTCGATCGGCTGGTTCCAGGCGGAGAGACCGCCGCCCAGGGCGGACGCGAGGATCTTCTCGGGCGTGGTGAGTTTGGCGGATTCGTCTTTGCCGTTGAAGGAGCGGATGCCGTTTTCGCTGTTGGGGGAGAGAGAGGTTTGTGTTAGTGTGGAGGCCGTTTCAGGGGGGTTTCTGCTTTCTTTTTCCCAGTGCGGTGCTTCCTTCTTTGTATCCATCTTTTCCCAATCTCTTTTATGCCATTCATGCGCCTTGTTCCCTTAGAGAGGAAAACAGGCAGAGAACCAGCTTTCCCCAAAAAGGTAAAAGACCTAACGAAAAGGAAGAGGGAGGGAGAGAGAAAAAAAACTTACGCGACACGGCTCAGACCGAATCGGGAACCCCAGTTGGTCACCTGTCGCACCGCGACCGCATTGACACCCTTGTTGATACCGGCGATACCCTCCTTGCGGTAGATGGCCATGAAAGTCTCCATGGTGCCCGGGACCTTGGCGCCGGTGGCCGCGGCCTTGCTCTTGGTCATCTCGACCGTCTTCATGCAGGTGCAGAAACCCATGGTGGCGTAGGCCTGGGCGAGACCGCCCATCATACCACCGCTGATGCCGGCGGTGAAGTTGCTGGCGCCGACGCTCTTGGCGTAGTATTCGGTCTCGGAGGCGACGAAGATGAGGACGGCGCCCTTGGTGGAGGCTTCGATCCAGGCCCAGGGGATGAGACCTTGGTAGACTGTTTTTCGGAGGAAGACGACGGTCAGCGGGAACGATTCGAGGCTGGCCGAACAAGGAACGATGGAAGGTTTGAGAGGAGGGATAGCGTTGCAGACTCACATCCAAAGACACCACCACGGCTCCAGATGCGCGAGACCGCCCCGGCGAAACCGTCAGCGCGGTTCGCGGCCATGGTGGTCTTCATCACCTCGAGCGGCTGACCGAGGGTGGAGACCTCGAACATGTTGAGGGCGGAACCGACCAACAAGTTGCTGAACTTGATCGGCGGCTTCTCGAGCTTCGTGCTCTCGTTGATTGCGGAGGTAGGGGCCATTGCTGCGGTATGGAAGAGGTTTTCCGATTAGGAGGGTGGAGAGTAAATGTGCCTGACCGAGGCGATTGGATCGGCTTCGTTGCCTGGAAGGATGGAATATAGGTATATGGGAGAGTCGGCGGAGGAGGAAGACGCGCGGAGAGGTTGCGACGGTTGACGGCGGAGTGGAGAGTGGAGAGAGAGGACGACGGCGACAAGGTCAATTGATGAGGATATTGGTGATGATGATGATGGGGATGACGGTGGTGATAGTTGCAGTTGTACAGTAAGAGATAGGGAAATTAGAAATTCAATGGGGAAAAGCTCTCTAGCCCAGTGCAGTAGCTGTGGACCTGTAGTGGTAGCGGTCGGGTAGTAAAGAGTAAAGATAGCAGCAAGCAGTTTTAGCGAGAAACGGGGGGAGAAAAGCTGGGGAATCGCTCAACGGAGAGAGAGAGAGAGAGAGTCTCGCTAGCGAACCGACTTCCCAGCTCCTCCAGGCTTTCCATCTCTGTCGCTCTCTCTGCCTCTCCCTCTCTCATCTCTGTCGCTCTCTCTGCCTCTCCCTCTCTCATCTCTGTCGCTCTCTCTGCCTCTCCCTCTCTCTCTGCCCTGTCTTCCTGCCCTGTCTCTCTCGTGTGCCGCGGCGGAAAATCCCATACATAGTTCGGAGGATATTTTAGTATACATCGTCCTCCATGAAATCTGGGGGGGAGGGAGGCCAGAGCGCGCCCGTTTTTTTTCGCAGTGTTCAGTCCCCATGCGCTCGCTCGCTATACAAGAGACCCGTCGCAATCCCTGTCCCGGTCGCTTTGCATCGCGGAGACAATCTTACGTGTGATCGGTCCTAATCATTGTCATCCTCGATCGTGTGAGAGGGAGAGAGAGAGGCGGCGATGCGACAGGAAAGCCATCCGGTGCGATGTCTCTCGGCGGTGATGAAGAGAGAAAGGCCGGACCACCCGCGCGCCCGCCCCCAACATTCATCAATAACGTGAATTATCCCCGGAAACCGATGAGATTTGTTTTAGTGATGAGACGACAACACCGCCCAAGCACTGGGCTGTGAAACAGTAATAAGTAGGAGGAGGAGCGAAGTCTCCACTGGGAGGAGCACGAGGAGGTCTTCACACAGGGACGGAAGATATTCGAGTCCCATCGCTGATTGAAGTATATCTAGGTAGAGTGATTTGTCCCTGGCCCATCGTTCACACTGTTACTATCATCGTCGTGCTTGGATACCGTGAACCTTGGAAGTAACGAGTTCTCAATCATCAGTTCCCTCCCCGTCGTGTCTCGCCCTCCCACCCAGATAGACAAACAGCAACGAGCAGAGTCCACGACATCAGTGTGTACAGTGTAGAATCTCATTGCAGAATTCCGGGACCATACCCATACATACACATGCAGGTCTTTGCTGGGATGATGGATCCTTGTTCTTTTATTTCTGTTGATGCCGGAAATAATCTTAGATTTGCCGTGCGACACACAGGAATTTCCCACCGTCTCTCTCTCTCTCTCTCTCTCTCTCTCTCTCTCTCTCTCTCTCTCTCTCTCTCTCTCTCTCTCTCTCTCTCTCTCTCTCTCTCTCTCTCTCTCTCTCTCAACCGAACAGCGCGTCGGCTTTTCTCTACTTCTCGCTCTCTCAAAACCTGCTTAGGGGGAGGACGAAAAAGAAAGAAGGATCTTGAACCCTGAACGGGTGTCATCGGTGGGTCACTGATGCATCCCGTCGACCGTTGAGTCGAATCGTACTAGGAGGAACAGTCTCGTGGGCAGAGAAGCATCTGGGCGTCCCTCTCGAGTGGGAGAGATTCGCTGCTGGCTTGGGGATCGGAGCACATAGAGAGAGAGACAGAGAGAGTGTGTGTGTGCAAGCGAACCTACGATACTCCCTTTGTGGTTATCACTTCATCTTTCAGTCGCTTCCCAATCTGAGGCGGACATCATCATCATCATCATCATGGGTCAACACAGGTGCACGGAGCGGCATGACAACAACGGAATGAAGGCGGGGAGTTTTTTCTCATTTTAATGGTACATAGGTGTCAGTTGAGGTGGGTGGGAAGGAGCGGCGGATTGGGCACACCCCCTTCGACTCCAACCCATCACCACCACCGGGAGAACGGAGGCGTGGGAGCCCAGGGAAGCGCTACGACGGCTGGCATCCTCGGAGGGGTGTACTTGTCCTTCGTGGTGGCCTCCTCGTGCTCGGCTTCGGAAAGCACGCTCCGTCCTTCTTGCTCTCTCCTCGATATTTTCTTTTCGACGATATAAAGCTGGGTTCGATACTGGAGACGATGCTTCCCCCCTTTTTCTGATCAAAAACGTGGTATAGTGACGAAGAAGTGCAAAAAGGTGGTGCAGAAACAAGACTTCGGATGGCGCGTCACCGAGGAAGATTCCAGTCCTTCATGCAGATGGATTGGCGAAAGGCATTGTCACGCACGAGTTTCGGTTGGTGCTTCCATTTAAATCTTGGCACCGACGAGCTTGGCCCAGTGAGCAGTGTCGAACGACTTGGGACGCTCGATGGGCGCACCGACGGCACGGTCGATGATGAGCTGAGGGAGGACACCGAGCGCACGGCTGACACCGAAGAGGACGGTGTAGAAGTTCTCCTCAGTGAGGCCGTAGTACTGGAGCAAGACACCGGAGTGGGCGTCGACGTTGGGGTACGGGTTCTTGGTCTTGCCGTGCTCGGTCAACACGCCGGGCGCGATCTTGTACACCTGCGAGACGAGCTTGAACATCGGGTCGTCGGGGAGGTGCTTGATGGCGAACTCGCGCTGGGAGACGTAACGCGGGTCGGTCTTGCGGAGGACGGCGTGGCCGTAGCCGGGAACGACACGGCCGGCCTTGAGGGTGTCCCACAGGTACTTGGTGATGTTCTCGTCGGACAAGTCGGAGCCGACCGAGGCCTTCATCTCCTGGAGCCACTTGAGGACCTCCTGGTTGGCGAGGCCGTGGAGGGGACCGGCGAGACCGTTCAGACCAGCGGCGAGGGAGAGGAAAGGAGAGCTGAGCGCGGAACCGACCAGGTGGGTGGTGTGGGCGGAGACGTTACCACCCTCGTGGTCGGAGTGGATGGTGAGGTAGAGGCGCATCAGCTCGACAAAGTCCTTGTTCTCGGAGAAACCGAGCTGGTTGGCCAAGTTGTAGCCGTAGTCCTTGTCCTTCTGCACGGCGGGGACCTTGCCGTCTTTGTAGACGTTGCGGTAGATGCGGGCGGCGATGGTGGGCAGCTTCGCGATGAGGTCCATGCTGTCCTCGAAGGTGTGCTCCCAGTACTCGGCCTTCTTCATGCCCTTGGCGTAGGCCTTGGCGAAGGAGGACTCGTGCTCGAGGGCGACGACGGCGAGGGAGAGCTGGGCCATGGGGTGGAGGTCGGACGGGCAGCGGTCGATGAGCTCGGTGACGAAGCTGGGGACATCGGAGCGAGCGGCCCACTCGGCGGAGAGGTCACGAACCTGCTGCTCGGAGGGAACCTCGCCGGTCAAGAGGAGCCAGAAGAGACCCTCGGGCAGAGGCTCAGAGCCACCGGGGGCCTTGGGAAGGAGCTCCTGGCATTCGGGGATGGTCTTGCCGCGGAAACGGATGCCCTCCTCGGAGTCGAGGACGGAACCCTCCCAGACGAGGGACTTGATACCACGGGCACCACCGTAGACCTGGTCCAAGGTGACCTCGCCGATGACCTTGTTACCGTACTCTTTCCGCAGCTTCTTGATCTGCTCAATCTTCTCGGGCAGCGAGGCGGCGAAGGTCTCTTTGAGGGACTGTTGATGGGTTTCAATTTAGTGGGCGTTCGGTGAGGTTTGTATGCGTACGCCGCGCTCAATGGTGTGGCATTGGCGCAGCTGGCGAGAAAGCATCGGGACTTACTGCGGTCTTGCTCGGGGTCGCGTATGTTCGGGCGAGGTTGAAAGCGGTCTTTTGCGTCCATGAGAAGGCAGGCTGGGGAGCCATTGTGCGGCGCAGAGCAGCGCGGGAGAAGGTGTTGAGAGCCATCGTCACGATCGTTCCGAGGCAATCTAGAGGAGGTTTAAAAAGATGGAACTGTCGTCCGCCGGGACAAGGATAGATCCTCTGTTGAGAAGCGCAAAGGTCAGATGATGAAAGTCAAGTCGGACAACGGATCAGATGGATCCCCGTGAGGTCCGACGATGGATGGAGATGACGAACCTGGGTAGGAAGAGGGAGGGATATTATTGATGGAGATGGTGGAGGTGGAGGTGGAGGTGGAAAAGTCTCACGATGGAAGAAAGACTCTAGAAAGATGTGATGAGAGAAGGTGTGTGTGTTGACGGCAGCGCCGGTAATGACACCACGCCCGGGCATGAATGGGTAGCTCTGGCGCTGGCTGGCTGGCTGGCTGGGTGAGCGACGAAAACTCCCGTCCGAGCTGCGGCTGACGGACGGGTGAATTTGGGGGCGCTCGGACTGTATACCTAGGTAGTAATAATAATAATAATAATAATACACAGCTTCTGCTACTACTGATGAGAGCTTCTCCTACGGACCACAGTGCAGTACAATGTTAGTACAATGCTGTACATTTTATTACACACAGCAACCCCCGATTCCCGCCCGTTGATGCTGCTGCTGGTGTTGTTGCTGCGGCTGGCTGTCACCAAAAAAAATAAAGAATAAAAAAAATTGAATCCTCCCTCCCCCGAAAGCCGACGTTGATCCGCATCCCGCCCGCCAACTCCCACCCGAACAGTAAACCCACGATCCATGCCATGCCATACCATGATGATGATGCAACGCCCGACCTCGACCAAACCGTTTGGGCTGACCTGTATGTACCTCTCAGATGTATATCTCACGCGTGGGTTGATAGATACCTGGTAGTCCTCTCCGGCCCTGCACGGGTTCATCTCCACGCATCATTCCAAAATCAGTAGACATTTTCAAAATGATAAGCACGATGGTGGACTCTTCCGACTCGTCCTGCATCGCGCAAGGGTTCTCCTCTCGGCGGTTGGCGGGAAAGAAAGAGAAAAAACACCCCCAAGCTCTTCCGACGGGTTCACTTGATCGATGCCATCCGTAGATATTTACTAGTGCAGGTGCTGGGCCATTTCATCAGTCCATGATGCTTGTTTGGGCAACATTAGATTCAACGAACATCTATCCGCTGCCAAGTCTCCTAGCAGTCATGAAGCCGAGTCCGCCGGTCTCCCAGCGTTGCGTCGGGCCTTTGATCGACAAAACGACATGTGATAGATGATGACCTTCGCGGAATATCATTAATCCTGCCCTTCGATCCGCATCTAACGATACAGGACAGTCCAGTGCGGTGCGGTGCAGTACATGTCGGAGACCCTTCCTGCAGAGAAGCATCGCGACATGCACATGCGTCAACGTCATGTAATAACCGTGATTGGCGCATGTGAGAGATAGCGCCCACTGATATCATAACCCTTGCGGTATTGGGAGGAGATACGCACCGAGGGTATACAGCACACTGCCCGGTTGCGATCTCGGACAGAGTCATCCTCTCTTGGAAGCAGAAACACCAACAGACGGATCAGAGATGGATATTGTTCCTCGGCCTCTCGCGGCTTTTGCAAAACAATCGCCAGCTTTGCATATAGCCGGCCGCTCGTCTCGCTCGTCCCTGGAGACCTCATTCGTGCATCACCAGGGCACGCTCCCATCCATCATCGTCAATTTGGCTCCATTTAGGGCTTTGTTTTCGGCACACCTCCAGGGCTTCCACGGTTATCACCTCTCTTGAAAGTTATTATTATTATTATCATTCCAGCGGGCGAACATTCGCAACCCGCTCATTGATTAGCCTTCGCTCGTCATGCTTCGGCGCTCTTTCGTGGCCGATGCGCCATCGTGACCAGATCGCATCTTCGCATATGCCTCGGACATGGGGAGAACATGGGGAAAGCTTTCTCGCAAGCCGGCGGGAACTTTCCTGCCGAGCACATACATAGTGGATTTTCCATCTTGTTGGGTGGGTTGTTCGAGTGGTGGCGGGCGCAGAGAAAGCTCGTGTGTTCCAACTTCTTTTTCCTTCTTGTTTGGGAACACCGACACTGATCGAAAGCGATCCGGGCACATGCACATCAACGGATCGCTGTCATCCTCCCTCAGGACGGAGAGGACCTCATCGGGACCATTCTAGGTTTCATCGCTCGCGTACCATCATACACCTGCACTGTACTGTACATGGCAGGGATATGGCGATGCCCGCGCTTCGTCGCTCATCACAGTCAGATACTCCGACGGATGAACGAGGTCGGTATACCGGCAGTTCGGCTTCGGCGTTCGGGTAAGCTTGTGTGCCGAAGTCGGCGGCATCATAAGAGTTGTAGTTTCTAATTGCTCTCATCATTCTATTTCCATATCTATGGAGGGCCTTAAAAGGCGGGTAAGCCGAGTGCTAATGATGATACTGCCTTAAAACTCCGTCCGCTCGTGTGTTCACAGAGGACGCAAGGGTGGCTGGAACAAAACAATGCACTCCAACACACGCAGATTCCCGAAATTTCGATGTTTACAGTAGCAGTGCCTTCCCGGGCGGATTGTGCGGAACAGCGCATGTTCCCACAAGATGAGAAGCATTCTGAAGCCATCCTGTGCAGTCGGTCTTCTTGCACACTTCCCTGGCGGAATGATGGACAGTTCGAGATATCTCATTTACGTTACGCTACTTGGTACATTAATTCTCTCATACCGATAGGTACGTTAGTAGTGACGGATCTCATGACGACGCAGACTTGTAACATTATTCCCGTGCATGATATTTCCATTTATTCGTATTTCCGAGTGTTTCGTCGGGTGGCCGCATGGCTGTCAGCAGACGACTGCCGAAGTCGTCACGTGGCTGCTGAGACCCGAGAAGCCGCCGTCGCTGTTGGGATCCAGCCAAGTCTTCCATCTGTCACCAGCCTCTTCTCCTTCTTCTCAACTTCATTCATCCCATCCTCCACTCCTTTCTCGTGTTCCTCCATCGCATCAACAGCCTCTACGTAGCAGGCCGACTCCAATCGACAAAGCGCATCTCACGTGTTTTACGCGAAAGCAGCGGTAGCATTTGCTTCAACCACCTTGCCGAAATTTTCGTCGTCGAATTTCATCCTTTGCGTGTCACGAACCTGCACCTCGTCGCCTTCCAAACAGCGGCACGGCGCGCGTCCACTCGTCGAGTCATCGCGCATCTGTTGTCTTTTAACTAACAAGGTGATACCATTTCACGCCTCGGGCATCATTCTAGCAAACGACAAGCGTCGAGTCGGCTTGTTTTTTAAGCAAAAATTGAACGTCCACATACAGGCATTGTTCGCGCACATTCCAGAGTAATCTCAGGTGTTTCAATCAGTAGTTGTAACATCCACGGATTCTCTCTAGACTTTCCTGACGGAACGCTACATTTGGATACCTACTTCCTGACCCGTGCCTACATAGTACGAGTGAGTAGGCGGTCGCGTAGAGCGTAGCCAACGTCCGTGTCGTACAGCCATCTTCACCTGGTCAAGAGAATATCAGAGGAGACATCGTGTGGCTGATAAAACCTTCACGTGTCGTGCGAGCGAAGACTACAAGTTTGCATAATCACATCGACAGCCGGTCCGTTGTGTTCCCATTGCTCTCGCAGCCGAATAACGACCCGGCAAGGCACAGTAGCTGCTCTAAGACGTCGCAGTACCGACTCTGATCAGAGTGATCACATCGCGCTCCACGTAGGCCATTGACGAGGAGATCGTCATTGATCGAGCGTGACCAGCGCTGCGCATAGCAAGCACCACCATCTTGCGGATAGGCTATACCTTCAGTAGACAATATGGCCGCATCAACACCAACTGTAGATGACCTAGACGGACTGCTAGCGTCTTTGAACTCGCTCAAACCACCGGGCGCCAGCAAGACCAAGATCACCACCATTACCACCCTGTGTGTGAATAATATTCAGGTAAGTGTTCAGTACTATCATTGCGACGATCTTGTCGAAAGAGTCGACGCGGCCAGGCCTAACAGGCCTTTGCCCGCCGCACGATGTGTTAATGTCATCCCTGGAGACCACGAACTAACATCTCTACCATCCAGGCCGAGTCCAGCCTTGTACAGTCATTCTACCGAGCATTGAAGAAAGCACCATCAACCCACAAATTAGGCGCGTTGTACGTCATTGATAGTGTAGTACGACAATGGATCGAAAAAGCAAAAGCAGCGGGACAGGATTTACATGTGGAAGGACGAGGAGAGCCCGGCACATATCCCGCTGCTGTTAAACGCGTCACGGAGCTCATGCCGGCGCTGTTTGATGATATGATGAAGGACATCCCTACAGAACAAAAGCCCAAGCTTGAGAACATGATCACGATCTGGGAGCGTGCCAACACATTCCCGGCAAAGATGCTTGGCGAGTTCAAGAGTAGACTGAAAGGTGAAGGTGCTCCATCTGGGCAAACTGCTGCTCTTCAGACTGCTTCAACAGCACCCTCAGAAGTGCAAGTGGCACCTGTTCCAACGCGGCCTATAATGACACCCGTAGGATATCCTCCTCGTCACTTGTATGAGCAAGGTCTTGCGGCGCCTCTAGCAACTAACGGCCCGCCTCGGCCAGCACCTCCTCCATCTTCACTTAGGTCGCCGCCAGCTGCTCCGCCCTCGGACGTAAACAGTATTCTAGCTGCATTGTCCAAAGCTGCCCCTGTATCTCAACCTCCTCCAGCCATGCCAGTCAGCACCCCAAATCAAGCTTCTGCACCAGCAGCTCAGCTGCCACCTGGCATTGCAGCTCTGTTTGCCCAGCAGCAACATGCAGCAGCACCTCCGCCTCCTATTCAGCAGCAGTATCAACAGCCTGCGCCATCTTTCCCTTATATGCCACAGCCTGACGCAAACCCCTCATATCAGGCGCAGGCTCCGTATGGCGGATATCCTCTACAGCCGCCGTCTTCCGTGCCACAATCGTATTCCGCAGCACCGCCACCACAGCAAGCATATGCACCACCGCAGAATGATCCCTTGGCCCCACTACGAGGACTCCTTCCAGAGAATATCCTGAACGACACACAGAAGCTGATTCCAGCACTGCAACTCCTCCAGGACTTACAAAAGAATGGTATTCCTCCTGAACAATGGGCGCCTGTACTGAAGGGCTTCGAAGAACAATATCAGCCTCAGCAACAAGCAGGGTTCAACGGCCAAGCAAACTTCGGTCGAGGACAAGATCGTGATCGCAGCCGCAGTCCCGATAGGGGCGCACGCAACGGCCGCGATAGCCCAGTGTACGGCTCCTATGATCCCAACAATCGTCGCGATGGGGATGATGATCGCAATGGACGTGGCCGAGGGCCAGCACCATCGCGCTTCCGACAGCGATCTCCACCCATGGCTTCTCGCGACAATCCTTCCGCCATCGCCATGAACGGCAAGCCCATGCAACCCAAAATCATCGGATACGACGCCAACTTGCCTCACGGCTACATCAAAGTCATGTCCCGCACTCTATTCGTCGGCGGCGCCAATGGCAGTCAAGCCGAGATCCAGGCCCTATTCGAGCGCTTCGGCGTGGTCCAAACATGTATCGCCAACCGCGACAAACGCCACGCCTTCGTCAAGATGACCACCCGCAATTTCGCGCTCGACGCCAAGCAAAACATGGAAGACATGCAAGCCCGCAACGACCGCGACGTCATGAACATCGCCCGCCAGACCAAATGGGGCGTCGGCTTCGGCCCCCGCGAATGCTGCGACTACGCCAAAGGTGAAAGCGTCATCCCGATCGACAAACTCACCGACGCCGATACCAAATGGCTGCTCACCGCCGAATACGGTGGCACCGGCGGCCGCCCCATCGAGAGCGGCATGGTCCTCGAGGAGCCGGACATTGAAATCGGCGCCGGAGTCAGCAGCAAGGCCATGAGCAAGCGCGTCGGCCCCGACATGTCCGGCCAGCCGACCAAGCGCCAGCGAGATGACCGCGCCGGCGGTCAGGGCCCCGGTGGCCGACACGGTGGGGGACACCACCACAACCGCAACAAAGGTGGCGATCATGCATACGGCAATGGAGGCGGCGCTGGAAATGGCCAGCAACCTCCGATAAACCCCTACAGCTATGCCCGCCCCGAGCCCGTGGCGGTCGCGACGCCCCCCGCTGTGCCGGGCTTTGGCTTCAGTTTGAACCTCCCTCAGAGCGGAGGTGGAGGCGGTTCTTACCGCTGATTGATGGACATTTCTGGGATTGGGTTCAAGCCCGCTGCATGTTTGGCAGCTTGAGAAAAAGTCAGGTTTTGGGCGGATCGCATTGGAGGAGGGTTTACCCTTTTTGTGTGTACATCAATGTCTTTTTGTTATTCTTTGTCATCTTAAATTCATCAATTGTCACTTGAGTTTGTCGCGTCTTGGGGTGTTTTTTTTCTCCGTTTGGTTGGTGCGCGACTCGGGGACTTCTAGCTAGTCGGGTTCTTCCCTCTTTTGGAGGTCCTCCTTCGCGGTGGCTTGTTCTTGCGTTTCGTTTGCATCTTCGGTGGCTGTTTGAAAATCGAGACAGTGCGCGATAAAGGTTATAATTGTGTCCATTGAATTCGATTGAAACTGTTTCCAATAACATTGCTGTGCCCTCCTGTCTGTTTTCCACATGTGTAACTGGCGATCCGTATATCCTCACAGTTGCAAAACTTTGACGCGACGAGGGAGACGTCCCATGTCTACAGGTTCGTAGCCGGTAGGAATTCCCATCGACCTCCCCCCCCTCCCCCCGATCTCTACCGTTAATCTCTTCACCATCCCGGCGAAAAGGAAAAGAAAGAAGAGACGCATCTGGCGTGATGAGAAAGAGCCCCGATGATCCTTCACGAGAAATACGAAGTCCCCGCCGCCACCTCCCACGCCGTATCCAAAAACCCCATCGCCATCACCCCCTCGACGCCCAACCCCGACATCCTCCTGTCCAATACCACGAAATCCGGCTGTCCCACCCCAGGCAACATTGGCACCAACCTCGCCGCCACCGCAAGGCTCTCCTCATCCACACCCCAAACCACGAGTTCCAATCGCCTGGGCAGCAAGGGACGGAGGAAGATCGCCGCGAGTCCGTGGCCCGTGGTGTCGAGATATGTGGTTGTCGTGGGCCGGCCGTCGAAGCCGATGTGGTGGATGAGGATCGCGGTGCCGTCGGGGCTGATCTCTATTGGGAAAAGGGGGTCGTAGCTGCGGGGGAGATCCGTGCCGACGGCGAGGCTGATCGCGTTGGCGGTTGTCGACGGGATCGTGTCATCCCACGAGCAGGAGATCTGGCTGTCGGCGGCGAAGTATTGGTGGAGGTTCTGGGATATTTGCAGCGCGAGGGAGTGGGTTCGTCTGTGCTGTGGGGAGTGGGCGATGATGGCGAAGGCGCCATGGGTGCGGAGGATGGCGTCCATGGCGCCGAGTTGGGTGAGTTGGCGGGGTGGGAAGGGGCGTGGGCGGCGACCATCGCCGGGGAAGGAGGTGGGCGTGTTGTAGATGAATCCGCCGCGTTCGTGCTGGAGGGTGGTGAGGTCGAGATTCACACGGTTGAGGCGGATAAATTTGCACTCGAGAAAGTATTCCTGTTTGGAAATGGTTAGAAAGCAGAAAGGAAGATGTAGAGTGTAGGAAAGCGGCGGCGATACGTACGGGCATGAAGAATTGACGGACGTTGCGGATCTCAAGAACACATGTCTTCGTAACAGGGTCGAACGTCACCTCAATACGAGCCAGCTGGCCAGGCACAAGGAGCTGTGTGATTTCAAGTCCAAACTTTGCACTCGTATCTCCTGGGTTGGCGCAGACCACGCTGAAGCTGTTGAGTCGGAATGGGATCTTGGAGTTGCTGTGCTCTGTCCAGTATTCGAAGAATGCCTTCAGCGGTTCGGTCGTCATCACGCCATCCCACCAATGCGGCCTGCCTGGGAATTCATGATAGACACTATCAGCGCCAATTTCATTGATCAATTGACCCATTAGGCGTGAGTGATACGGAGGGACGTTGTCATCGCTGCTTCCGTGCTGTTGAAATATGGGAATGCCTTGAACATTTGGAAGGTGAAGCTCGTTTCTGTAGCTATTCAGGGCAGTTTGGACAACAGCCGTTCGACCAGGATCAGCAGATTTCCAAAATGTATACGGTACGTAGTTCTGAATGGATGTGTATCCGCTGAGAGGCGCAGCAGCGACGACCTTGTCGGGATGGTGAGTGAGATGGTACCATGCACCTTGCCCACCGTTGGAATGCCCGGTCAGCAGCCAACGATCGACGTCCACGCCGGGACGAGTCCAACTCGTTCTTTCGATCCAATCCCGAATCATCAGAACCGATGCCTGCACGTCTGCAGATCCCCATGCGTGCCAGTCGTCACCACTCCAAGGTGTACCGCCGCTTGGGAAAAGGGCCCAGACCCGCAGATCAGGCAGAGCATCCAAGGAGTGTTTGACATCTTCACTGTCCGCTTCCACTCCAGCGCCGTGAAGGGCAACCAGTACAGGTAATTTGTCCCCATTTGAGGCTGTTATTGCGACTTGTGAAGGCGGCCGAAGAATCGCGTATGACACGACTGCACCTGGGTGCATAAAAGTCACCTTGTGCGGTTCGTGAAGGTCGCGAAGTTTCGGTAAAGCATGGAATCGGATTGACAAGTGGTTGCCCTGACTTTCGATCAGATACTTGACAGAAAAAGGGATAGAGGCCTTGTAGCCGCCTGAACATTCGACATGAATGGCTAGCGGACGTGACTGTCCTTTCACAATCTGGATGGGCTCTTCAGATACTAGTCGCGCAACACAGTCACTGTGGGATGATTCGACGCTGTGGATGAGAATGTCTTCGTCGAGGCTGTTGTGTATCGTGACGGAAACATATGGACTTGCCAAGATCGCCGTTGGGCCGTGTCCGACAAAATCCGATGTCAGGACCGGGGAGTCTGCATTGATCCAGACCTGAGGGCCTCCGATCAGCTGCTCAAAGATCAACTCCAAGTCGAAGTCAGGGTTTGAAACAGCTCCCTGGGCACGAACGTCGCGCGCGAGTCGAAGGTCAATGCGATGATGGCCGGGAGAGAGACGAACAGTCACTGGGACTCTGTTGAAAGCATAAAAGTCTCCTCCGAAGTAATGCTCGTCGTCGATCCAGAACTCGAGAACCTGAGGAGTAAAGACGTTGGCCACCACGAGTTCCTCAGATGTTACAGTAAGGTCTCCTCGGACCCACGCCTGCCATTGGAGAGCTGCCCATCCATAGACATTCTGAAGAGCTTGCCAGTCAACATTTGAAAATGAGATCTTGGACTTGACAACAAGACGATTCTCTTGCGAATAAGATGTCTGAAGAGGTGCTCGTGTCCAGGAAGTGGTTCCATTGGTAGCGAGAGCCGTCCGGAAATGGGCATGCTCGTCGTATTCTAGGCTACGGAATCCGCCATGGGTCGTCTCCAATGGGTCAGCACCCCATGTCGCTTCTGTGAGGGTTTCATTAGCCGGGTGTTTCGCTACGGTATCATGTAGGGTTATCCATGCCTCGAGTGCCGATCTGAAATGGTCCAAGCAATTGAAAGTCTGGGCTGAATTGCATAACTGATGATTGAGAAGAAGTCTTGGCCATCGCGCTTGGACTGTTGTTACCGAGGATGATCTGTGATGCATAACACGTCCCGACGACAACTTGCCAAAGCCATTTGAGGAACATGGTCGGTCTTGCGTTTTATGTACGGGTGATGTGGTTCAAGGCCTGTCTAAAATCTCACTGCATTGGTGATTCTTGCTTACGAATCATCCTTCCTTGTCCATGTCGTGATTGATTGTGATGGAGATCATATCCAGAAATACAGGTGTGATGATCACGTACATATCGATCAAATCATACAATATCATGCACACACATTGGTCGTAGAGGAGTATGTGTCTATCGTGGATTGTGCATACAGTACGTGGGATCAACCCACGCGATGCATTATATTACATATCTTCCACTGCACACGGACATGCATCATTATTATTGTTATTATTATTATTATGCAACCCGCATAGTCGCCGAGAAAGTACGGGGGTGACGCAATGTTCCCCCATAAATTGTCGGAGCTAAGCAGAACGTGGAAACCTGCGCTCCGCCAAGCCCTTGATGGCATTGCGGACCTGCATAAGATACGTACGCCTTCCATGGGACGTCGGCACTTTTGACAGATCATCGACATCTCGGAATCCTCCTCCCTTACGCTCAATACGCCCCGCCAAGACGAGAAATGCAGCAGACAAGCACCTCATCCTAAGCGATCACTCCTACAGCCAAGGAATCTCTCCGCAATTTGAAGGGACCATCCCAGTTAAGATGGCCCAGTGAACTCAGCGACGAAATCATGCCCGAATTCATACACGACGATGGCGGATCGAAAGGACCAGGAGGCAAAATCGAATCGCGTCACCGTTCCTCATCTTTCAACCCCGCCGCAACCAAAACTGTCAAATTTCCCATGATGACCAGCACAATGGAGGAGCAGGAGAGTGCGATCATCGACTACGATCAGGAGTCTGGCCTAGACGACTCCCGAAGCGCCAGTCCCGCCCCACTACTCAATGGCGGTCCGTCTGGCATGCACTCGAGCCGACTGTTGCAGAGACCAGGGATGCAACGGCAGGACTCGACGCTGCGCAGTTGGGTGTCGTGGGCCGGCGGAGCGCGAAGGCCGAAGCAGAAGAGTTTGGGCGAGGCGATCAAGACGGTGCGGACAAGGAAAGCAAGCGTCAGTGAGAGCGCACATGAGATTGCAGATTCGTTGAAGGCGCCAGTGTCGCTACGGCTCGTCGTACGTTTCCTCCCTTCTTGCTTATCTGAGATGAGACGATCAGTGCGTTGTGATGCATAGGCTAACATGCAGCTCAAAAGACCCTCTGTAGCATTTGGTACGCCACCTCAATCCTCACCAACACCTCCTCCAAGGCGATTTTGACGGCCTTCCCGAAACCCATCACGCTCACCGTGATACAATTCCTGCTGGTATCCTTCTGGTGTGTCTTCCTCTCGTTCGTGGCGCGACACAACAAAACGCTCCGCGAGGCCATGCCCGTCCTCAAAAACGGCATCCGACGGCCAAGCAAGGATCTCCTCCTCGCCACCCTCCCCCTGACCGCCTTCCAAGTCGGCGGTCACATCCTCAACTCCGACGCCATGACCATGATCCCGGTCTCCCTGGTCCACACGATCAAGGGACTCTCCCCGCTCATGACCGTCGTCGCCTACCGCGTCTTCTTCAACATCAAGCACTCGACCCCGACCTACCTCTCCCTGATCCCCCTCACGGTGGGCGTGATCCTCGCCTGCTCCGCCAGCTTCGCGGGCAACCTGCTCGGGCTGACCTACGCCTTCGGCAGCGCGGTGCTCTTCGTGACGCAGAACATCGTGTCGAAGAAGATCTTCAACGAAGCCGCCCAGGCCGAGGCCGAGGGCGCGCCCATCGCCCGCCGCAAGCCCGACAAGCTCAACCTCCTCTGCTACTCCTCCGCCTGCGCCTTCTGCATCACCTTCCCCATCTGGCTGTGGTCCGAAGGCTTCGGCATCGCGGCGGATTTCGCGCACGACTTCTCCATCGACCTCCGCGAGCGGCCCGGCTCGCTGGACCACGGCGCGCTGGCGGCGGAGTACATCTTCAACGGGACCTTCCACTTCGGACAGAGCCTCGTGGCGTTCGTGCTGCTGGGCCTCGTCAGCCCCGTGACGTATTCCGTCGCGGCCTTGCTCAAGCGCGTCGTCGTCATCATGTTCGCGATCGTGTGGTTCGGGAACCCGATGACGCGCGTGCAGGGCGCCGGGTTCGCGTTGACTTTCCTGGGCTTGTATCTGTACGATCGGACCAGCGATGCGGCCAAGGCGGAGCGCAGAGCGAAGGCCGCCCTGGCGAACAAGGCGTCGCATCTCCTGCCGGTGAACTCTCAGGATGCTGAGAAGAGGTCTGCGGGGGCTGGTTCCATGAATGGGGGGGGCAAAGGCGCTGCCGACCATCCGTGGAATCATCATGGCGGTCACGGACACGTTGTACGATAGTAACCATGCCTTCGGCATAGATGGAAGACCATATTGCTTAATGAACGGAATGTTGCTTTGAGGGTTTTCACGTGGAGTCCGATGAATTAGAGCTGTAGTGTTCACCATTTGAGAACAGCTTATAGTAGATCATTGAATTTTGAGTGAGAAAAGGTGTTTTTGAGTGCTCGATAACAACTTGTACAATTTCTAACAAATTTAGTGAGCAACCAATACAAAATCCATCATATCTACATTTCACTGTCATCTCATCCTCCATTCTTCCATCTCCAAAGACCGCGGTCTTCTCTCGTCTTTTCTCCTTCTCTCTCTCTCCGGTCACGAAAAGCTTTACAATTTTGTTCGCGGGGGAAATATGGGATACGTCATCGTGTGTATCCCGATTTGATCTGGGGGCTTTTCCTTGGTCCTTCCGCAGCAGCGCGCAGGAGACAGGATGTTCCGAAAGAAGTGCATTGAAGCACTCTTGATCGTGTTGGTGTGGCGGTTCTTGCAATCTGACATGTTCTGATTATGTGCACCAGACCGCTCTACTTGCGGGCGAGACGGGTACGGGCCTTGACGGTCATGTCGTAAAGGGCGTCCTTGAAGTAGAACAAGAAGGCAGCGGTGATGACCGACTGGGTGACCTTGGGTCCGATACCTGACGATGATGATCTGTTAGTATCCTGCTACCACTTCAGAAGCTCCTTGGTTGGGGATAGGACAAACTCACCTCCGTACAGACCGCCGACACCCTCCTCCTTGTAGATCTTCTTAAGAGTGGCAGTCATGCCAATCTTCTCGCCACCCTTGGCCGCGACGTGGGCACGCGACTTGACGGTGATGTAAGGGTAGGTGATGGTGGTCGCGGCGAGCTTGCCGAGGGCACCGATGAGGAAGCTGTCCCAGGCGCTGACCTTCCTTCGCTTCTCAACAGCCTGCTTGAGCTGCTCGAAGATGGTGTACTGGAGGATGGGGTTGATGACCAACACCAAGGCCGGGAGCACACCGGCGAAGAGGCGGAGGAAACCGTCCTCCTTGATGATCTTGGCGAAGGTCGCAATGGTGCCTGGGGGCACAACCTTCTTCTGCTCACCAGCCTGGACGGGAAGACCCTCCTTGGCCTCGTTCTCACGCGCAGTCATGCGGGTGTTGACGACCCAGATGGGGTTGGTGAGGAGCACAGTTGCGCTACCGGCAAGGGCACCGGCAGCCATGGACTCGATGGTGCTCAAGCGCGCCTTGCCGGTGGTGCGCTGGAAGAAGTCACGGGACCATTCATACCCTGTTGTCAATGTATCAGCCAAAACGCCCCTCTTCTCAAAACACATGCATCAGGGACGATGAACATGCGACTGACAGTAGTAGTAGACGAAGTTGGTGACAGTGATGCCGAACAGGGCGCTGTCAAGACCGGCGTAGAGACCAACGACACCCTCGCGGTCGAGGATGCGCTTGGCGGCGGCGAGAGTGCCGGTGTGTGCCTTCTTCTTCTCGACCTGGGCGCGGGTGGAAAGGGTGATGAGCGGGTAGCTTTGCGATTCATCGTCAGCTATGCGATGGGCATGTCGAGCGAGGTGCTTCTTCCCACTACTCACGTCAAAGCCATGGACAAGAGACCACCACCGGCACCAGCCAGGGCGTGGGCGACATTGTCGCTCTGGACCTCAGCGGCGGTCGCGGTCACCTGCGGTGTTTCCTGTTTGGTGATTGCTTAGATGGTCGCTTCCGCGCCAATGCATCACGATGAAAGTCTGCGTACCTTGGTGGCCATGGTGAGTGGTGATGGGTGAGTGCCGTAGGTAGGTGATGAGACGTAGGTTGGTGGTGAAGATGAGGGAAGGGATCACACGCGCGCAGGAGTAGTTGGGTGCGAGAGAGGGAAAATTGGTGGTATATCACGAGCCAAATCAAATGCAGAGAGCAGCTGCCGGGCAAAAGAGTTTCGGGTGTTTGTGGTGACGATGAGGTAGCGAACTGCATGCACCGTTCTGGGCTTTGGGCCTCTTCCTGGGCAAGAGGAAGGGCATATGACGACCTTTCCCTCCCCCACTGCCGAGGCGAATCCATGGGCTGTTCGGCTTTTCCGAGCTGTCCAAAACAACCTTGGAAAGCATAGAGAAACTGCCAGCCAACGTCACCCGCGAAACTCTGGCCGAGTTCGCTCGTGTCGTGTCCCATCCATTTCCCCAACCTCTCTGACGGCCATCAAACCACGATCGTGACGATGAAAGGTCACGGGAAAAGACGGAATCTCTCCAGCATCGTCTAAAATTCACATCGGTTATTAGGGCGACACATGTACACCGGGCCTCCATTCCAAGGCCGTTCGGTGAGTTTTGGCTCGGTGAGGACTATTGATGAGCCTAGGCAATCGAAAACATGACAATGTCATTACCTAGGTAATCAAAATACTGTACATCAACAACCGACCACCTGTGCGACCCTCCTACGTGAATAATGAGTCCATCGTGTGTACTGCCTCTTCTCAATAACCGGAAGGTGCACGGTGTGCTGTACAACAATCACGTCCAGCAACTCATACTCGACCACAGCATGTCATGGTCCTGCACATCACGACGAAAGAGTAAGGTGTTGCGACGTTCACTTTCTACGTCTCTTCCGATCATTTTCAGCGTCTCCCGCAACGCACGACTTCCATCGTTGGGGCGTGTTTGTGCACGCTTCCAGCCGGACAGAGTGGACGTTTTGCTGTCGTGCGGTTTCGCTTCGCTGGCCCGTTGAAAGGGATCTGGCCGTCAACGGTCAGTCCATGGCCTCCATATTCTAATGTCAGACAACGGTAGAGATGTTCTAAAACGTACTTTCGTGGGATATAACATGACATTGATGGTCGTGGAGAGTAGAAACGACACAAAGTACCGGATCCGGCACATGCTCGTATTAGGGTTGCTGATCGTCAGACTTACCCCAACCCTACCTGATGGCACTGGATATGTCCCGTCTGCGCAGGTGTTACACTGTTGGGTGTGCTGCGCCCCGAAGGAACATAACATTTGAAACACCTTTTGACCCTTCACAGTTCGTGTCCTTTCGGCGAGTCCGAACGCTGCTGACGCATGGGTATGAAATTAGTGGTGTGGTAAGAGAGTCAGAGCCAAATGCAGCGCGGGAAAGTTATGGGCATGTTCAGCATGATAGCTTGTCCGAATCGGGTGCGACCATGGTTGTCAATGAGCTATCAAATTATAGAATCTCGCGCATTCCGACCAGCGAGCGATTCAAAAGGCAATGTTCGACCGATCGAAATAGAAACAATCTGGAAGGCGAGTATGTCGACCCAAACGGAGCATAGTCCTGATTCGATGCCGTCTACTGACGCCCGCGAAGGCGGCCTGAACTTCTATTGTAACTATATTCCCACGGTTGACATGACTTCACCACGGAAGGACATCGTACCTTCCTCCTGCACCCCGATAAAGGCTGAAATGGAGTGATCTACAGGACTCGGAGTTGGTCCCTGAAGCGGCACAGCGGGACCAGGTTGCGTGCGGCGACCCCGTTCAGGCCCGCTCCCACGCAGCCGGGCGCGAAGGACATGGCCCGAAGGAGTGGCTATGTACCCGGGACCACTTGTTCGGGTCGATGTCCTCTCATCTGCGGTTGTCGCTACTGGACTTCATTCTGGCAAACTCTAGATCGATCGAGTCTGGTGATGTGCGAATGCGCGATCGGTCATTTTGTCGTTTGAATGAAAGGCTTCCAAGTATGCTCTTTGGAGTTGCTGGATATGGCGAAGATTAGCGGACCGTAGGGAGTTTTGATAGTAAAATTCATGCTGTCAGCATGGCCGGGATGAACAGTGAACCAGTATTGAATGAACGATCCATCGCAACCTCGCATCAAGAGGTGGTGTACCGGATGACTCCTTCGTCCCTTTTAGCCCCATTTTTGCGCGAGTTCTCGGCACGTTTGAGGTTTCCTGTCCAGTCCACGTTTGGTCCAATCGAGATGTGGAGACGCGTGGGCAAATGATGCAGGAAGATTTCGATATGGGCGTCGCCACGATATCTGGATGGAGGGCTTTCTAGACCGAGTCAAAACCTTGACAAAATCTCGCCAATCAATGATCGCTGGCTCACGGACTAATGTCACACTCCTACCGAGCAGATTTGTTTTTGGAGAGTCCGATTCCGAGTAAGCCATGGACAACAAAGCAATCCATGGAACTTATCTGCATGGGACATAAAGGCATACGGCGACTGCCTCCAGTATAGTAGCAGAGATTCGAGCTTATTACTAGCTGCGAATATTCCGAGGAAGCCGATGGCTTTGTCTGTTGGCATTTCCCTCTCCAAGATCGATGTAAACCATGTGCGCTGAAGCGAAGATCCGGCTATGTAGGTCGATTTTTCAGTCTTTCCAACTCTATCGGACTGATCTATACAGGTCGCATCGATCCAGATGAGCCAGTCAGTATGACCGAAGTGTCGAGGCAAGTCGCGAAGCGTAACGATGCAATTGTTGGCAACAGTAGCGGTATCCTGTCCACGGTGGATCTCAACATTAATGCTGTATGCGGAGTATGCTATCACAGAATACAGCTTATTGTGGTGATTCTGCCCGCCTCAGGACAGTCTCGGTATTGAGGTGCTGCAGCGCCCATAAGACACGACGGGCCTGACCGGCAACATGTGCTTGTAGCGAAGATATGTGCAGAAGCATTGTCCCCCAATGTTAACTTTGGCGACCATGCCGAACATGAAATAAAAACGCGAGATCGAGTCCGTCTGTGTTTTGGTGGCACGATAGGCGGAAGTCATCGCAGTGATAAACTTCGAAAGGCTGCGGGCACGTCAGCTGGAACGCCAACCTGCACCGTAGAACGGCAGCTGATGCTTGTTGCGCCTATCATATACGCGATCATGGCGAAAGCACCGCATTTCCGAAGGCCCAGTCCTCGACTTAGCATTTTTTTTCATCCATCCGCATGGTGCCTTGCGATGACGATTTATCGATGACTTGAGCGGGACTGGAGGTGCGATCTCACCAGGCACACCTGCCATAACGGTCGCTTGTTGCATCTGGACGGCTTTGTCTTAGTTCGGATAAGAGGGCCCGACGCAATGTTTCATCAAGAAGGTGATCGTGGGCCGAAAGCTGACGGCGGCGGGAAGAGGATACGAGACCAATCACCGCAACATCGGGCATGCGCGAGAGAGAAGGAGCGGACGCACGGTCCCCCGCCTATCTCATCAGCTTTGTTTGGCGGTGATGGTGTGGAAATTTATTCTTGCGACGATTCCCAGGGTGTTGGTGGTGGTGCCGGTGGTGGTGTTGGTCGACCCTCCACGATGGGAAACATGTTCGGTTGTCATGATGATGATGATGATGATGATGATGATGATGATGATGATTATTATTATTACCTATTATCGCATGGCTATTGTAGGTTAATTCCATCGAAAGAGGGTGTGAATGCTCCTGTACTGTACATGGTAAAGGACTGGACTGTACGGCAGGTCCCACCTGCACCTATCGTATTGTCGTGTTTTTTAATATTTGCTTGGTAGGGCTTGTTTGGGCTGGTGGTGTGAAATCTACCCGATGAGGACATATGCAGGGTTCGTTTGCTCATAATTATTGGGATTTATTTCCATCGACTACCTCTCCCGGCATCTTCTCATTGTTCCTATTGTCGGCGTATTCCAGAGGCGATCGAGCGCGCACGTTTCCACACATACTCGACGACATTCACGCTCGCTTCTTCATTTATCAAATCGTACTCACGGGAAGCCTTTTCACCACCAAGAAGGTCCCGAGCACCAATCTTATGAGCTTCTGCCGCGATCTGAAGCCAGGTTCAACAACACTCCACGGTCAACATTCCCAGTCTGACATAATATCGCAACTTCGACAACGACATCGGAATCCTAGCTTGAAATGGCAACCGAGTGATGTCCATCTTGTAAGCCTCCCTTTTTGTAATTGTTTGCTCACGACCCGCTTCAAACTTCCATATCGCCGGCGAATATGCTTGCTTTCCGGCAGTTCGATCATTACCTCTCGCGTCTCACTCGCTGCCAACGCGTGTCCGTCTTCGGATCCAGCTGACAAAAGTTCGCAGCTTTTCATAATCAGCACGACGCTGACGGACTCGTCTTTAATCTTGCCTATACGTTACAACCTTTCCACAAGCTAACAATGTCGATGCCGCCGCCGAGTGTGAGCATCATTCCACCACGGGATGGTACTCCGGACTTAGGCAGAGCCTCTTCAAGCATTTCGTTTAATTCAAGCATACCTCACTCCGAAATGGTAGGGTTCCGCCCGACTGACCGCCAGCTGCCATCTCGAGAAATCTCGCCCAAGACAATTGTAGATGCATTTGTTGCCTTCATTCTATACTGCAACCCGACATATCCTCTAGACCTCGACACCAATGATCTTCGGCAGGCATTTCTCACTCCGCCTAAGAGCGAAGGCAAGGACTTTGATATGTTCCATTTATGTGATTTGATGCTCAAATACACGCGTGGAGAGGTTGAGACCTGGACCCAATTTGCTTTGGACCTGGGCGTCGAAGGGCCTGACGCGACGAAGAATCAATCTTCGCAGAAGGTTCAGCAGTACATGGTTCGACTAAAGCGATGGATGAAGTCTATGCGCGTCGATGCCTTTTGCTCGTACCTCAGTGAGAAGCCACATCCTTACTTTACCGAAATCCCGCCTCCCAGTAATCCCCATCCGAAGGGTGGACGCGCAGGCATCCTGCCAGAGGGCGATTATGCGCTTAGAGCCATCGACCCCTCCTTCCGACCGAAAAGAGGCCGACGACGCAATTCGGATGTCGAGATGGAGGAGACTCGATCACCAGGCACATCACCATCCATCTCGAAGTCACCACGCTTCATGGAAAACCTGCTAGGTCCGCCACTACCCGATTCGGCGATTCCCAGGAGCGCTCACCCTGACGGTTTCCACGATCCTTGGGCGCAGACGCCTACATCAACCCCCCAAAATTCTTCAGCTACGTGGTCAGCGGCGCGATCAGGACCGCCCTCGGCATCAACGGCACCGTCGCACCTGCGATGGGTGCTCACTCAACGTCCAGATGGTCAGACTCCCGTGACACCACATCCGCTCTCAGCACAGACCGATGGTGAGGATAAATGGGCAGCATCAGCATCGACGCCTAGTAGTCGCAAGCGGAAACGTAACGGCCCTGCCATCTCTAGCGCATGGAATGCCGGCTCTTCATCTGGATCGAAACCTCGCGGTAGACCGCCCGCGAATCGCAGTGTCCAAGATGGGCCGTTCGGTACGTTCCCTGTTGAGCCGGTGGCTCAATCCACAAGGGCGAACGAAAGGTCGGATCAAGGTTTGGACGACTTAGCGCTGTATGCTTCCGGCCAGTTGGCAACTCCGCCAAGTGCTATGAGTGAACCAGGTCTATCCGGGCGGAAACGACTTTCCTTGCAGGTACCGGCGCACCAGGGTGGGCCAGTCGTTCAGCTCGGACAAGGTCATGAAGGCGAGAGTATGCGAAACCACACTTTTGCTCATCACAATCCGATGGCGAAAACACTCACATCGGCACATTTACCAACGCCGCAAAGCGGTCAGAGCCTAAACTCAAGACCCATAGGTGACATCGCAGCCCATGAATCATCCACTCGATTGCCTGGTGTCGACTTTGAAACCTTGAAGCGGATTCTGGCCAGCGATCTCCTCCGCGCCGAGCTCATTGGATCTCCCGCACGCCTGACTGGCGAAGCAGCCCGGCGCCTTGCCCACGTCATCCTCGACCGCCTCCTCCTCCCTGAGCAATCCTCCTGCTTGCCTAATCAAAGCCCCTACAGCGATATTGCCTGCTTCACAGCCGCTACGTGGCTGGGTATCGCGCACCATCTCCCACCAGACCTCGATATCCCTGTCGCCCCACTTCACACCCGCCGCAAGACCCTCAAGGTCACTCGCTTCCGCACCGATCCAGTCACCGGCTACGACGAATTGCTCCCGACCTCAGCCGACCCTGATAACGCCTCGCCTGCCTGCCGCGTGGTTTACGACCTCTCCTGGTCCGTCGGAATGGGCGGCGCCTTCGCCGGGTCGTTCTCCATGGACGGACTGGTCCTTGCCGGTGTGCCGCCGCCTCACGACCCTCGTGCTGCCGCCACCATGACCTCGACACTGGATATCCACGACCTTTTCATGAAGAAATCCTTTGAAGCAGTCAAGCGCATGCAGCAGGAGGGCTGGGCGGAAGACACAATGAAGCAGGTCGCTCGCGTCGTGAGCGATTCTTTGCCGCAGTCCTCTGCCGCCGCGGCGGCTGCTGCCTCGCAGCGTGCCTATCCGGACATGACTCCGGCGTCAGCGCAGGCTGAAAATCACGCGCTGGCCTCGGCGTTGGCTGCGGCGAATGCCGAGGTGGCCAAGTGGAAGTCTTCCACGATGCAGTTGGAATTTGCGTGTAAAGTGGCGCAGGGCGCACTGCAACAGGAGAAGGAGGAGATGCTGCAGAAGATCCTTGGGGTCTTGTTGGAGAAGTGAAGAGCACGAATCAGCCTCGTCTGGGAAATTTCGCATCGGGTCACTTCAGGTGCGCTGTATTGTGCATGGTTTTCTATTTTCGATGTGATCTATTACTATTATTCCTCGCCTTCGTCCTCGCCTTCGCTTTGGCAGGATTCTTCATCAATGATACCCTGATTTCTGTTCCTTCAATTCATCTTATTTTACGTGCGCTATGCGTTCTTGTTGAGGCATACTCTCGCCAGTCCATTCCCTCAATCCCGGAAATTCATTTCACAATTCTCAAAATCCCCAGCTTCCTTACAGAGAAGAAATCCTCACTCACGAAAGCACCGCATGGAAGAACGCCGCCGCCAACCATGAATACTCCAACAACTGCAACGTCTTGAGCAGCTCCTCCGTCTGTTGCGTCGCCTCGCTATACTCTCCCATCTTCGGCAATGGAATTTTCATGCTGGCGCTCTGTCCGTCCCGCGGCGCCCAGTAGTTCTTCATGTGCGTTCGCGCGGCGATGATGATGACCAGCATCGTGGGCGAGAGGCCGTAGCGCGCCCATTGGGGAAGAGCGTCCGGGAGGAAGGCAAGGGTTACAGACGAGACGAGGGAGGATAGGATCTGTTTTGTGAGGTGATCAGAAAAATGCAGAGCGGAAAGGAGAGGAAGCCAGGTGTTATGAGGTCTCTTTTTCCCTCCCCTCTCCCCCCTACTTCTGAATTACAGAAATGTTTGGTTTTCTCTTCTCCGGAGAACATCTACTTACCGCAATGGCACCAGCTCCTTGTGTCGTCCGGGTAAGTTGCAGCTGTCGACCGGCCTCGCTCGACCAATCGGCGAGGGTTTTGGCGGTGGATTCGTACTTTTGCAGGCGGATGATGGCTTGGAAGGAGATGTAGGCACCGTAGGCGCCGAGAGCGATTTGGGCGAAGTGTTGACCACGAAGGACAACTGTTCGGAGAATTTCCGCCATTTCGGTGTATTCCTCTTGAAGAATTGAGGTCTTCTGGAGCAAGAGTGTTAATCTTGAGGTGATGCTTGCAATATGCTACAGTGGAGTCCTTTCTCTTCGGCAACTTGGTGAGTTGTCTTTATGGTTCGACAGAATATTACGATTTTGCTATCAATGGGTCTAGTAATGTTTTATATTGTATCGTAATCCAGATATTCCATGTTTATAGAATGCGGCTTATCGTGTCCCATGACGTCGTAGTCTGCACGGGCTGGATTCCAAGTTTCAAAAAGCCCTGAAGCTCTGGAATTCCGTCCCATGTTTGCACGTGACGTCGACACCGGCATGGATTAGATCGGACAGGACAACTTGATCGCTAAATAAAAACGAGCTAGTATGCCGCTTCACGTTTTCCAGCTCGAATCTTCGCAGGCGACGGGCCAATGATTGTTTAGACTTAGTTTTGGGTTAGTCATAACACTCTTCGTTCGATTTCACCGATAACTGTAGGCCCGCGACGCGTCTGCCCGCTGTGCTGCCCTGTAAGTGTCGCATCTCGAAAGTAAACAAAGTCAAAGAAGCGAAGTGTTTTGGTCAAGCCATGATCAGCTGGCGAAATTGACCACAACGCACACAGTATTTACGGCGCGCACTCTTGAGTAGTCGATCACAACCACTTCGCGACCATTGCGCCCACATCCACAATCCTTATTCATCGCCCTAGATCGAATGCGCTCGAGTTCACTGGACGCCGACAAAGGACAATCGCTTGCCGCGCTCAATGGCAGTACCTACCAAACCCACCGGCGATACGACGCCCGGTCGTCGCGGTAAAAAGGGCACGAACAATCAATACTTTGAAGTCGGAAAGGTCGGAAGGTAGGCGCAGAAATGAGGAGAACACGGTTTCACATGCGACATATTAATTTGTCGATTAGGAAAACGGGCATCACACTGAAAGACACGGGTGTAAGGGATGAACATGGCTTGGAGCCGGTATCTGGAATATTTTCATCATCACCGGCGATCTCGGTGCAGCACAATCTGGATCATGCGCTCGAAGACGAGGATGATGAGATGGACGTAGAAGAAAGTAGGTGGACGGAGATTACAACAAGCAGTGGACGCGTGATGTCCTAGTGTCTACGGACAATGACTGACCTTGTTGGCGCAATGATAGGCTCGGCTCCGGACGTGACTGCAACACTCGGTCTGCGCAAGACTCCACGTCTGCCTCCAGCGCGACAATCAACACCTAGACACACCAACATCGGTTCTCCCAAGCGCATGTCCTCTGTGCGGCCAGGAGCGAAGGCGGATTCGATGCCTGCACATGAAATAAGCAGCCCTACGACTGCGCACAAGCGGAGTCAAGCTAACCGAGTATTGGATTTCGCCGGCGCAAACAACCGAACGAGGAAGAGTCTATACATGGAGGAGACACAAAGCCCTTTCAAGCCGAGGAAAGCATTGCGTAGATCACAAGGCCCACCGCGACCAGACCCGTTCTCCCTCCAGGACAGTCCTGATCCACGGAGAGATGTGTCCGCGCAGCAGAACGATGGCGAAGACGACTTTGCACCGATCGATGAAGAGGTTGAGCCATCCATTGAGAATCTAGAACAGGACTTTAATGCGCCTATGGTGGACGACGAAGACGATTACGATGTGGGACAATCTCTGCCTAATGAAGCTGACCCCCACGACGCGACGGGAAACATGGATGCGACTCTAATGGCTGCAACCGCAGAATCAGCATTGGCCAGGATGCGAGGACAGAAGCGAGATCGGGCCAGTCTGCAAGGTGTAGATGATGCAGACCGAGCCGACTCATCTATGCTCGTTACCGACTCCCAACCCCCTCCGCAGAAGCGAAAGCGCGGCCGCCCTCGAAAATCAGATACGATCGTGGATGTGGCCGCTGAGGTGGGTGCCATTGGCGAATCACAAGTTGCATCAGGAGACCAGTCTGCAATGGATAATGGCGAGGGCCCAAGCACGCTGAATGTGGACGAGGAAGTCATTGCAGAGGAGCCGATCGTGAAAAGGAAACGAGGGCGACCACCAAAAGGTTCCAAGCCAAAAACTCCCGAGAACCCCAAATCGCCCACGAAAGCGCCAAAATCAATACAGTCGCCCTCGAAATCAGGTGCCCGCGGTGCGAGTGTCGGGCCAGTCAGTAACGTCCATTTGCGCGCGACCACACCGTTCGAGGATGCACAAAACAACGCCTCTCGCTTTGGACGTAATCTTATCAAACCGCTCAAGTATTGGGCGAACGAATCGCGAATCTACCGCAATGGTGACATCGAAGGCATTGTACGCGCGGAACCGGTCGAGATCGTCTCCAAAGCGCGAGCCCGCAAGTCTCGGAAGAAAGGACGGAAACCAGCGCAAAAACTCGAGGATATCGAGGAGGTCAGCGATACCGAATCGATTCTGCCTGACGAGTGGGAGGACGAGCGGGGTGTGCTTGCGTTTGACCTGGCAAACTACGATCCCGCGACAGGCACCGGAGATATCGACGATGCGATCCGACAAGGTATGTGTAGTATGCTGTCGATTATACAGCAGCCATAGCTGTGTTTCACATTCATCTCTAACACTCGCATAGATATCGCATTTGCTGAATCAGCCATCATACCGCGTGATGTACCGGGTTCGGATTTCCGTTACGCCAAAATCCTGACTCTGCCTTTCTTCGGCGCAGGTCTAGTCGAGGTTCCGCCGGGCGGCTTCAAGCGTGCAAAGAACAGTCGGCGGATGCAATTGACCTTCTTCGTGCATGAGGGCAAAGTGGCAGTCGACATGTCTGCAGGCGAGGGCTGCGAAGTCAACTCGTTCGCGATCACCAAAGGCGGTGTGTGGGTTGTCCCAAGAGGTGAGTGATCTTCAGTTTTTTTCCCCTTCTTTGCTTTCATACTACATTCTTCTGTATGCGCGACCGCTATGCACATCTTCCCTGCCCGCTGTCACCCCCCTTGCATTTATGCATGACATACGCACGTGCACAACCAATCTTTCCCCGAAAACCCTTCGTTATCGACAATCACGACTTGCGGTGTGAGCACACGCGGTACGGCAAAGCCAAAAACCACCAGGTTGCCTACCAGACCCAATCTTCGCGTTCAACAGAGGCGACCAGCCGAAGCCCGCGCGGCCATCGGCAAACCACGGAAGAACGCGAAAACTGGTTCAGATTTGGCGAACCATGGGAAGCAGAAAGGAGATCGATCCTTCGGTATCGGACGTTCCAGGCGTCGTCAAAACCTTGGGACGAACCTGCCCCGGGAAATCCTTCCCCTCGTGTCGTTCGCTCGTTCGCCCGGCAGACGGCTTCCGCTTGCCGCGGACCGCACGCACACGCGCTGCAGCGGCATCGGCATCTGCAGCTGCACCTGCGCCCAACCCAACGCCCCAGCGCCCCAGAACCAAGAATCATTAACAGCAGGTCGACTCGAGGATCGAGAAAAACAACCTCAATCGATGCGGCGCAATCACAAATTGCACCGCACCTCGCTTCTGTTCCTCACCGCGGGATGATCGGCGCTTCTCTTGGGTCGGAAATTTCTCCGAACATGCTCCGAATCTGTTTCACACACACCCTTTCATGCTCCCCCAACAACTTCCACCGGAAGAAACTTGATTTCCCCCGTCTGTTTTCATTTCGCGGGCCGCGTCAACAGAATTTTCTTTGGTACCGATGTGATGAGAAGGGAAAGAACGCGTTTTCACTGACGTTGAAGAATCATCACAGGGAATAATTACTCGATCGAGAATCATAGCACGACGAAAACGGCCAAATTGTTCTTCGCGCAGGGTAGCGAGGGCGCGGCGCCGGCGGAGTAGAGGATCCAAGTCACGTCGACATGAAATGCATTGAAGTGGATTCATCAGAGGAGAGTGCCTCTTGGATGTGATGGACACCAATGATTAATAGCATTGTTGCAGGGTCGTTCTTATCGGATCATGATGCCTGCCTCATCTCGACCTACTTTGTTGACCCCATTGCCAAATGGCCAGACGCAAGGGCCAGACGTCGCTGGCGTTTACGATGATCACGATATTGATAGTTTCTTCACTAATTTACGATGGGGCGGTGTTATTGTCGTTGTGTCGTTTGCACATAGATATCCCTGCGGCCGTGCAATGACAAAAGTTGTTTTCGTGAATTGATCCGTATTTGGGCCTTCACTTCTCATCTAATTTTGGCAAAGAGTCGCGTCACGATTGCACTTCACGCACGCACTGCAACGCTTCGCTCTCAAGTATTGATATCGTTCGTGAAATGCATATCAGAACTCGTCATCGTCATCGGCAAACTCATCAAGCACGGGGAAGTCCCCGACCTCCACACGTTCGGCGCGCACGAACACGCCGTGGTTAGGGGGGCATTCGAAATACTTCTCGCCGGAAATGCTGCCGTCGTTCTTGCCCGTCGGCTCGTCGAGCGCAACACCCACCCAGGCGCCAACAGTGCCAGGAATCTGAGGAACCTCGCCGACGAACTGCACGGCGCCGCGGCGATGGTCCGAGTCCGGGAGCAGACGACAGCGCATGCCGGTCTTGATGCCACGCTCGTCGACCTCACGGAAAGAGGCGTTGACCTTCTGCTGAACGATGTCGGGCGCGTTGGGATCGAAGCGGCCCAGCTTCTGGGACTTCTTCCAGGCGAGGACGGTGTCGGTGCGCTGCTCATATTCGGCTACCGGCATGTCATACTTCTGGACCGAGGAGACGTCGGTGTAATTGGTCCGAGCGCCGGGAGGACGAGTATCGATGACCTACGGCACGAAGAAAGCACATGATTGCCTAAGATCAGCATTGAGAAATCAAGTCAAATCAAATCGCGATGAGATGCGCGCATGTCCTCGGTGAAGGGAATGGATGTTTGCGTGACGTATGGGGAGGAGCTTGGTTCGTAGGCGCAAATTTGGGCAGTTAGAAAAGCCCATACCGCGGCACGAACACTCGCCAGCAGGATAATCTGATACAGGGTCCTCGAGGCGAGTGTGAGGCGCGTGCGTTCTCACATGCAAAGCGGAGCGTGCGGGCGACCGTTGGCCACGGCTTGTATTAGTGTGCTGGCAGTTGATCGTGAGCCCGGGCATGGGCGTCCAGGCGAAGCAGTAACCCATTTGTCTTCCGCCGAGATTGCGCACGTCTGCCTCGCAGATGAGATCTGTAGTGGGCGAGGGATCTACTGCATTGAGGTGCTGGCGCGCGCATCAAATGGATCACGGAAGGGTTCAGATGCTCGTGCGGGCGGAATGCTGCAGTCGTGGTGCGCTGTCCGCGTTGGAAAGACAAGCGAAATGCTTGTGTTGTAGTGTACGTGTGGGCGAGCGCGGTCGGCGCAGGAAGCAAGCTGTGCAGCGGGGCGGGACGGTTGGTGCCGAAAGTTCAGAAGCAAAGAAAGCTGCAGCAGATTGATGGATTCCAAGGTTTCTGAGCAAACCAGCGGGGAAAGGCGCCGCGAGCAGGTGCCCAGGTGGTGTTTGCCAAGAGAACAGGGAGTAGCAGGCAACAGGGAAGAAGGATCAACGAAACGGCGTCAAGCGGTGCAAGCATTGTGATGAGTGGGTGATGGCGCATGATGTGCTCTTGTCCCTTACCTGTAGTTCAGCATACGCCTGTAGTGAGAATGCACCGATTTGCGTCGAATCCTCATCCGCTGCAGTGATCGATTGTGCCGGTTGAGAACCAATTTTCAACGCCAGTCGTTGACAAGACGCCGGCACGCCCGTGATGGGTTCGAGGCGATCTTTCAGCTGGGTGATGGTCCATGATGGCGATACCCGTCTCTCCGAGGCGGAATTGTCCGACCGGACGAGCAGTGGCACGTCACTGGCAGTGTTCATCGTGTGATGAGATGCGGGTTTTCGGCGTGATCGGTCAACGGCAATGGAAGAGGGTCCAGCGTTCAGCGAATACCGTCTGTCCTGGCGCCTTGCACCAGCAGGATTGGTCGGTGGTCGCGACGGCCGAAGCGTAGGCGTACAGCAGAGGCTGCGGCGGCAAGCGTATGCAATGACAGCACTACCTAGGTATGCTGGGAGTCGTGGTGGAGTTGGTGGTGGCTGTACCGGCGAAATTGTTGTTGTCATCGACCAAATTTCATTTCGCACGGATGATGTGTGAGGGAGCTCGGGATTTTAGGTTCAGTACACCGCAGTACAAGCCAAGCCCTCCTCCATCGACCTGGACAGCACGCTTCTCTCGTAGGGATAGATCACCACATCCGGGTAAGCGTGAACGGTCGACACGCATGGCTCTATGCCCGGTCCTGGATGAACTATTCACATGCAACTGGGATTATGATCATGCTGACGAAGGGCGGCCATTTTGTTCCCACGACGGACCGCGAGGTCAATCGCCCTGGCATTGCGAATTGCATGTTTTACTCGGTGTGATGATGTGCGAGAACTGCTCTCACACTACCACCAGTCCTGGTGATGCTGAGTTTCGACGCATGGTGCGCGCGGTTTGCATGATCAGGTGTGTTGTACATGTACTCATGTACATCACTAACGGCACAAAGCGCGCGATCGCTCGTGAGACAAGACCATTTATTTGGAGGATCGATCGGTGTTCTGCAGGCACAGAATAATTAGGTACAAGAGATGTTCCGACATCGTCCAATTTTGCGCGGCTCTAGTCGTCGGCCGAGACAACTCTTCCATGCAGTACCTAGGTCTGTGTTGTGCATTGCTAGATATTGACAGATTTATCGATCTGGTATGTACGTCACTTGCGCAATGGTGGAGATGTCTTTGAAGTGCTCCTCTCTGAGGAAAAAGGCTAATCCACCAGAAGTGCGGACCTCGGCAGAATTCTCGACGACAAAAATGGAGATCCTCAGTGATGACCCCATAGTAACATGCACTATATGCGACGAGACCGTTGAGGGGTTCAATTGGCAAATGGCGCGTTGCGTTGTTGAGGGAAGATTTTTATTAGACAGAATCGACAATGCAATTTGGTCATATGTACCCCAGATGAGTCTAGCTGCACTCCTATATCGACCGGAAATGGAGGCTTTTCGAGTTTGCGGAAAACAGGTACAGCTGGAATACAACCTTGAAAGCGTGCAAGACGAGTTCATGCTTATGCCCTATTAATGATGGAACGGTTTGTCTGCGCGAAGATCGCGTGCAGTAGATCAGACGGCCAACGGAAACTCCCTGCTAGGCTGGCGATGGTGTGTACATTGTCGCCGAACACCAGGAGAGAGGAGAGATGATGTACATGAAGTGGCACAGCAGTAGCACCGAACAGTACAGCAGTACTCCTCCTCCGTCACAGATTGCTCAACCCAAATCTCCCTCGGATCGCCTGCCGAGCTGCAGGAATGCCCAGCGAGCCTTCACCGCCAGTGGAGCCGAAGCTTAAAAGCAAAATACGGGAGCTCGGCTACTGGGCTGCGCTCCCAGGTGTGAACGCCTTGTCGGGTGCATGTTGTACCCACCCGGAAGGACCCTTTTTTGCTGCCAGGCGTGCTTGTGTTTAATATTGGTCGACGAGGAGGTGTGGTGATTGAGAGGGGCACACAGCAGGAAATCGTTCGGCGCGCGCAGTGGCGTCATGGACCGTGTGCGCGCCTCCGCACTTCTTTCTCGTCAACGGCATTCAACTACATGCGGGCCTTGCAAGTCCAGCTCTGATGTCGCTGAAGAATTCCGGGAGATATGGACCGTCCTAGCTCCCCGATCTTCTCCTTCTCGGCTGCTTGGTCAAGTCGAAACGCTGACTCTGCCTGCTCAGGATCCACGCTGTACAAACATGTCGTATCATGGTTCGAGACTATCGCGACTTGAGCGCGAAACCGATCCGGCTCCTGTCGGTGTTGGCATGAATATGCATCTTGCTAAATGATGGATCGCCCAAGACACGAATTTCAAATTTGCGCCTCAAATGTTAAAGACGATCTTCTTTGCATCAACGTCTAGACCGGTATGCGGCGCAGCAACTAAACACTGTCAGATTCCTGCTGCCTATTGTGACAATCTTGGAAGGCATTGTTGCCCTTCAGCAGTGAAAGTTGTTTCATCCTCGGCTATCTGTCGCCGCGGATGCCTTCTCGCCCAGCCCTAATGGACTCGTACCCTGGGGGGCCGGAATAAGGTTTTATCGCCCTCACGGTCGCAAAATCCATCGTCCGCAAAGATTCAAGCCGAGTCCGCGCCAGACCTGTTTCGGGTGTCCAAACACAACGGTCATTGAGATGTTCCAATCTCAAACGCAACGTCTGCGCTCGTCATGGCGTGTTTCCTCATGAGACATGTTCGTGGTCTTTCGCGTTCGGCCGACAGTCTGCTTGGCGCAAAGATGGGGCTCATTAGCGCGGTCTCTGGCCACGCAGTGCTGGGATGTCCGAGAGTTTCACGCCGAGCCTGTTCTCCTCAGGTTCTAATGCCAGAACCCAGCGCGTGGCGTGGAGCAGCCCGCGTCATCACGAGACTTGCGATTGATGCATGGCCTGAAATATAGCACAGGTGAGTAGATCATGCATCCTGTAAGCAGACTCGAAAGGCATCGGCATAGGCCTCTAGAGCAAATCACCGGGGCGTTAGCGCATGCGATCATGATTTCTCGCCTCCAATATGCAATACAGGTGGTGTCTCTGGGTTGGAAGGAATTTCCTATTGGAGGTATCTTGGTGAGAATCTTGGAGTATTGAAAATGTGACCATGATGAGGCGATCACGCCGGCCAGTGTGGACCCAAGACCAACCGTCGGCACTTCACCGCTAATGTCGATTCTCATTTCACGCTCTCGTTGGGAAAAGAAGCCATCGCCAGCGGCGAACTATGACGGACAAAAGCCCGCCTCCTGCCCGCCCAGCGCGGTATTGCCTTTCCGTGATATTGTCGTTCCTGCCCGATATATTATCGGATCACAGATGAGTTCGTGTCTAGGAACAGTAGCGCTAAGAAATCTCGCAGCCGATGTTCAGGTACGTATTCAGCGCAAGGGCGATGGCACGCGCGGATCACGGGTCGCTAGAAGCTCGTGGTAGGATTTACGCCGCCAGTTCGCTTGGCAGGTCCTCTCAGACCATAATCATATCGCTTCCATCTCATCGTGCGAACGGTTTTTTCACATGCTTTAGGGCTCTGATGGATCGAGCGTATACAGAGTGGATCAGACTATACAGAGTTTCGACATAGTCACTATGTTGGGATGTTGGGAATGAGCTGTTCTCGTAAAGTTAGATGCGATCTGTGTTCGGCGGCATCTCCTCACACCGCTTGTGATCCGATGATGTCCATGTTACGGATGACAGCGCGAGTGGGTGCACAACATCTTAACCCTCCCAAGTTGACTTTGTACCTCTTTGGCTTGTTGTCACGAAAGAGATTGAGAGCGTTCGGACTCGAGAGACACAAACAGACAAACATGTAACGAATATGGTGAAGTGAACACATGGATGGAAAGTGCACGCGTTTGGTGATGTCGATCAATGGCAAGGCGCGATGAGGAACCCGGGAAAAGAGGCGTACATAGTTCCTGAGGTTAGCGCTGGAGTTGACGTGAAGATATTGCCAGGCCCCATCAGTACAAGCAAAACCTGCGTCTCATCAAAACCGACCGGCTCTCGGGATAGCAAGTAGCCATGCGGATGCGGGCTCGATGAGTGGTACGGCCGACAGGAGCCTCTGATGCCGTTGATCAACCCAAATCTTGTTACGTGCTCTCGTGCGTGTGCATGGGCATGCCCTGACGACAAAGGTGGTAATTAGTCCACATCGGAACCTGGCATGGAACTCGATTCCCTGATCGCCTCGCGTTGAGTGCGCCTTCCGGCCTCTGGCGCGAAGATGAGATGTTCGGCCCTGGAATGGTTCGGATGCAACGCGCTGACGATGCGCTGCCAACGGGTACGCGGGCTGGGAAAGAGGGCTCGCGGAAGTGTTTAGAGTGGTTCCCTGGCTGGCGCTCGAACGTGTTGCGAACTGGGTGTTGCTGGTACCCGTACTCGAACATGACATTTTAGCAATTGCCCAAGAGGGAAATTCCATCGAGTTCGGGCGATGCATGGCGTGGGTGCGATGTGGGTTCGATGTCGATGTCAGCATCCGCTGCTGCAAGCCTGGCCTGATCCAGCTGAACCACGATGGGAAGGGTTGTGCTAAAATTGTCGATCGTCTGTTTGACACTCATGTCAATCTACTGCATTCCGCGGCGAGTGTGCACATCGTCATACACCATCTAACCATCATCAAATAATGTAGTTGCCCTGCCGTGCGCGAAAACATCCATATTGATGCAACGCGTGAAACTCGAGAACACCTTCAGGTCGCCCGCTTGGTTCGTCAACTGCGCGGACAATGTTTCATCCCTGGCGGCACGTTCCCAATCCCTCGCGCGCCGGGTCCCTCGGGCCTCCGGTAGTATTTTAACTTCAAATTCAGCGGTTGAAGAGCACACGATCCGATTTTCGAATCTTCATCTCCTCTAGCCGAAGATACTCGATGTCTGGCACTCGGCAGGCTGGGATGGGGGCGGTGGTTCGTCGAACTTCAGGGCACAACATACTGCATCCTGGATATCGCATGACCCACATGCGAGGCTTAAGCGGGCAAATGCTCGCTCAGATTCCCATGGGTCTCTATTGTTCCTGAAATATATTTTTATGAACTGTGTACAGACAACCTGTACAGTACTGCGCAAATATGTGGTAATCCGCTTTCTTGGCAACGATGGTGGGAGGATAGCGATGCTAATGGTCCCGTCTGTACCAACTACCTCGAGGACGACAGGAGCATATAAGGGACATTGGCAAGGCATCGTCGAGACGAGAAGACTGGTGGCTCTCACGCAATGTCGACCGGATCATCCTACACTCGAGCAATAAGAACAGATTGATGGTACAGTTCATTTTTGAATCCTCCATACCTAGGTAGCGGTACATGATATTATTGTTGTTGTTGTTATTATTATTATTATCATCACTCGGTCTCTGTCCCGCGGCGGGCGTCGGCAATCCGGCTGACGCACTTGGTGTTGCCATTCCTGATCGACCATTGGCTTCTAGATCTCCAACCGCACCTTCTGCCTCTACTGTACATCATCACCATAATTTCAATGGGCACTACAGCAGATCCGACGGGCTAAATCCACTGGGCGATGTGAGTGGGTGTGCGTTGCGTGCGTAGGCTTTTAGGAACGGTGCAGTGTAGCAGCACCGGCGACGGCCTTGTCGTAGTCTGTCTTGCTAACCTTGAAGGCTGTGTGTGTTGGCTGGCTGGACTCATGGTGAAGAATTTACGAACGTCTGCCTGCCCATGGAGCAAGAAATTCGTGCCTCGGTCGACTTGTGAACGTACGTCTCTCGGGTGTTCTGGCTTGGGCACATCTGTTTTTCTCTATCTCTTCCTCTATGCGTATGCGTATGCTCACCCTCCTCTTTTCCACTACAGGATAGTGCTCTCGGCCCTACGTCAATCTTTCGTGGAATAGCACCTTGTCATCGTCTGCTCGTCCTCTTTCCACCCACCCACACAGTGGCACACACACTCTCTCTCTCACACACACACGCCCGCACGCACATACCCCGTCGTCACCATCACTCACCACCACCACTACATCTCATACTGCACGCTTGATAATTCCGCTACTGCTACTACTGTACCACCATTCCCAGCTGTCTTCCCTCCTTCTCGCCCATGATCGTCCAATTGCCGACGGACCTACCAATATTCGTGCAGAAGTGAAAAAGAAAACAGCAAAGCAATCCCGGCCGACACCGACCCTCTATTCTTCCTCTGCTTCCCCATCGTCTACTCCTCCTTGGCTCCAATTTCGTCCCTCCACTATTTGAATTCATTCTCGCTTTGTTCCGGTCGGTTCCATTCGATCGGCTCCTCACGTTCGAAAGTGTGGCGTGGTCGTTTGGTGATGCCGGCTTCCACCCAGACCATTGCAGACTTAATGTTCCGAGCTCCACCGTCGCTGCAGAGACCCCCAACTTCGTGAATCCGTTTTTGATTCTTCCCATTGGCTTGTCCCTTTGGCATCTTCAGAACAATCCCGAGGCACCAAGCAACAGCCTCGTCGATTGCTCGACCCTCCTAGTCGATTAATGTCCTTGTCCAAAGCTTGGAGCGAACCATAGTTCGTCCCAACAATCCGCTGAACACCTTACTTTACCTTTGAGCGCCTTGCGACAACTGCTCCATCATTCCGTCTACCCACTTCTTCCTCTACCGCTTCTCTTCGTCGACGATTGATTGTATCACCTTACCATTCTCACTGTCAGTCCTTGCCGGTCAACAACCTCACATCATATAATTCTATCGCTCTCTCGTCACTCAGTCAATTTCTGTGCTGGCCGTATCGCCAGCGCCAGCCGCAAACGTGGATATCTCATTCCTTTTGGACCGCAAGTCAGCAGGGTCGCCGGGCAATGCTAGTACGACATCAAGGACGACGACGGCCAACGGAGCCAGGGAGGACACAGGAGGATCTGCTGCGACCTCGACCGCGACCACCGTAACAGCGGCTTCAATGACCGCAAAGGCGCCGGTTGCGGTCTCAGTCCCGCCGCTGCACATACCACAGCATCAAATGCAGCCCGTTTACCCTCCTATGCAAACGACACCGTTTCCGCAACACTTTGCGCAAGCTCCGCAACAATATCATCCTGTCTCAGCAGGATATTCAAGCTTCCCGCCATCTGGCCTCCCGGACTCGCGCATGCCGCCTCGATTGTCAAGTGCACAACCACCGGGAGCCGGGGTAAAGCGGGGACCTCCTTCCCAAACGATTCCAGGAGAAACGCCGCCCAAGAAGAAACAATCGAAATGGACCGCCGACGAAGATCGCGAAATCATCGACCTGCGTGGGCGCGGCATGAAGTGGGAAGACATCTCCAAACGGTTACCTGGTCGCAGCGCAATCAGCTGTAGATTGCGCTTCCAAAACTACCTGGAACGACGGTCAGAGTGGGATGAGGAGAAGAAGAACAAGCTCGCGCGATTGTATGAAAGGTGAGCACTTCTCTTTGTCAAAGGCATCTACTTTCGGTCGATACAGTCCACTGACCCAGCTTGCAGGTTCAAGAAAGACATGTGGGAGAAGATCGCAAAGGAGATGCAACTTCCGTGGCGAGCGGCTGAGGCCATGCATTGGCAGATTGGAGAGATCGAAATGGCGCATCGCGCCAATGTTTCTGTCTTCCACCTGGCCGGTCAGCAAGGGTCGAATTCTTCGCAAGGCGGCGTCGGTTCTGATGGCGGTACGAGTACTTCACCGACATCTGCTACTCACCCGACACCATCCTCGACCATGGCCATATCGCATTCCCATAATCACAGCCTCCCACAAATACCGCCAAACGCTCTTCCACATCCACTGTCGCCGGTCGACCATTTCCGACGTAATAGCGTCGGGTCCATGTCACCCAATGGCATGGGCCCAGGGTACCTTCGGCGCAGAGCAGATAGCACTCGTTCTGTCGCGTCAGTCTTGCCTCGAGCACATTTGCCTCCTCTGGATGAAGTGGCAAGCATATCGGCTCGGGATCCGAGGCCGAAATACCCACCGGGGCCATGGTGAAAAATCAAGTTTCATGAATAGGCAGATTATCGAAGACATATGGTTGTACTCGCAATCCGACAGCAGCCGATCGTTGACGAATCGCGCGTCGGGCACGGAGAATGCTCCGTGCGTGGGGATGCTCTCACGAGGCCGTACGGCGGACAGGTCCTGTACAGTACCACGAAGTGACGAAGGACGACGTGTAAACTAGGACGCAGGGGAGTCGGAGTTAGGAGGCCTCAACTCCTCCGCCCCGGATGAGCGTGAGGTTGGTAGTCCCTTAGCAGCACTAAGGATGCCGCAGGATGAACCCGGATTTTTCAGCAAGCAGCTATACCCACATATCTTTCAGAGCGTGTACTAGACAAATCTTCACATATGACGTTGTGTCCTGAGTTTGGACTTTTTTGACATTTCTGTCCACATGTCGTCGTTATTTACTATATGACGAAGCTTCGCCAATGCCTTCACGCGGGTAATGGAGATCTACGGCCCGTCCCGGGACGCCGCATGCCTACGTCCAAGTCGTGTTCAGATATGGTCGGCTTGGACCCCGAATCAGCACATATTCATCGTTGCTCACGAGCTCATCACCCTCTGAGGATCCGAGATGGCCGACATGTCCTGACGTGCCCGCGAGGCATTCACCACACCTCTCTGGCCGAGCATCATCTTATCGTCAATAAACTTCAGGGGCTATGTCGGCACCCGAGCCAGGCTCGCTCGCGGCCAGCCTCTTGGCCTGGGTCAAGTCCTTTGACGCCGGTCGGCAAGCAACAGGGTTGGGAGAATTGAACGACGCCCAAGCGTTATGGGCAATCCTACAGGATGTGGACGCCGTGTATTTCTCTGGGGATCTGCCTGAACCCAGCATCGGCCCAAGCAGCGAATGGACGCGGAAATGGCAGAACCTCAAGTTCCTCGAGAAGCAATTGTCCATGTACTATCGTGATGTCTGCAACGGGCAGGATGCGGCAAGCGCCAGCTTCGTGCCGGATCTCAAGGCTATTGCGGCCGACTCGGTCACTAGTGAGCTCGAAAAGCTCATCATGTCCATCATCAGGGCGGCGATGCTCTCCCCAGAGTCTAATGAACGAATGGGAAAGCGACTGATGGCATTGGGCAACGAGCACGCCATGGCGATCGCGTACGAGATCAGAAGCATGCAGGACACAGACATGCCTGACTCAGAGACGGCTAGCCGCGCTGAGTCAATCTATCAGTCAGAGCAAGATGTATCGGAAAAGGGAAAGGTGAATGGTACAAAGGACATCGATGGGTATTTCGGAGATCCGCTGTTGGAAAGAGAGGAAGAGCTGCTCCAGGCTCAGGCAACCATCGAGAAGCTTCAGGCGAGTCAAGCTGCAGCCCAGCGGCAGCTGCAAGAACTGCGGCAGGACAAGGAACATCTACAGGAAGCATTTGACGCGTATCGCTCGGAGATCAACAGCAAAGGTCGGAAAGTCACTGGAGAAGATGCGCTTAAGAAATTGCAGCGCCAGGCAGACAGCGATCGTGCGTACATTGATGACATGGAAAGTCAATTGGAATCCTCGAAGAATGCTGTGGATTCCTACGAGCGTCAGATTCAACGACTAAAGGAGGAGAATGAGGCTGCCCAGAAGCTCCGGGACGATCTGCAAATGCTTCGTGCGGAGAATGAGGATCTCACTCAAAAGGTCAAAGCCAACGAGAACCTGAAGAAGAAGATTCAGGCGTTGCAGGAGCAAGAGAAGATCAACATTTCCCTCCGCGAAGAGCTCAAACAGAATGGTGAACGCTTGGAGGAGCTCGATCGTCTGAAGCAGGTGCAATCGTCACTAGAAAAGGAAATCATCGAAAAGAAGGGGTTGATTCGAAATCAAGAATACCAGATCAACGAGCTGACGACGACCCGAAAGCATGCTGAGTACGATGCTCGCGTACTGACACAAAAGCTCGAAGCGGCTCGCGAACGTCAAGAACGCGACCACGAAGCACTCGAAGATTTACGCAATCGCTTACAAGAACGCAACGGCAGCGACGATGTCGATCTCGATCCTCCGATTGAACCCACAGCCAAAACTCAAACACAAGAGACCAAAGCTCGCGACTCTTCGACCAAAAACACCGCAGAGACGAAGAACCTGACCGACAAAATCGTCTTGTTGGAGCAACAACTCTCCGCTTCAGACGCCCGTCTTAAGCAGGCCTCAGAGCGGCACGCGGCCCTGGAAGAGCGCGACCGCGTCTACCAGACGTCCGTCGAAGCCCATCAGAAAGCACAGAAGCAGCTCGAGGAGCAGGAGAGCATCATCGGCGCTCTACGCCGCGAGCTCGAAATCCTCGCCCGTCAACCGCCGCCCGCCAAAGAGGCCGCACCGGTCATCCCACCGGATGTTGCGGCGCTGCAGCGCGAAAACCAGCTCATGGTGACCGCCTGGTACGATCTATCGAGTCGCTTACAAAACAATGGCGTCTCGCTCAATCGACGGCGTCAGGAGCCGAAGAGCTGGATCGGCAAGCAGCGCGCATTGGTCGGCCCGAGCAGCGGCGGAAATAGCAGTTCGGTAAGTCGAGCCTCCTGAGCCATATGAACACGGATTTCTCGTACGAGATTTTCAATTTTTTTGTTTAATTGAAGCACAACCTTTCTTGCTGACATTTAAATCCATCACAGAGACATTAATTACATCGAATTTATACAGGCTTGGAAGACGCGGTCGACGAACGATCCGAACTTTCAGATTTAGATCAGAACATTGCATCATTCGGCGTTCAGGAGTCAAGAAGACTTCTTTGCATCTGAAATTTCAACAACCTCATCACTTTTCTGCTCACAGAATGTTCGAGCGTGCATAGCGCTATGGACACAATAACAGTTTCCACATCGCTAAAGTCTCGGCCCGCTTCCTTTTGTTTCCTTTTTTGATTTGTATAACATGCGCTCCAATGAGCGAGAAGCGTTGTCAGAGCGCGTTGGTTCGAGAAGCAGCTGCTATTCCGAGACCGATCCGGAGCCAGAATTGATGGCACGTGATCGGCGCGCTGGAGGCGTAAGATGGGGCCTGAGTGCCAGGACTGTGCCTCTGTCGCTGATGGAGGGGAGGAGTCTCGAATAAGCGACGTCTAATGTGGGATCGATGCGCGTGATGAGTGAGGAGACTCGTCTGCTGTGATCGTAGCTGTTCGGCATAGATTGTGACACACCCGCCGAGGAGACGGATGAGGCATGTAGAATCGTACACGAATAGAAGACCTGGCCCCGTGTGTGTGAAGTGACTTTCTATTCGGGCGCTGGTTCGCCCTTGATGTGACGCGTAATCGCTGCCGCTGCAATCGAAAGTCGAATTGCGCGATGATTCCCAGGTAGTAATACCTTGAGCCGCTCTTGAGTCATTCGTGGCGCGAGGAAAGCACTCGATGTGCTTTCGAATCGTACTGCACGTAGCCGTAGATCACAACCTTCGACGAGACGAGCACGCTAAATTAGAAGACCTCCTCAGTGACGCTCCTCCCGAACCAATTTCCCAGCTCATCTTCCGGCTCATCCTCGCCGTGGAAAAAGCCAGTCAATCGCATATTATCCGAGCTTCCCTCGGGCTCCGGCCAATCCACTCGACAAGGCGCGCTCTTCGCCTCGAGCAGCTCCTTCGCCGTACCCCAACTGAACCGACACTCGCTTCCCCAACCAAACACCGGGTCCATGTTCGCCTTCAACCAACTCGAACATCGCGGATCGGAAGGATATCCTGATCCCCACGCCACCTCGCCCTCGGCGCCGGGTGCCGCGTAAGACGTGTATAGGACATCGAGCGCCGCGTCACGCGTCACTTTGGCGCAGACCGACGCGGCGGACACACAAGGGTACAAACTATCGGCCTTTTTGGCCACGGTGATGCTCTGCGCGGGGAAAATGCGTTCGAGTTTCTTCTGGTAAACGGCCGGCGAGCCGATGGTGTCGATGTAAATCTCGCGAATGTTCACGCCTGAATCCAGGACCTCCTGGATCAGTGCGATGGTCGCGTCCATGGCTTGCGCGTTGAGGTTGTATGTCCCGTGCGGCCGCAGCATGGCTGAGGAGATGTCGCGGGCGGAGAGCGAGCGGGTGGCCCAGCCGCATTGGGTGAAGAGGTCGGTGCCAGGGGTGCAGATGCGCTCCATGAGGTCGGAGCGGACGGCGGGAGTGAGGACTTTGGAGTCGTCGAAGTGATGTGTTTCTGCGAGAAGGGAGCGGTGGATTGTGGTTGGTAGATAGTAGAGTGCGTATACCATTGGGCCTAGGTTATCGTCAACGTCTGAATACGAAAGCTTTCTTTCATGAGGGAATTCTCTACCTAGGACTGGACCTCTACCAGCTTCGTCGACGCCGAGCACGCATTCTATGCTCATGTCGTTTTGTAACAGCTCGGGTATGGCAGAGTGGTGTGTGTAGCTCTCGCCGGAGATGGTCTTCTTGTTATCAATCGAGGGAGGCATAAAGACGTCCTCCGCCGGTGTCTCTTGCATGACGTCGGCCGGCTGGTCTTCTACTATGTCTTCCATGATGACTTTGTCGATTTCTTGCAATATTGTCACTATGGCTTGTTCTTCCTAATTCTCGATACACGCTTCCTGTCGTGATCGATGTATTGCTGCGAGAGAGTGAAAAGTAGCTGCGAGCAAGTAGAGCACGCGTTGTTCACGCGTAAAGTGCTCTCGAGGAAGACGTGTAGCTGGACCCTGCAAAGTTTGGCCGCAACGCCCATAAATTGATCAGTTCTCCTCAAGTCAAGCTCACATCACAGGGAAAGCTAACATGTATTCTACATTTTGATTGCAAATGGTTTCACAACCTACGTAATAGCAACTCTATCTTTCTATGTCGATATTGTCAAGGTCTGATGCTATGATGCATGGTTATATTCGTAAGCATGAGTGATAATTCTCAGCCGGCTGCATCTAGCCTTCACGCGACTGACGTGCATTCTAACGAGCCATTCTCTTACGGAACCTTGGAAGGCTTTCCCTCACTGTTCTGCGAACAAAAATGCGTCGCATGCAAGAATGTCCCTTTCCTCAACCAGCACATCGACGAATGATTGCGCCAATCCGCGTCCCATGAATAGCATGTAACAGTCCGCTCGAGCTGGAAAGTCGACAGAACAGAGTAATTGTGGTTTCCGTCCGAACAAGCTCCCGGTACCTCCGTGGTAACACCAGTACCACAGTCTGGAGGGTGAACTCCTCTTGATCATGCAGAGTTCAGTGGCAGGCGAAAGGCCGAATCTATCCCAACCACTTCCCCAGAAATCCAAATAGACTGCCTCCACCTCCACCTTCACCCTGTCTCGCCGCCTCCCTCTCAATCCACCTCCTCAAGAACTCCCTACTCTTCAAATCCTCCGCCTTCACAACCTTCGTCTCCAACTGCGGCTCCTGGCGATCAAACGCCAACAAGGTCGGATCCTGATTCACCGCGTATCGCAACGCCACTCCGCCCATGCCGCCCAGATCCGGGCTGTCCGTCTCGACCTCGACGAAGCTCACCCCGCCGCTTCCCTCACCGACGCCGTCGCGCTCGAGGAGTTCGTGGATCACCGGTCGGATCTCATCGCTGAGCGTGCACCATTGCGTGCGCCAGAGGGTGAGCAGCGGCGTGCGGCTGCTGGCGGACATGAGGAGGAGGGTTTGGAGTTCATCTTCGGAGCGGACGCGCGAAGGGTAGATGCGGTTTTTGGCGCGGGAGGAAGTAGTGGAGGCGAACTGGCGGGAGAGGGTTGATGTGGTCGAGAAAGTGAGTCGCGAGCCGCGCAGGGTTGCGCGGATCAGCGGCGTGTACATGACTTTTCTTGTCTTTTTTGAGGCTTCGATTTTCGATCAGGTTGAACACGATTGCAATTGCGAATATGGCCGCTGTTATAACATTGTAGGAAATCAGTGAAGGCTTCCAATGTTGCTCGTGATTGATCTTCGAATCTTGGAACCCATCCAGGCACGAGCCTCCAATGACGTAGCGGTTGGATTTGAGCGAACACGGATAAGTCAATTTCAGCCACAGCACTTGAGCGGGAATTCGTACAAGTTGAAGCTCGAACAGAAAGGCAAGACAGGACAGCAATCAAGCCAGGCTATTTGCAGTACGTAAAAAACACTCCGAACTCGTACGCCTAGAATTATCCGGATGGCTCCTTTCATTCTATGATGCGTCACACATATCCCGCTATCTACCACGAAGAGCTCCAATGGCAACGAGGCCCGTTTGCTCTCGAGATTCCGAGCGGCGGCGCCACATGCTGTACCCTCACCTGCATCTTCTCCTTCTTCTCCTTCTTCATCATCGTAATCATTTATCATCATCATAATCTTCAATCGTAATCGTCTGTCGTGTCGTCGTGGGAAGAGGAAGAAGTGTAAGTATGGAACGTCTTGAATATATCGAGAGCGTCTATGCACTGAAGAGTGCTTCGACTGCGGTCAGGTCGAGTAATGTACATGAAGTACCCTCACACAGCTGTACCTTGTCGACTGATGCATCGAGATCCCTGAGCAAGGGGTTGCGCTCAAGCAACCAGTCGCCGGACGGAGAAGTTGTGTCTGAAGCATTGCCGCTGACGCGCAGCACGGTGTAATTTGGTCGGATATTTTCCTGTGCGATTCGAACCGCAGCCTGGGCGAGCTCTCCTGCACCCGAGATAATGAGGCTTCGCATACCCATGTCAGCAGCCACGACGCTGGACAGCATGCCACTGAACAACCCCGGATGTTGGCTGATCTCGACCTCGAAGCAGGAAAGAGTTCGCTTAGCCATCTTGGCGTAGGTTTCATCGTTTAGCAAGGAGGATAGCCGGAAGAGGTTTGAAGCGCTGACTCCGTTGACACTGGGCTCAGAATTGTCCATCGCATCCTTTGTGCGGATGAGGATATCGGGTTGCTCAGCCGGAGTGGAGAAAAAGGCATATTTCTCTTCGTCCCAGAAGAGGCGATTTTGAGTCTGTTGTAGGCGATCGGCCAGCGCAAGCCACTTGCTGTCAAAAGTCGCTTCGTAGAGATCGATCAATCCGAGAATAAAGAAAGCGTAATCGTCCGCGAATCCGGGAGTGTCGCCAGGGCCTTCGCGGAAGACTCTTCGTAGCGTTTGCGTTTCCTCTTCCAGTAGATGTGTGCGGATGCAATCGGCTGAATTCTGAGCAGCATTGATGTATGCTGCAGATTCTTCGGGATGAGATGACTTGAGAGCCGCACCTGCTCGAGAGAGACCGCCGATGGCGAGTCCATTCCAGGCTGTCACGATCTTGTCGTCCAGAGCCGGTCTTGGCCGATTGCTCTCCCGGTAAGCCTGGAGCTTTCGCCTCCCGCTTTGAACAATTTGATCGACCTTTTCAGTTTCCATACCTAGCTCGCTGGCGAGAGCTGGCACTTCGTATCGGACGCATAGCGTGTTTTGGCCTGCAAGTTCGCCCTGCGGATCAAATCTAGCGTCGATGTTTCCATCGGCATGGACGCCCCAATACTTTCTGCAAATATTGAACTCCTCCTCATCTAGAATGCTTCGGAATTCCTCTATTTTCCACACGTAATATGCGCCTTCCCGCTTATGCTCATCACCTGATGTTGGGAGCGAGTCAGCATCCTCGGAAGAATTGATACCTCCAAGTGGGGAGGCCATTGGTGGGCTCGTCAGATATGTGGCAATGTCCTTGAGGGTGTCCAAGAACAATGGCGACTTGGTGACCAAATAGGCATCCAGGTAGACTGGAAGGAGCTGTGCGTTGTCATACAACATCTTCTCGAAATGTGGCAGGCTCCAGTCTCTAGTCACGGAGTATCGTGCAAACCCATGGCCGACCTGGTCCTTCATACCACCCTTGGCCATACACTCCAACGTCTTGACAGCCATGTCGCGTGCCTCCACACACATGTCCTCTCCAACGATTTCACGGACTTCTTTCGTGTAGCAAGCGACTCGTAAAAGTGGTCGAATGTGCACGGGAGTTGGGAATTTGGGAGCGCCGCCAAAACCACCGTACTTGGAATCGAATCGTTTCCGGTAGTGAACAAAGGCGTCTTCTAGGATGTCCAGTTCCAAGCTGACATTCTGTCCATCATCGGGTTTGCCATCACCACGTTCGCCGAGCATACCCTCCTGCGCGAATTCTCGCAGCTGCTGGATGATCTGCTTCGCGCTGTCCCGGCATCGCTGCTCTTGCTCCTTCCAGGCTCCCGCGACCTTGAGCAAGATCTGTTCAAAGTCAGGCCCACCTCCTCGAGATGCACGCTCACTGCTCGGGCTTGGCCAGTATGTGCCGCCGAAGATGGGTTCGAGGTCCGGGGTGACGAATACGTTCAACGGCCAGCCACCACCACCACTCGTGGCCTGCAAGAAGTCCATATATTGGCGATCAATGTCTGGTCGCTCCTCTCGATCAATCTTAACTGGAATGAAGTGCTCATTCAGGATCTTGGCAATGTGTGGGTCATCGAAGGACTCGTGAGCCATAACATGGCACCAATGGCATGCTGAATAGCCAATGCTGACAAACAGCAAGCGATTCGTCTTCTGCGCGAGGGCGATCGTGTCGGGCGTCCATAATTGCCATGCTGTCGGGTTGGAAAGATGGGAGCGGACATAAGGACTCTTGCTATCACCGCAGCGATTGATCAAGGACAACGAGACGGTGTTGTCGCTTGAATGCGGGGTTGAAGTGGATGACAGAGCGGGGTGGTCAGAAACAGCGGCGGAGGAAGCAGAAGCAGACATGATGACGATGGTGATACAGGTGTGGGGGGAAAACAATTATGGGAATTATGGAGCAGACAAACGGACAAGATCAGAAGAGAGAAAAGTCACATTGGAAGGAAGCTGGTATCGACCATGTCGTGAAGGTGACGATAACATAACACGCACAAATGGAGGCGGTGCTGCAGAAAATTTCTCGAACCCGCGCACGCGTGATAATGAGGGAGATATTGGCAATGGCGACAATGCCGGGAAACCTCTGGAATGCTACATTAGTAGTAGTAGTAGTAATAGTAGGTAGATACCGTACATTGTACAGATCGTGTGGTATTGCAACAGAACGATGCCACGGAAGCTCCGCCTAGAACGCACAACACACACGCGGCGATAATGGATGGAAAGAAGCGACCAGGGGTACGTATGTACAAATGCCACCACGCTTTCCATTTGCGGGAACAGAACTGTCAAAAAGTGAGTTGGTCGCGAACTTTCTGTCGTTGATTCGAGCGACGAGAGCGTAACAAACACCCACGCATCCGCCCTTTCCTTTGGCCTCGTCTTGGCTTCTCTGACGCTCGTCCGCGCACATTGACGATGGTGCGGAGGGGAAATTCCACCAGAGCTTGACACCAGCCACAGTGCGTTGATGGCGTTCTTTCGATGTAGAACCCGTTGACGTCGCCTTCTATCGCCGACCGAAGCTGGCAACACACAGTCATGGTCGACCCTCCAAAATTCGTCTGCCGGGAAGGATTCTCGCTCCACACATTGCTGATCAATTGATGAATGTGAGTCTCATCATCAACTAGATGCATCAAGGCAGCCAGGTCGGGATATCCAGCACAGTGCATGTAGGTGGGCGCGGCGTGGAGGGAGCGCATCTACAGCAAGTGGAGCCGAAATTCTCGACACGCTGGGCAAGGGTCTGATGAGTTCCGATACTGGAGAGACATGGTGCAGAGACCCATCTATGGATCTGGTCCCTCGCCGGAGCAATTGTGAGGCTGCCTGATGGGCAATAGCACCATGTACTTTACTCGAGAGCAACTGGAGACAACTTATTGGATATGTGGGCATAGGCTCACCGATGGCTTTGAGGAAACCATTTCCGGATCCCTCGTTCGGAACCTCTTATCAACAATATATGGAAACATCCATGGATGTATATCTATTGCTGCGGTAGTGAGGAAGGAAGGATTGCTGAGCTACCTAGGTATCTGGCTTATCAATCTACCACCGCCTGTAGCAAGCGCGATCTCACATGATGGTTGTGCAATTAATTTGTACTCGGAAGGCGAACGTCGTCGCCGTCGAGTGTTAATCGGTGGGCAGGCCGCTCGGATTGCGCTTTCAGTTGGTAGGACGACCGTCGACTTCGAATGTCTTCATCAAGCCATGTGCAATTATTGGAGGGGAGGGATGAATGACTTGAATACGAAGCACACCTGGGCAGGCAACATCTTTCTTGTTCCCCATTTTGGGCGGTGTCACTGCTCGACGCTGATAGGCTGTCGGGCACGATCTGCACCAAACTGTCACAACTCTGGCATGATGAAGAATTGTAAAGTCTCCACCCTCCGTCCTAGGAACCTTGGGGGTTTCCGAAGCTGTAGGACCTAGGCATGTATAGTTCGCATACATGGGAGTTTGCTAAGTACTATTCTATAAAAGTCGTTCTTGAAACGATCTGCTGGGTCGAAATGGATGAGACCTCCCTCAAGCCTCTGTCATGATAAGATCGTTCTCCCTGTGTAGAACTGTTTCCACAAGTCACCAAAGGTTTGCCAAACCATTTGTTACATTTTCGAGGCTTTGCAACGAACGGCCTGAGCATCTGCATCATACGGGTGACATGACGTCGACTACGAATAGTCACGAGGCTCCGAGCGAGCAGCCTTGGTACTCGGCGTATCCTGCACCACGATCAGAAAACCGGACCATCACTGCCGCAGCGGTGCTGGATTTACTGAAGGCGGGCAGCCCATCGGAACAGCGATTCGTGCTGGTCGATGTCCGTCGCGCTGATTTTGAGGTGAGGATTCTTTTTCGAGCAACAAGCAGCATTGAGCGCCTCATGCTCCGGGATGACTATCGAGGAACACATAACATCGTGTCGGGCCTGCTCACTGACGGATATCTCGCAGGGAGGCACTATCCAAGGATCAATCAATTTACCCGCCCAGAGCCTGTACCCGACCATCTCATCAATCTACGACCTGTTCAAAGCGGCGGGAGTACGTCGCGTGATGTGGTATTGTGGTAAGTCCCATACTCGATCCGTGTGCATGCATATGTGCACAGCCTTTCGCCAGTCTTGTTGACCTGATCTATCGGCTCGTCTCGCGGTCGAGGGACTCGGACAGCAGCGTGGTTCGCCGATCATCTTCAGGAACGGAAAGATACCCAGATGGAGAGTCTGGTACTGGTTGGAGGGATCAAAGGGTGGATCGCGAGTGGAGAGGACTACATTCGTCACGTGAAGGATTACGATGCGTCAAAGTGGGCGTAGCAGTTTGGTATCCGATGCGACTGAACTCGCGGGCCTGTTGTAAGTTGTTGACCCTGCCCAGGTGCACTCTGTTCTCCGAGTCTGGAGTGATATAAAGTTTAAAACAATTGTGCCTCTTGCTTGCCTGATAAATGAGTTTTCACACGTCATCCCATTAACTTTGCAGTTGTAGAGACTCGACAGCGCGGTCGTTCTTGCCAATCACTTTCAGCCTGTGACGTCGAATGTTCGCAGGACTACTTGACCCTGGGGCGTTTAGGATCGGCGGTGACATGCTTGATGGACACATGCAGGTGCCCACGGGTGCGAAAGGAGCAAATGAAAGGAAGCGTGGGATGTGAAGCGTCTAACAGGATGATGATAACAATACCTAAAATGATGAATTTATCATAAATACAGGGCGCGTTCCTGCTACAATTCGGCGGACTGCCGGTTCATAATCAACAGCACTTATCAGATCGATGTCCGGTGCACACGTGCATAAAGGTTGCGCATCAAACATCGCTACATATTGCCCAACTGCACATCAATTTTGGCAGCAAGGGCTAGCGATCTCGGCGCATGCCCACGACCTTCCTCCGGAATCCTCCTCATCCGTCATGAATTCCGTGGTGGCAACATTTGCCCGTCGTCAAGACCGCACGTTATCCGCACTGTCAAGAACCTGCCAGCTGAGACCGACCTCCGGACAGGCAATCGCCACCATGTCGACCCGAACCACCATACATGGAGATCTGAACAATTCCGAGGCCATGCGGCGCTCCGAACCGATCGTCGTCGATCCCAGCTGGGCAGGCCGCAGCCTCGCAATCCCGGCCGATCAAGACGACGCCACAGTCCGCGCGCGATACCGACCTTTCCTACTCCCCGAGGCGATCGCCTCGAATGATTGGGTTGCAAGGCTGGAGCTCAGCACGGCGACGAAGATGGCAGCGGAAGATCTGGCCCGGACGGGTGGAGACCGACTGAAGGTCCTCGTGCTGTATGGCAGTCAGCGGGAGAGGTCGTATTCCCGACTGCTCGCCTATGAACAGGCGCGCATCCTCTTCCGTCTAGGATGTGATGTCCGCGTATACGATCCGACGGGTCTGCCGATCAAGGATGATGTACAACATGAGCATCCCAAGGTCCAGGAGTTGCGGAATCTGAGCAAGTGGAGCGATGGTCACCTCTGGGTGTCCCCGGAGCAACATGGCATTCTGGTAAGCCTACGCGCATTGGAAGCGGTGATGCCCATTACAATTTCTTCATTCACTGACTTGCTTCCTTCACGCAGACCGCCGTATTCAAGAACCAGATCGACTGGATCCCACTGAGCACGGGCTCCGTCCGACCCACCCAAGGCCGCACGCTCGCGATCGCGCAAGTCTCAGGTGGATCGCAATCCTTCAACACAGTCAACGCACTGCGGATCCTCGGACGTTGGATGCGAATGTTCGTCGTTCCCAATCAATCTTCCATCCCAAAGGCCTACACGCAATTCACAGATGCCGTTCCCGCAGACCAAGACCCGAGCTCGGAGGAGGGCGGGAGCCGATTGAAGCCCTCGGACAACCGGGACCGCGTCGTCGACTGCATGGAGGAGTTTGTCAAATACACGCTCATCATGCGGCAGCATTTCGACCTGTTCAACGATCGATTTAGTGAGCGGCCGAGGATGGATGTCACGCCAGTGCTGCCCGAGTCACGATCTGCGGAGACAAATGGCGCAGGGCAGCAGGGCGACAACAAGGGTGACGACTCGAGCACGCTTAGCGGTAAGAAGCTCGTGAATGGAGTGGATCTCGCCAGCGTGTGAGTAGGGAGGTGCTCTCGTCGTCGCATGGAGTCGCGTTTCCGTGAGAATTTACGACGCAGCATCCCAGGAAGGAGGGAGAGGGTCATTCTCACCAGCACAAGATCAGACACGTTTGTACAATAGGTTATTAGATCAGGGAGTGCCCGGGACTGGATTTCTGCGATGAGATCGCAGACGCGTTGCGAAAGAATTTCGTCGACAAGTCGGTGCAGGTCGGTCTGGGAGGTCGGAACGAACCACATGGCTTACATGTTATAGGCCAAGGCTAGGATAAGCAGCAGTGCCGCAAGGAGAAAGCAGGAGTGGAGTCACGGGAAAGGTATGCGTCAAGAGTGCGCAAAAATGATTGATGATCATAATGTCATTGCCGACGAAACGGCGTAGAACATTTATTCGTCTCATGCAGAAATACAACCAGATCAGGCAAGGGGACGCTGGTGAGCGTGACCACGCAGGAGGAAAGGTTGTAGAGATGCAGAGAGGAGTGAAGAAATGGAGAGAGAAGAAATCAAAGAAAAAGCATGAACAACGACGATCCGCCAAATTTCATCCGGTCAGGAGAGAAAACATGACTCCTCGGGAGGCCCGCGTCCTCCGCTCCGGACAAGGCTTGCACAGCAATTTGTTCGAAGCATCGGCCGTGGGAGAGAGAGAGCAATAAATTTCTTGACCGTCTTTGTCACACTCACACAAAGCCACAAAAATGAAGAACATGAAGAAAAAACCACACATTGGGGGAGAACGAAAAAGTTTCGACCTTGTGCAACTGTGCTGCGAATGAAATCCTTGAAGTTTCGGCTTACCGCAGCCTTGCTCCACCACATTGCTCGTACCCCGAGGCTTGCGATTCCTCTCCACGAATTCCGCCACCGCTCGAGGAAATCTAGTAGCCGGTCAAGGCCTTGAACGCCGTGCCGACAATGGTACGGAGGGGGTCGGCGGGAGCCTTGATGTTGTCGGCGTACTTGCCGGCGTAGTTTCCTGGACTCTGTTAGCGCAAATCGTACGTGATATTCAAGGTGTTTCCGTGAGCTTGGCCTACCAGGGTTCTTGTAGTTGCAGACGGTGAAGTAAGGAGCGACACCACCACCGGTGTTGCTGAGGCCTTGGCCGCTGCAGTCGTAGGTAGCGCAGCCGACGGTAGTGGTGGCAGCCCAGACGATCTGGGAAAAGTGACCCCACTTCTCGAAATCGGCCATGTTGGGGTTGGGCTTGCCGTACTGCTTGGCGAAGTAACCGACCTCACCGTTGTAGAACATGTCGGTGATCACAGTGGCGATGTTCTCGGCTTTGACGCCAGCAGCAATGTTTTGACCGTATCCACCGCCGTTAACGTCGCTGTTTCAATGTGTCAGTATAGAACAGGCGGGATGACTAGATTGTGAACGACATACACGTTGTGAGCGTAGTTGCAGGACTTCGCGACTTCCATGGCAGAAGCGGCGAGATCAGCATCCCAGGCGAGAGCGGGGGAGGAGTGGTTCTGACGGTGCTGGTTGTGCGTGAAGACGACCAATCCAGCGTAGTCGGTGGGAGCATCGCCGGAAGACGCGGGGGCGGGGGCCGGGGCGGGGGCCTGGACGCTCTCCTGGGTTGGGGCCGGAGCCGCAGCCTCGGTGACGGCGGGAGCAGTCCAAGCCTGGGCCTCCTCGGAAGAGGTGGTGGTGGGAGCGACCCAGACGGGAGCCTCAGTGGTGGTGGGAGCGACCCAGACGGGAGACTCGGTGGTGGTAGGAGCGACGTAGACCTCAGTGGTAGCAGGTGCAGTCCACACCGGGGCCTCGATCGAGGTAGTAGTCGGGGCAGCGGCAGTGGTTGGTGCAGGTGCTGGGGCCTCGATCACGGTAGTAGCGGGAGCTGGCGCCGGGGCGTTGCCCCAGGTGTTGCCGCCGTGGCCGTAGTGCTTGTTGGCGGCAGCGGTAGGAGCGGCAGCATCACCAGCAGTCGCATAGACAGTGACGATCTCGGTGTGGAGAACGACCTCGACGTCGGTGACGATCTCGCGCTTGTTGAAGGGCACGGCGAGGGCGCCAGCCGCGAGGGCGGCGATGGCGAAGGTGGAACGCATGTTGGGAAGGAACGTGGTCGAATGAATGTGTGAGTGAGCGCGATTGGCGGATTCCAGATCCTAGTTATGTGACTTTCGAAATGGTCAGCATGTTGAACGAGAGGAATGTGATGAGATCGAGAACAATGACAGGGAGAGTGAGGTCTATATATCTTGAGCTGCGTGCCGAGCGGGTGCTTTTATATTCCGATTGCAGTCGTGACGCCGTTTGTAGTCACGTCATGGCTCGCGACATGACAATCGACATGCGCCCAAATGATGTCGTTGTTGCCGGTCGGGCGATCGCAATGCGGCCATTCCATCCACGGCACGCGACCATCCTCGCTCCCTTCTCGTCGGTGTTGATAACATGTAATCGCGTTCATCCTCCACGACGCACAAGCACAAGTTCCGGTTCGGGCGAGGTCATGATGCCAGGAAGATACTCACTCGCGAAGATTCCTCACAGAGGCTTGACCGGAGAAGATGATGGATCGAGGAACTGGCGACCGGGTCGATATATGTGAAGAACGCGAGGGGTTTGGTAGAGAACGTCGGTGCAGCAAAGGCCGCAGAAAGAGTGACTGTGGTGAGCTTTGGTGAGGAGAGACCCTCGATGTGTGTTGTGGAATTCCAAACGATGAAGCGACGAGAAGGGAAGCCAAAAGGGAAAAGAGAAGGAAGCACAGCGGTAGAAGAGGCAGAGGTAGTAGAGGTAGAGGTGGTGGTGGTACTGCAGGTACAGCAATTAGGTTGACGAGTAGCGTGACGGGTGAGTGCGAGAGAGTAGTGTGTGCGTGTGGGTGGGTGTGTTTGTGTGTGAGGGCGTGCAAGTGCAAGGCGACACAGGGGAGACTTGTGCTGCTGTGTGCAGGTGAGCGATGCGGAATGGGCGCTAGTGTCGTTTCGGTTCGCCGACGCATGCTGCGCTAGCGGGTGTAATTTGTTTCTTAGCCAGGGGAATTGCACCAGCGATTACTGTATTATCGGGCATTCGTCTGCGGGAGAGGGAGGTACCTCCCTCTTGTTTATGAAATTACATGGCCTCATCCATCATCACTCTTCCTCTCCCACTCAGTCGGTCGGTCTTTGCGCGCGCGGATGGCGATGTCTGTGTGTGCCCAGGCGTGTTTGTGTCTGTATGTGGGGGAGAGCGGGAGAGACAAAGAGGCGGGCGCTTTCCTCCTTGTTGCATGTGCACGAGCTGCTCCCCAAAGCCTGGAGCCTTTTCCTCCTTCCCTCCTACTCTTGTGCGCTAACCTCGCCGATGAGAGTCCTGGAAGGGATGAAAGGCAGGGCAAGCAAGCGCCCCGATGATGAGACGGTCTCTCTGGGCAGCCTGCTGGGCGCGCATACGGGAGAACAACCAGCACAGGTATGGATCAATTCCAGCCATACAGATGTAATAAACCACAATCATCCCAGCCAAACCTCACCCGCCTGGACATCTACCCCCAAGCAATGATTTGTCGTTATATAACATTCTTGCATCGAATATCATTCTCGCGGGTGGAGGTGGAGTAGTGGTGGCTTGGAGGAGGGGCCGTCCTCAAATTGCCCAGGCGTGTTTTGAATCTCCACCGACAATTGTCAATTCATAGAGCCTTGCTATTCATTGCTGACCAGCTGACTGCAACAATGAAACGCTTTACGAAGAACAAAGGAGAAGATGCACAATCCTGTTCGTGATGCGCCCATGCTCCAACCACGGACTGTTCATGTTTCATTACGAGGAGGACATCATCTTATGCCACCCAATTACGTGACTACTTCGAAGGAACTTTCACTCATCCTGCGGTGCAATGCGCCTTGGATGGAATCGCGCGATCTGAGAGGTCTATGTGTATAATGAAATCGCAACTACAGATTTGACATCGAGTATTCCGCGACAATCACGTCGACGACGACAATCCTCGACAATCATCGCTCTCTCGAGCTGCTGGAACGAATGGGTGCCGTCGCTTCCGAATTCGCGTGTAGGGAAAGCGCGAGCGACTAGCCGCCGCGTTCCCGGCCGGAAATGACATCCCCTCCCTTCCCTGTCAGCAGGCTGGAATTTGAGAATGGATGGCATGTTTCGAAAAAACGTCTGTGAGTGACGAACACCTTGCACCCACCAATGGTTCACAGGGCCGCCCTGCCACTGGCTGGAAGGGGTGATATTGTGATATCTCGTGAGTTTAATGACGGGCATTATGTGATTCCTCTCCCATGCCTCTCATAGGGTCATCCAGGCCGGTCTAGTGTCAAAGGAATGATGAGATGAGAACTCAATGAAATCAACCATCCCCACGCGGCACCCCTACCCGTCGCTGACCATGCACGTTCCCGAAAGAGCTGGAATGATGATCGACTGTCGTACATACACACGCACGTCGACCTTTCATCATGTATTGGACATTCCCACCGTTGGAACGCACGCGCGGGCACGATCGGGTTTATTGTTATGCTGTTGAGTGTCGAGTGTCAAGTGTTGGGAATGCTCGCGGAGACGAATCTCACTCAATTGGGTCCGGAAGCGCTGCCGATGCAAGCATTCACGAAAACGAACTGTTAGGGGCGGCGGCGCGTCGCGACGAGTTGTTTCAAAAGTCTCTCTCGCCCGCGCGCTTTCTGTGCGCAACGCTTCGCTTTGCCCCCGGCGCGAAAACCAGGGCCTGTGGGCTTTTCGATCCAATTTCAGGGACATTGCCTGGACGAAAGAATTGATCTAGCCTGCTGGCGCTCGTGCTGGCGCTTCGAATGATTTGAAAACTCGTGATAACATACTAAGTATGCACATAGTTGGGACCTGTGTCGCGATGATTGTCCCTTTATCTTTTGAAGTTATGACTGCATGTCGATTCATCATGTGCCTTTCGCTTCAATTGATGTGTCGCATGCAGAGGGCACACGACTGCTCTGGTCAATATGCAGGCACGGGAGAGACCTTCTCGCTGCTACACCTACAAAGCTGCAACTACCCACGCCACGCATCGTGCTTTGTCCATTTCCAGTCTAGTCGCACCTCGTGCTCATGCCAGGTACAGATGCCCGTTCGATTGGACTAGAATGGACGACGCCTTCGTAGTGCCGGTGTGCTGTAATAATAATAATTAAGTGCTGTCCCAGGCGGTTTGACATTGGAATATGCTGGCGGCACCCGCCAATCCTTCGAACAAGATCCCATTGTGACCTGTGAACACTGTGCCCTGCCCTGCCATGCCATGCCCAGCCAGGCCTCCTAGGCGCCATCTCAAATCGCTCATCAACATTCGTATTTGCCCGATGGTCCCTGTCACCAACCATGACACTGTCCGCTCGCCTTGTCGCTTGGCACACGGAGGCTGGCCCAACTTTTCGGAAACCCGCCGCTTGACCCGCTATTCGGAAGGTACAGTAGTGAGTAGCATGGCGGGGGGCGACCCGCCATGCCAGCAACAAGTTTCCGACCCGGGCGCTTGACGAAACTGTAAAGAAACAAAAGACATCCACGGCGTCTCCATGACACGAAATTCAGATTGCCTTTCTTTGACGCCCTGGGGAAATCCTCACTGTCCTTCCGCCAGAGTTTCGGTCTCCCCCGCTATAAGGACATCCTCTCTCCCTTCTGTTGGAATCCGAGGCGCATGAACCGAAACGTGTGTGGCGTTGGGACACGGCGGGGGAGGAGACTGTTGGTATTATTGCCGCGCGTTTTCCAATCTCTGCCAGATGCAGTATAGAGATGGATAGGTACATAGGTATGCAGTACAGGACGGATGTCGTGCATGCGTATGCTTTGATATCGCGTGCAAATTCGATGGCAGCCGGTGTACCGAGAGCGATCCCATGTCACTGCTCCTCCTGCTCCTTCCACCAGACGCGGTCACGGTGTGTATGCGTGTCTGATCGGAACTCGGAACGTAAACCGTTTTCAACGTACGTTGGGAGCGTGACGTGCTACATGACGACGACGTTCAACATGAAATAACGACATATTCCCAACGATGAGAGAACGCTATACACTGTACCTTGCAATCATGTCGTGCTCCGTAAAAGATAATTGATCCGCGCGGGAAAGCCCTCGACGATCACGATGGAAAGACGATGCGCACTTGATGAGAAGAACCTCACTCCCTCAACGAATCAACAAAGAGTCGCTTCCTCACTCTGTTACACGCGCGTAGATGAAACCCGGGGAAAGCTTGAGACCGTTCCACAACCATGCCACCACGATGACATATGATACCGCTGCACTGCGGCGTTTCATATTCTCGTCGTGACCCTGCCGTGCCGCCGTCAGTTCGGGTGACTTCCAAGGTTTTCCTGCCCCATAACGTGTGCTGGATGTTTCAGAGCGCGTCCGACACAATCCGTGCTATTCAACCTTGTCACCAAGTGGTCCGGAACGACGTAGCATTTCGGCCGAACTCCCAGGTCCCGATGTTCATGCCACAACCTTGTTCTCAATTGTTTCAGCTTCACGTGAGGGCGCGGCCGTGTGACTGACGACCTCCAGCGGCACAGAGGCGCTCTGACTTCCACTGCCATGCCGGATGGCGATCGTGCTCTCGTTGAATTGTGCGTGCCTGCCATGATGTGCTGTGATTTTGATGAAATTGGAGTCCCATTGTCGGGCAGAAGCGTACATCCTGGTAGGCGACAGGGGCAGCGGTATGCAGTGGGCATATCATTGCCCCAGCGAGGTATTCTTGAAACGGCATCAGCTGTTCAGCTGAGGGTCAAGTTGCGTCGTGCTCCATCGAAAGGTGATTCGGACAGAACTTCGTCTACGGTCGAGGTATCTATGCCTACCTCGGCGAGGCTCATTACAGTCGCGAATTGAGACGGTCTCTCCTAGATGACCTGCTCATTTTACAGGACTTCGAATTCCATTGTTGCTCATCACTGGGCTGGTACCCATCATACTTACATCAATGATGTGTGAAGCCAAGTCTGAGCTGAAAATGGATAACAAATGCATGCATATATATTTCCAATCGGCATTTAATTGACCTGTCTTCGCTCATCTCGGCATGCCCAGTCTTGGTTGAGGCAATCTACTTTCAACCAACCCGAATCACTAACCCTAATATTATACACAGCTGGAGCCCTGGAGCCCCCCTGGAGCCCGAGAGCTTGCTCAAAATGAGTTGGGATACATCGGATATATCAACCCAGTATTATTACACGACGTCGATGCGGCCTCCACACAGATCCTCCGACTGGAGCTGAACGCCGGGACCCCACAAAGGTTGCCTCGATCACATTCACTATCAGACACGCACACCGGCTCCTTGAAAACCGCCACGCCGTCGCCATCCACGGTGTAGTCGCTTTCCGAGGGGTCAATGACCGAGCAGCCGCTGCAGAGGCAGCAAAAGCCAGGACGGCCCTTGAATGACGTGCACCTCTGGATCATGTTCGGCTGGGGATAAGGTACGCATGTGTTTGCGCTGGGGCTCGGGCGGCATACGGTCACTATCAGGACCAAGCGCATCGCATCCAGCTCGAAGATGCATTGATACGCAGCTCTGTGACAGAAAGCAGGAAAATATCGTCAGCTATTCTTGAGTACCTGCCGCTATTGACAAGCTTGAAGCGTAACTTGGCTTCGGGCCATTCGTTTGTTGTGAGCCTTGTAGAAAGGGTTTGAAAATATGAACATTTGATGCAAAAGCCATCATGCCTGTCGCATCCTCTATCTGCTGAGTTTCGTAAAACGGTCAGCATCGCCCTCTGTCGGACGTCGTATCGACAAGAGTGTCGGTCGATGCGGTCTGCCGTGCGAGTTTTTCCACTTCGATTCGCGAGTACAGGCGCCCTAGCTCCGCTTCACTCTGTGGGAACTATCCATTGAGCATCCTGTCGCGCGAGACGTTGGCCAGTTGTAGTCACGAGGTTCGCACCACGGACCGGTTGTTCGAGTTCGGTATGGCGGCCCACCCATTCACAATCAGCTGTGGCTGCAAAGTGAGGTGGCAGTCGAAGCACAGCTTATGCTCCTCAAACAAGTACGAGCGATGTCAATCTCGCTCGCTCGCTTGACAACATGGCATCTGTATGATTCGAGACAAAGCTCAGGCTTTAGGCGCAGCATCTCGTGTTGCCCAAGAAGGAGCATCCCTCAAATATTTTAATTATTCTTGATGGCCTGCCTTCACGTCGATTGTGATGCCATCGGAATGTCCTGCGGTGCCTTTTGCCCTTCAGCTTCCGACACCTCCACCTCCTCCTCCTCCTAAAAAGTCCTTGAGGTTAACCTGACCGGAACCTCGATCTAATGGTTTCGGCGTCTCTGCACCATCTTTCCAGCCAATCATGTAGATCGTTCGAAACGTCGCAGGCAAAACGGTGTTACCGTCCTCCTGAATTTCGCCGTACAGCTCTCGGTAGATCGCCTCTGTCGCCAGGAGCGCATCTCGACTGATAGGGCCAGGCTCTCTGCGAAGCGCAGCGTTGCCTTCTCCCATTGCTTGCAAGTCTGTCATCAACGCAAAGATGTTGGGATAGTCGACCACGATGTCGTCGACATCCACCGTAAGCAGCTTGAACCCTGCCCGTGAGAGCAAGTTGCCGACGTCTCTTACGTCTGCGAGTGGCGAGATGTGTGTTCCGATTCCACCCAGACGTTCTTGTTCGGCGAGCTGCAAGCTTCCTCGAAGCTCGAACAGACTGTCTCCACCGCTCATTGCGGCAATGAAGGGAGCATCGGGTTTGAGGCAATTGTTGATCTGGGCCAAGACGGAGGGCAAGTCGTTGATCCAGTGAAGACTCAATGAGCTAATGACCAGATCAAAGGTCTCAGATTCGTATGGAACGTATTCCGCATTCTTCAAAACGTCTCTTTTGATGTCGATTTCGGTGTTGAAGGAATCCTCCGCATCCCGATACAGAAGGGTCGGACTGGCCTCCGCACATGTTATGTGACCGATTCGCTTGGCAATAGGATCGACGTGCGGTTTGTCGCTGTCAGGATCCGGGTCCGGGCGAGTAAGAATGCGAGCGATGTTGCAGGCATTGGCGCCAAAGTCTAAGACTTTTGGAAATGTTCGATTGATGTCCAACAGTCGATCACACAGGCGAGCCGCGACTTCATCGCGGAGGTAATCGACCTGTCTGCTTTGCTGTGTAGATGTGGCTGCTCGCTCTTTCTGCAGCCATTTGGTCCTATTGGAGAAGACCTCCACAGATGGCGCGCCAGGTGATTGCACGGCGTAAGTTCGAGCTCTGGACTGTGAGAAGCCTCTCTTTTGTAGGTGCGCGCGTCGGCCCAATGCGATACGAACTGATATCGGACGCATTTCTGTGATGTGGGCTTGTAGCAATGTCTGACACAACAGATATGTAGAGCAGGGTCAGAGGCTGGCAAGAAACTCTTACGCCTGAAGCCCGCTGCGGAAGGCTTGAGATTTGGTCATGTCATCACCTGCATTGTAGTTTGCCCCAATGCACGGCCCCCGGACCAGCCGCCGAGTGTGAATGATCAACAGCCCTGGAGCTCTGCACAGTTGCTCAGACAGTGTATGTGGGATCGAGATATCAAGACCTAAGGCTTAAAAGCACACGGGACAGTGCCACGCCTGATATCTTTACGCACATTCCTCGGTTTGGTTAATAATTCGAGCATCATGGTCTGTGAATCTGCAGCGGTATCTATCGTGAACTGATATCTCAGATCACGAAATCGAGCTTGCATGGATCACTTCTCCCCATTCGTTCCGGCTGCGATCAGGGTGCTCGTCCTGCCAGTCCACATAGAAGCATCCCGATTCAATAAACTCGTCGCCCGTCTCCAAAAAGAAGCCAGCGTCATCCGACTAATTGATCTGGCACATGACGAAAAAGACTATCTACTGCATCCGAAATCATTCCCTCATGGCAGGCTCCTATACAATTACAGCACATCGGAACCGTCCCAACAGTCAAGTCAACTCTCTCCGTTTGAGCTATTCAGAGAGCCACTCTTAATTTTGGGCATCGTTGATGAGAGTCATCGTGATGCAGAGCAGCCACAGCTGGAGAATGCGGCGCAATACTTGCGGGAAAAGCATCCCCGTGTGGTACATCGCCAGCTGATAGTCCTGGACGATGATGCGGAACGCGAAACAAAAAAGACCAAATCCTCGACAATCTCGATCAGCAACCTCGATCAGGACCATGATCGCTCCCTGTGGGCAGCGATGCGCGAAGTCTCCACTCGCTTTTTGTCGGATTTGAGCACATATGCGAATGCTTTACAGGCATCACCAAATATCCAGACACCTGGTCAGACCTCACGTAATTATCAAAGGTTCAGTCCACTGCGCGAAAATGACAGGCGTCCAGGCTCGAGTAGTGGCACACCGCCTCAAAGCGTTGGTGTGCCAAGTCCGGTGGATGAGGAGAGTCCGAGGCACTCGAGCGGGAGCCATGGTCCTCCAGCAACTTCATTTGATCAAATGCAAGGTGTGACCGGGATCCAAAGATCTGATAGTAATGCGAGCAATCCGACTGGCAAGATCAAGGCCCGCGCACGAGCGACCAGCAACGATCGTGTGCCGCCACAGGGCTTCGGGTCCAATAATTCACAAGAAAAGCTTCGTGCCCGAGGCAAGGCGCGGGTGGGCATTGTGATCGGTGCGATCCAAGTCATGGCTGGTCAATGGCTTGAGGGTCAAAAGGCACTCGTAGACCACACTAGTAAAGCAAGGAGCCTTGCCGACAATCTGTGGACTGCGAAAGGCCTTGAGATGATCATGGTCTGTCTGCTGTTACAGGCGTGGGCTGAGACAGAATTCTCAATCCCATCCCTATGCTATCCAGCTTTTGAGAAATCCGGACATGTCTCTCGCCTATCAGCCTCACTTTCCCCAGAGAATAAGATCGCGGATGACCCCAAAGAACGACGCAAATCTCAGGTCTCCAACCTATCTAAAGCGATCCCAGATCTACTGAGAGCGATCAATGACCTTTATCGTTCCGCAGAGGGCGCACTGGAATTGCCTTTCCTCGCTCCCGCAGATGCTGCCATTCGATCAGCGAGACTTCTAACCGTGTTGGCTGAAGGCAATGGTGAACTGTCGCTGGAGAGCCTCAAATCGCTCGCGACTCCACACATGAAGCGTCCAGCGATTCTAAGCAGCATCCGTGGGAGGTCATATAGTTCTGGCCCCCGAGCTTTGACGAGGATCGGGATAAGCGACCTGCTCTCTCAGGCGTTACCGACGGACGACGACGGGGTCAACATCGTCGATCACATCACACTTCTCGCAGGCTTGGCCTCTGCGTACTCTACTCTGGGTCTCGAACGTAAGAAGGCTGTCACTGTCCAGGAGATGATTGTGCGTCTCACATCGGCGATGGTCCAAGCACGCAAAATTGGTGCTGCAGAAATGGGCATCCATCCAGCAGCAAGTCTGTCGATGATTTCTGGCCAAGAAAATACCGTCCAATCCGGAGAAGAGACTCGCGGATTTAACCTCTTGATGGACGAGATCTCGAACGTATACGGCATCTCTCTTGTGCCCGATGAACCATCGATAGCTCCTGTATTTGCTGAGCCCAACCATTCCGGGAACAAAATGCTTAAACATGGTATCTTGAGAGAACTTGCGGCATTCTGTGAAGCCTCACCCGATCCTGATGGCCTCCTGCGAGTTAGCGCATCGCACCTGAGGATGGGCGGCCCGAACTCCGCCATAGATCTAGACGCCGAGACAATCTCCTCGACGTTTTCCAGGGAGGAACAAATACACTTGAATGCATTAATAGGTCGGACTGTCGCTGTGTCGAAACACCTTGGTCTTTCTGACAGCCAGGCTGCTTATTGGGATCCATTCATTGTGCGAGACGTGCAATTTGCGCTTCCGACCGCTGAGCAAATCATCATCGACCGATCAAGATTAAACAGCAAAGAAACAGCCATAGATCCAGAGCGACCGGCGAATCCTCTCCTATACGACCCGAACGCAAGTCGACCAGGAACTTCGATTCAGCCCAAGTCCGTGTTAGTGCAAGGAGAACTTGCGAAGTGCATCGTCACGCTTCAGAATCCTTTCAGCATGGCGGTTGAACTGGAAGAATTAGAAGTTGTAACGGATGGTATTCAGCTTCAAACGCACTTCAAGCCAATGAGTCTCGGTCCGCTGCGTTTCCAAAGTCTGCCTGTTCTTGTATCGTCTGCGGCCAGTGGCGACACGAAACTCACCGCCATTCGTCTGAAGGTTCACGGCTGTTATTCTCAAGTATTCCCAATTTTAGACAGTCCATGGGCGTCGCATAGTCCTCTGACGATTAAGAGCTTCAAGCCGGAGGCGCCGTCGGCCTCTGAAACTATTGCTGAGAAAGATGCCCTCCACAGGATGGGCATTCGATCAAAGACCATTTCGGCCACAATTGTCGGACCTCTTCCAACACTCACACTTGAACATTTCTCTCGGTCAGAATTCGGTATCATGCTGCTAGATGGCGAGACTCAAACGGTTACCGTAGCACTCCGCAACACTGGCACCAGTCCCGCCCGCATATTTGAAATAAAAGATAATCAAGGCGTGATCCGCTCTGCAAAGATCACAGATGAGCAGGTCGATGCGGATGACATTCTCGAGCGCATCATACAGCCTGGCCAGACAATCAATTTTAAGATCAGCATCATTGGCAAAGCCGAAGTTACCAGCACGAGAATCAGCTTCTACTACGGACCGGGTGACCCAGATCAGACCAGACTAGCGCGGATCGTGTCCGTCTCTGTCGATATGACTGTCAATGCTGCTCTACAGATCCAGCATTTCGAGATCATCTCGAGGATCGACAACAGCTCCTCTGAGCTCTGCTTGGCATTCGAGATTCGAAATGCGTGGCCGGAATTGATGCATTATCAATGCAAGGACACATCTCAGGATGATAAAGACCTTTCTCATGGTCAGCTAGTCCCTGGAGAGGTGAAACGGATCTGCTTATATCCCGCCCGACCAGACGCGGACTTCGAGTCCACGATTTCCGAAGTCTGGGCCCAACTGTTACGCCAACTGAAGATTACATGGACCGTCGAAAAACGCAGTGGCGTCGTAGACCTGAACGGAATTCCTTGTCCCACGAATAGCATGGAGTCGCTCCTGCAGCCTCCAGCCCGCCTGGCTATTCAAATCCGCAAGAAAAAATCAGGCGATTTGGAACCCATCGACTCCGGCAGCCACGTCCAAGTGTTAGTGGGCCAATTCATCACAATACAAGTTTCAATAACGAACCACTTCAAGCGACTTCTACCTCTACACGTCCAGCTCTCCCCACAACAGGACTCCGACATCGTACGCGACGAGAGACGTTTCGTCGTCGCCGGCGCGCTCCAGCGGATCCTACCGCCAATGACGCCCGGTGCGGTCTCGATGGTGGAATTTGTGCTGTGCCCGACGTTACCAGGGACGCTGCGCTTGAATCTCGCGGCTAGGGCAGCCCGGATCAGTAGCGATTTTGAGCAACTTGGGGATTGGACGAGTCATAAATCTTTCTTCTTGGTCGCTGGGAACACGCCGATGACGATAGCTGACGGAGACGCGAATTGAGCGTGGGAATGTACGATCTAGGATGCCTGTTGATGTACACTGTCAGTCATGCGACACGCTGAAAATCAGTGAAGACGAAGCAGTAATGAACATTCATCTTGTGTGGTACAACACGTAAGTGCTTGAGTGCAAGGCACGTAGACGAAGGTACTGTGTGGCTCGTCCTCAATGGGCTCCTGGGTATATGGAAGAGTCGTCATCGTATGTATGAATCTCGTGTATATAAAGGTGCGAGGGTCGAAATGACAGTTACGAGCCTCGCTACGAGTTTTGGTTGAAGGGAAAAGCGCACACAATCGACGTGGAGCATTTAATACCGAAACCTGCATTCCGATGGATAGACGATACATTATTTACATGATAGAGCGACGCGTGGGGGAAACACTGAACGACATCTAGAAGTGACCTGATCACTAAGCAATCCTTGTCATCTTCCTCATGAAAGCATCTGCTGCAAGCCATAAGAGCTTGTGTGGTTGAAGCCCGGGTGACTGGGATCTTGGTGCTCGCGGTCAATGAGCGCTTGATGGTACTAAATAGAACTGTTAGTTTCTTTGTCGTCAAAAATTGTGTTGTGCCACTCTATAGGCGACATACCTTGAAAATGAAGTTGAGGACAAGAGCAACGATCAGACCAATGCAGACGACGATAGGCCCGATGATTGCATCGAAGTCCTTGCCGCTCCTTCGCTCGATCAGGTGGGTACGCCACATGTACACACCGTAACCCCATGCAGCAGTGAAGAGGGCGACGATGGTGTACACTACAGCGAGGCCACGAGCGATGTTGTTGTCTTTGCCGGCAGCGTTGTAGAGACCCAACGAGAGACCAGCAAGGAGAACAGACACATGTTGCCATTTGATGTAAGTTCTCTGATTGGCGAGCCAGACCTTGCCTTCAACCTTGAGCGGGCCTTGGTCCTTGATCCAGAACTTTGGCTCGACCACACCTGGTGGAAGACGTGTCTTGCCGGCACGTCTGGACTGTGCGAATTTGCTTGTGCTCCAGGTGTGGAAGATATTCTTCAAGCCGCGCGGTGGGCCAGACTCACGGTTGCCCTGAATACCCGTCTCGTCGTCGTCGGGCTCTCCGGCAGTTTGATTGCGTTGGGTCGGCTCCACCACAGCGGAGGTTCCCAGTCTAGAAGATGCTTCTGCGTCACGCTTGATGGTATCTGCGAGCATTGGTGAACCCACGGGAGAAATGACGCCAGGTTTCGACCTAGGGCTAACACCCGATCGGAGTAAAGAGCCGACGGCAAATTCATCGTCACGCTCTTTCTGTCGACGAGCCTGTTCTTCCTCGAAAGCTTGCTGCGGATCTCTGCGAATGTCGGTCTCCATTTCACTCAGCCAGAACGGGAAAATATTGACACCATCGTCGAAGAGCGTCGCAACTCCGTGAACGAATTTGCTGAAACGGGGAGCTGCTTTGACCAGATGGCTGTTCATGATGTCTTCAAGCCATTCGTTCTTCTTGCCAGTATTCTTGATCTTGAATTCAAGCACAGCGAAGGGGAACCGTGTGATCTCACCCTTACGAACGGAAGAGAAGGGATACTCAAGTCGGTTGTTGTCGATGTCAGCACGATGCCACGTGTCGGGATCCCTACATGGACGGTCGAGGTCGAAAGCATCCTCGCGGATGAAGGCTAGATCGGTGTCAAGACTAACACGGACGTGGTCGTCTCCAGGGATCTGGAAAGCAGTGCGAGTGTAGTTCGCGCGCACTACAGGCTGCAGTTCATGCTCGGTAATGAAGCTCTGGATTTCCTCGACCGACGCCTTCATCGATCGTGCCTCTGCACTCTGCTCGCCAGCTCGCTCCTCAAGCTTCGTGATCTGCTTCTCCATGTGGTACTCGTTCTTGAGGAAACGCTGGATGTATTTGTCTTTGGTAGCGAAACGGGATTCGTAGCTTGTATCATTCTCGGTGATGGTCTTCTTCTCCAGGTAGATATCTGGCTTGTCATCGAGTTGGCCGTACCAGCGCAGTCGCAAGGAAGAACCGGAGCTCTTTTCAATCTTGTCCGTATAGAGCGTGAAATCGGGGTTGTCGAAGTATATGCTTGTGATGGACGGATCTGGGGTGAGGCCTTCGGCGACGCGAGATGTTTGAGGATTGTACACTAGCACCGGGAGACGGCGCATGATCATAGTCTTGATCTCCAACAGATTCTCTGGGTGAACCCAAAACTTGTGACTCTTGTACTCTTCTTTGCCTTCTTGATTCTCCGACGCTTTCACGGCCTGTGTGTCGTTGCCGTTCAGGTGTTGTCGCACAAAGCCATACATGGCACTGAGTCGGAAGATAAGAGGACTGTAGTCCTCCTTGTTGAAAGGCAGAGCTGTCAAACGCACTTGAAGCAATGGCCGTACGCGGTAGGCGGTACCACGTTTCCGATCGTGCTTCTTGACCGCCTTCAAGAAGCCAGTGTAGTTGACACGGCTGTATTTCTCAAGCTCGTTCGTCTCTTTGGTGATTTGATCGAGCTCAGACTCGACCTCCTTCAGTATCTTCTGCTTCTCTTCTTCGCTGGGCACCTTTTTCTTTCCATTGCTGTTGCTGCTTCCCTCTTCTGCTGGCTTGTCTTGCGCCTCGCCTGATGAACCCTTCTCGGCACCAGCGATCTGGTCAAGCTTAGCTTCACACCCCGCTGTACGCTCTCCTAAAGCTTCGTATGTGTCTTTGTGAAACTTGTGGACCTTCTCCAACTGGACGTTCACAAGTTCTTCCACGAAAGCCTCCTCATCTTTCTCCGTCCATTGATCAGCGTTTTTGGCAGAGCCCTGCAGGTTGACGCTAGACTCATCCTCGCGGAGGAGCTTCTTGAGCTTGGCGTAGTCGATGTAGTATTGCTTCCACGGCTCGTACGTGGAGATCTGGAGGGTCCGTCCGAACCTCATTTTGAACTGGCAGGTGTTTCTTCGTTGTTGTGTTACAGGTTGTCCTAGTCTGGATCTTCCGCAGACTGCATATGTTGCGGAAACGACAGCAAAGAAAGATTGGCCTCGAGAGTGAAAAGACTGGTGGCCGGGACAGAAAGGTGAACCCGGTGGTAGGCAATATGGACGTTGCGGATTGCGAACCGAAAAGCAATGCCTGCCGCATTGGCAAGCCGCGAAAGCCCGCCCACAGCTACGATGGTCTAGCTCGCTTGTGATGCCACACCCGCACTTGCCTACAGTACAATCGGGCCAACTACGCGATGCTACAACAGGCGAACAAACCACCACCCCACTCCCGATCATTGCGCTGCATCCAGCCAGCCATCCGCCCATGCGAGCCTGAAGCGCTACAAATTCAGCCAATTGCATTGCTGGATTTGACACGCGGCAAGAGTGATCCCACGAGGAAGCTACCTAGGTATGTGTGCATGCGGGACGCGATTAGAACGTCATCGGACAAAATGCTCCCAGCCTGGGAATGCTTCAGTCCATCCATACCTAGGCCGGGTACAGTGCACCTGAGGCAATTCTTCAGTGTTAAGTTGGGTAAACTATCGCTTCGGACTTGATAATAGAAGATCAGCTGGCACCTGTTCCATCTCATCAAGGTGGTGTGTGCTTGAGTTTACATCTACATCCTCAAGAGAATGGCGCGGACTATTTCCTACGCAGAGGTGCAGATGCATCGGTCACAGAACGATTGTTGGGTTATTCTGTATGGCAATGTCTATGATGTCTCTTGTTTCCTCGCAGATCATCCTGGTGGCGCCAAAGTCATTCTTCAATTAGCTGGCACTGACGCTACGGAGGAATTTGATCCTGTACATCCCCCAGGAACATTGGAAAACAGTCTGCCTGCAGAAGCAAAGATTGGAATCGTCGACAAAGGAACATTGCCGACGAAGCAGAGCTCACAGGTATCAATTACTCGATCATCATTCGACGATAACGCTCTAGCTAGTCTAGAGGATTGCCTTAATTTGGATGACATCGAAGCATTAGCAACCAAGAAAATCAGCCAGCGTGCTTGGGCGTATTATTATGGCGCTGCCGATGATCTTCATTCCAAAGCATTCAACAACAGTGTATATCGCTCAATCCTGCTCCGACCGCGCATCTTCGTAGATGTCACTCGCTGCGATACATCGACAAGTATTCTGGGACACAAAGTCAATGTACCATTCTACGTTGCGCCAGCGGCGATGGCGCGCCTAGCGCATTCAGATGGCGAGCATGGCATAGCCAAAGCCTGTCAGACTTTCGGAGCGATGCAAATAATTTCAAACAATGCATCGCAGACTCCGGAGCAGATTGTTGCAGGCGCCGGTCCAGATCAACTCTTTGGATGGCAGCTCTATGTCCAGACCGATCGCAAAAAGAGTGAGGATATGCTCGCGCGCATAGCGGAACTTCCTGCCATCAAGTTCATCTGCTTAACCTTGGATGCGCCAGTCCCTGGCAAGCGGGAGCATGATGAGCGAACAAAATCTGTTGCAGCTAGTCTGCCGGTCACGAGCACGACACAAGACGGCTCGGCATCAACAACCTCTGCAGCGCCAGTCACTGGTGGTGTTGGCAAGGCCCTGTTTGCTGGGACAGCACCGGACTTGACCTGGAGCAATACCCTCCCGTGGCTCAGAAAACATACAAACCTGCCCGTCATTCTCAAAGGCTTGCAGACGCACGAGGATGCGTATCTCGCCAGTCTCCATGCTCCGCATGTTAAAGGCATCATTTTATCCAACCATGGTGGTCGGGCCGCAGATACGGCACCTCCGTCGATTCACACCCTGCTTGAGATCAGGAAGTATTGTCCGGAGGTCTTCTCCAAGCTAGAGGTTTTCGTGGACGGCGGCGTTAGGCGCGGGACAGATGTTGTCAAAGCCTTGTGTCTTGGAGCAACGGCAGTCGGTCTTGGTCGTTCACCGCTATATGGCCTTGGCGCTGGGGGTATTGATGGCGTCAAGCGCGTGCTGGAGATCTTAAAGGCTGAGACTGAAACAGCTATGCGACTCCTCGGGTGTCACTCTGTCAAACAATTGGGTCCCCGCCAAGTGAACTCGCGAAGGGTAGAAGGCGAAATTTATGACGGGCCTGGTGGCCTCGAGGAGCCGACATCAAGGGCGCGTAGCAAATTGTAAATTGCATGACAAACCAGCGCGGTTCGAAGGAACTCGAATAAGCATCGAATGCCGCGGTCGCATAGAAATCCAAATCATTCAGAAGCCCAGGAGCCGCGATCGATCCCAACACGACATTGAAACCTGGTTCAGGTACTTTCCGAGCCCGGCAGATTTGCGCTACTCTGACAGCCCGGGCAGTTGTGCACGACTTCGTGACTGAAGACGTCGCAGTCAATGCAGAAATGGTTTTGGCAGGATTCACACTCGTAGCGACTCGACTCCGAAGCGCCTTCTGCCCGCTTCTGTACAGCCTCTCCGTTTCCGTTGGTTGTGCGATTGGGATTAGCCTGTGATTGCGGGATAGCCGGGAAGGGCGATTGACATCCATAACATCGGAGACTGCCCCGTTGCCTTGCCCGCGACCATGATACCTCAACCCAATTGCGAAGGGGAAAGAGGTGGTGGTACGATCGTGCCAGATGTGTCGAAAGAATTAGAGTCAGATCGCACGTCGGGCATGTCGCTGGCAGACCACAGACCTTGGCCTCGCATCTGCTGCAGAGGTAGCCGCCGAGCGTCAGTTTGCCGTGACATGCGCAAAGGGTTGGTCGCTCCTCCACAACCCGAGATGGAAACCCCATCATCAACAAAGCTGCTTGGTTGAAATTCCTGGTTTCAGCATCAGATGCGCGGACCACCGGGGGTGTCGTGATAGCCATCAAAAGCTGTCTAAAGTCAACTTCGTCGGTTGCGACATTGTAGCAGTTGGTGTCTCCAGCATTGGTCTTCCGACAGATCTCAGCACAGATATGCATTTGTGCGGCCAAGCCAATTATATTCACACGGATTCGGTCCTTGATGCAGGCCTTGATTGTGTCGTGAATATCTCCTGGATCTGAAGTCAAAAGTGCACCAAGGATTATTACCACCTCCCGCGTGCCATGAGATGGCGTATGATGTAAAGCTGCTCGTGCCATGTTCAGTGTGTTCTGTAATGACGGGTTGCCTTTGGGTTCTGTTCCGCGAAGAGCTTTCACAGCGTTAATGTGGTCGGTGGGATTTCCCGACATGGTACTAACAGAAATTGCAATGCCTTCGCGCATTCCGAGGATGCCCAGTTGAGAAATAGGATTCTGCTCAAAATACTCGCGTATGAAAGTGATTGTATAATTGATCGTAAGTATGAGCCTAGTCGGACGCAGGTCTTTTTCTGCCATTGCGGTAGATAGGTCGAGAACAAGAAAGGTATGCCTGATGATGCCTCGCTGCAATGGTGTCGTATCCTTGAGCAATCTTTTGCACCATATCAGTAAGGCGATTTCTGGGACGCTTCATGCAATCCCAACCTTTTTCTTTTGGCAGCTTCTTCAATGCCACCCAGCACACTCTCGAGTGCGCCGTCTACACCATCCTTGACGTCCCAAGTCCTTGATGCCATTGCCTCCCATTTTGCTTGAGCACGCCCACGAGAACGTGACGCAGGGCCACGACCGGACTGATTTCCAGACGCATTGGCTCCACCATTTCCATCGTCATGGTCATCATAATCCATGTCAGAGTCCGACATTTTGGAAGTCAGTGGTTTGTCTCCGCAACTTCTTACGGCAAATGTTCGTTGTGAGCAGACACGATGGTGGGAATATTTTGGCGCGGTAGTATCATCAAGATTGCGTCCAGGGCGACGTTACACTTTACATTTGGCGGCTCGGTATCGAGGCCTGGAGTGATGTCAAGGGAAATACAAAGTCTGAGAGTCTCGGAGAATAGTTTACGTGCAGTCTTGTGCCTGCGCCTCCCATTGGTGAGACACCACTGCCACGCGAGGTCACATGATGATAGACCCTTGGGTGTAGCGACGTATGATTGGCGAGCGCACAACTGGGCCAAAGTGGGCTGGCTGGCCTGGTGCACATGCAATCGCATAGGTGGTTCCAGTCTTCGCATATAGGAGTTATCGTCCAGGAATAAATCAAGCTCTCACCCGACCACGGAATCGCTGCTGGCAGTCAACATTGTTGGGCGGATATATTCACGAATTCTACACGACTTCGGATTTGTGCCTGGAGACTTTTGGCCGTCACTGACTCTTTTAATCATACTTCTTAAACACATTGCAACATGGCGAACGACGAATACGATGTATGAATCTCAGGTTGTTGGCGGCGGATTGAGCGGCGGGTCTGACATTATGCACTTTAGTTCCTTTTCAAGGTTGTCTTGATCGGAGATTCTGGTGTCGGTAAATCCAACCTGCTTTCGCGATTCACCCGAAACGAGTTCAACTTGGACAGCAAGTCAACTATCGGTGTCGAGTTCGCTACCCGCAGCATCCAGGTCGACAACAAGACCATCAAAGCGCAGATCTGGGATACCGCAGGACAGGAGCGTTACCGTGCTATTACATCTGCCTACTACCGTGGAGCTGTCGGCGCACTGCTCGTCTACGATATCTCCAAACACCAAACTTACGAGAACGTCACGAGATGGTTGAAGGAGCTTCGAGATCATGCGGATACCAATATTGTGATCATGCTGGTGGGCAACAAGAGCGATTTGAGGCATCTGCGGGCAGTGCCGACTGAAGAGGCCAAGGAGTTTGCGTACGTAGAGCAGGAGGGCCATGGGATAATCGCAATACGCTGACGGAGGCTTTTCATAGGAGCACCAACTCGTTGAGCTTTATCGAAACCTCTGCGCTTGACGCGAGCAACGTTGAGCTTGCTTTTCAGGTTAGTTGAATTCTACTCACGAGCATACTTCACGAAGCGCTGACCGAATGCAGAACGAATTGACGGAGATCTACCGCATTGTGTCCAGCAAAGCACTCACGCAAGAGGAGGGAGGTGTCGGACCAAGCACCGGCACTTCAATTCCTCTGTCCAACCCGCCGGCTGTAAGTTCCTCTGGCGGCGCTGCGTATGCCATGACCTAATCGATATCTACAGGACGCCGCGAAGAAGGGACAATGCTGCTAGACCACTAATTCACGCTTACGGATCATCGAGTAACGAATTTCTTTACGCCGAACGATGTGCATGTTTGCGAGAGCGAGATCTGTGGAGGCAACATGGGGCGTTTGTGGAGTCTGATACTATTCCAGGCGCTTTTGGCTGGGCAGGCTTTGATAGTCCTAGGTATCGTTTGACAGAGCTTTTTTCCGAAGCATTCAGAATACATTTCCGCGTTGACATCGCTGCGCCTTGCGCAACAATTATGGAATCGGTATGGGCAAAATCATTAACTTTTGGAAGTAGCCACGGACTGAGCTGGATCATCGCCACTCTGTAAACCCTCGCAACACGGACACAAAAATAACGCCACCTTCCCTCGACCAGAATTCGAACCTTTTCTCATCACTCGTCTCACATGCACATATCTTTCCCATGATGGCTTCTGCTGATTTGTCATGCTTCCACGTCAATGTATCTGCGTTTGATGCGCTTTAGGTCGGCCTTGATATCTTCGAAGTGCTGATAACCAGTATCTCTGCCGCAGAGGAAATCACGCAGTGACACCTTGAGCTGCTCCTCAGATGTGTCGGTCTTCTTCGCATTGATCATGTAACTGCAATGATGATGAATCTGCTCCATTATAACCTTGACGTTCTTCGTCAAGACCGCGGACGTCCTTTCGATATCCATTTTGATCGCTTTTTGGAAGAGGTCCGCCGTTTGATGGAATGGAGAAGTCGGTCCCCCGAGAGACAGATGAGTTTTCATGGTTGTTTGGACGTTCTCCTTGGAACCTCGACCTCTCTTATTGCGGTACATTCGGTAAGCCTGAGCCATGGCTTGTGCGAAGAACGCAGACGGGCGGTCCACGGTCAAATCCAGCTTGGCGTTGCGGAATTCCTTGCGAATGGACGCTTGAAACTGTTCGCAGTGTCTGGCGATGCCATACTTCTCTGCTTCAATAAACATATTCAGGGGTTTCTCGGGGAGCATTACCGACGCTGCATGCTGACCCACGGTTCGTGGAATCTCGTCAAGCAACTTGAGGAGGGACTTTTCCAGTTCATTGCAGGCTTTCTCGAGCCTCCCAAATAGCCGCTCTTCTCCACTATAGCCCATGAATTCAATTGTCTCCTTGAAGAACTGCTCATTCCAAGACTCGTGTGAAACCTTCTGGGTTTCGTGATTGCCGTCTTGTCTGATGAAAGTACGAAGGGTCTGCCAATGCATTTTTTCCTTTGATTTCCACACTTGAAGTGCCGACTTCGTCATATGAATCTGTCCGGCCTCTACATGATCCAGCATAATCGCACTAGTCTCCTTGTGAAGGGTGTTGGTGCATTTTGCAATGATCGTTTGCATCTCATTCTGTTTTGCTTGAATGTCGCACAGCAGTCCATTGACGTCAGCTTCGGAGAACAGACCGCACCAGAGGTGCAGACTCTGAATGAAGACAGTGAAGTCATGCCTGATGTAATCTTCCACAGCACGCAGTTTTGCACCAGCAACCTGCTGGCGGACAAACTTCCGCAAGGCGGGTAGGCCAGTCTGGTCCACAGACAGCCGATTTCCGTGAATGAAAGATACCCCTTTCGACGCCGCATAGTGTGTGTTAGAGACGCAGAACACATTCAAGGAGGAATCTTTCGGCAGGAATGACCTGTTGTCTTGGCTCAAGCGTCGCTTGGTAAACACATTTCGCGCTTCGACGACAAATCTCCAACTTTCCTGCTGCCTTTTCTTGAGTTTAATTCCGTGCTGGTTGATGGCAGACTCGATCGCCTGCATTTCACGTGACTTCTGTTGTGAGAGATCCTTAGCATGGTTATGGTGGCGATGAATCTTCTTCCGGGAAGTCGCCTGTTGTTTCTTGAGCTCATTGAGTTTTGCTGTCCAGGATTTCTTCGCTTTCCTGATTTTTTTCTCATCATCGATAAGAGATTCATATCGATTCTTGCTTTCGTCGTCTAAGTACAATTCATCAACCAATTCGTCATCATCCGCGTTAGCATCGATCATGGTGCAGATGATAGCAACTTCATAGTCTTTGCCATAGTGCTCAAGTAGCATATTGATACTTCGATTGGTGATCACACGCGCAATGTCGGCCACGATCCAGATTGTATCGCATTCTCGGAGCACAGTTCAAGTTGCATTCAAGCGAACGGCATTCTTGTCGTGGGTTCCCGGAAGATCGTAGAATGACACGCCTTGCAGAATCTCGACATCCTTAATCGTGATGCGAATACGCTGAATCAGTGGCCAATAGGTTGTAGATTTGTATTGACCAATAGGTTTCGCCAGAGTATCGAGATGCCGATGAAGCGCTTTAACGTCGTCTGCATGCAGAACTTCTATCATTTCGGCGTGGGGGGCCAGCCTCGCTTCGAGAATCTCCATACACCAAGCCCCACGGTCTTGAGCAGCGTCGTCAATTCCGCTACCTTCGAGTAGCTGATTGAGACACTCTACTCCGGTCTGAAGGGACCTGAATTCTTGCCGCTCGCAGAAGAGCGAGCGAAAAATATCAACGGCAGTGTCTGAGAGCTGCCGGAGCTCTGATTTTGCTGCAGCATCATACTCGTCCGTGCTCTCGAGATTATACACCTTGTAATCGTAAAGAAGCTTTCGGAGAAAGTCCAGAATCTCCTCTTTACGTTTGTAGTGGATGAAGGCTGAGAATGGAGGTTCTTGCTCATTAGGTGCAGCAGCATACTCTGTACATACCCATGTGCAACTTGTTCCTCCCGATAACTATACCACGGTAAGTTTTGTAGACATTATTCTCTAACATAGGATATGGCTACTTACCGCACGAGCGAGCTTGGGTATGCCGATCAAGGAGTTGATCAAAGATGACTTGCCAACGCCCGAGTCCCCAATCAAAGCTACGATCTCCTTTTCTGCGTCTGGGGTTTTGGTGAGCCATTGTGCCTTCTCTAAGCAGCCCTTGGAACGGTCGTTGTCACATCCTGATCGTTCGATAATACCACAAACACTTGTGGCTAGCTTCGACAAATCCTGACTGATCTGAGGGAAGTCTTTGTCATACACAACATGGCGCGGCATGACCTCGATCGCTTCGTCGTATCCTTCTTCGGTGGGATCTCCATTGCTGTCTTGGTCGGAGCTATGCTCGTCGGGATCAGTCACCAGCGATCCCTCGCCTGCGTAGGAAGTATCATAGTCATCTTCATCAATGCGGAACGACTCTTCGACAGAGGGATGAGCTTCATGGCTCTCTTCGTCTGTGTCCATTTGAGGATTGTCGCTGGCGCATGTTTCGTCACTACTATCAATAGACAGATCCTCGTTTTCACGTCGCTGTTGGCGCTTACGTGAGCTGCCTGGTGTAAACATGGTTTTGTTGAAGCGCCGATGGTTACCAATCGTTTGCTGTGATGTGTGATCTGCGAAATGTGTCAAAGGGAACAGCAGGATGATGTTTACGATAGAAGTCTGTGGCTTTTGTGCTGTAGAAAGTTTGGACCAATGACACGTGCGAAGATCTCGATTGAGAGCCTTCAATATGTCCTTGTGCAACCACGAGCGTTTAGAGTATTTGTAAAGTAATCACATGTTCTGCTGCGGAGTGGCGTTGAGACACGGAAGATCAGATTCGAGGTGCTGAACCACAGCCATATGGGTAATTAGAGGCCGTGCTGTGATATCATATGGACTTCACAAGTTGACGGCCTTTGGTTCTCCACGCTGCGCAATTGTGATCAGATGGATTGTCAGCGAACAGCCCGTACATCACATGCTCTTCTTGACCACATGCATAATCTGCTAGACAAACTTCCAGTAAGTGGCGAGCGCATTCTTACTCTCGGTCAATACCCACAGTTCGCGATAGAACCCGTAGGCGCCCGCAAACAACAAGACATAATACACGATGGTCCATTGAACGCCCAAATCGCGCGAAATCTTGTTGGGCCCGGATCCGCCGTGGACACTCATCATCTCAATACCAGCTTCGCTCCTGGATTGCGCCTCCAACGTGTCGTCACGCTTCCCCTGAGCCACGTCTGGAGTCAATTTTCTGAAATCCTGATCCTGGCCGACCTTTCCCCAAAGGCGTGGAAGACCCATGACGTTACAGAACATATGGGTAATTATGGCAGCAAGAAGATTGCCAGTTCGCAAATGAACGAACGCCGCGAAGAATCCAAACAGGCTTGTGTACGTGAGCATGAACAAGCTTCTGACGACGCCCATGAGAACGATGCGGCCGGTCGATCCCGGTCGGTTCATCGCCAAGCGCGACTGCACGAACTCTACGAAATGGTGCACGTGCGCGAGACCGAATATGAGAGGTGTTGTGAACACGATCCGACTCGGGGCAACCTTAGCAAGCAGGTAGAGCGAGATCACCAAAGAGCGGAAGACAAGTTCTTCACTGATTGGTGAAATGAAGTTGTTGCGGAAGGCAATCCATGAATCGAAAAAGGTGGTCTTCAGGCCGCGGAAATTGAATGCTCGCCAACCACCGTCGACAACGATAGTTTCGTATAGTGGTCCGGCGAAGAGAATGCTGACTAAAGCCAGGGCCTTTAAGATGTCCAGAGGGTCGATGGGCCAGAGACCGAGCAGACGGAGGACGTCGTAGACTCCGGCATGGCCAAAATGGACGATGATGTAAACTGCGACTAAGCTTGAGGCCAAGCAACTCAGACCTACAGCGCGGATTCGTCCCTGGATGACGGCAGGTGCATCACGTGAAGACAGTGGACTCGTTCGCAGCGTAGACGATATGTAGAACGGCGCGATGTAGAAAACCGTGAAAAGGACTGCACAGAGAAAAGCGGTTCGTATTGAGATCGCAGGCGGCTCTTCTGTTCGGGTACGTCAGTCTCTATATGCCGCAGACGGAGAGCGCGTCTTATCTCTAGTACGAACCGATCTTCTTGCCAAACCAGTATGTCTTCAGCTTTTCAACCAATCGTGAGCCGTGGCTCAGAATTTTAGTCGTCGGCGCCATGCGCGAATGTTCTGATATCGCGAGCTGATCAAAAGCTGACTTGCGCGTGTGCCACGAGATGTTGACAGCTGGGATGTTGTGGAACAATAATTGTGCTAGTTATATTTAGATTTCAAGAACGATGATCTTCGGGGCTCGAGCTTTGGCCAAATCGCGTCTGTGAGGTTAGACGCCCATCCACGCATGGTACATCGTGTTACTATCGAACGGAGTCTTCATTCAGCGTGATCTGTGGTCAACTTGGCATCACCAAATCATGGGTTATCGCAGGAATTCCAGGCCCGCCGTCATTTTTCAAAGCATAGCAGACGCTTCTCGTTGTGAATTAAATGAGTAGCCATAGTAAAGGCTCATATCAAGCAGGTGTTCTGTCTAACCTCCAAAATGACGTCAATGAGCAATCACTTTGCGCGGATTTTCAGATTTTGAGAGTTTTCAAGACTACCAAATGATAAAGCGATAGTAATCGAATCCGAGCCTGCGTATCCACAGCCACTCCACCAACCACCTGGGCAGCACCGGAAGTTACGCTCCGTGCAACCGTGGAATGCACGAAAGAAAGGAAGGGCTGCAGTGTGATAGTAAAGTCCGAACCCTAACATTTTTATCTCCGACAAAGAAGAGGAATAGACGTAAATGCCACCTAGGTACATTCGATAGCCTCTTGTCCTCTCAGTAAAGTGAAGTAAATTTTCCGCTCCCTTCATTCCGCGCATTCGAACTGTGTCTAACAAGAGGGTTGGGTAACGTAAAATGTTTGTACATTGTCTCCTCGAACGTTAAATTTTACCAATCATTTGGTACTCTATTTGTCATTTTCGATACATATTAAGCATTGCGGCCATCAAGCCATAGCATGCCATCAGCATGTCATCGCAATGTCCGAAATAGTGTTATACAATGGGCAATTGCATGCTCGATTTGAAAATGGCGAAGGCATGCCGATGCGGTGAAGATGAAGTCGGGCAGTATGATGGAAGACACAATTGCGATCGCAGTTGTTTGAGCCATGTTCATAGGTTGAGCCCGGCTGGCGTGCCAACAATGAATGGCGCTGGTCGCAGTGTGGGAGATGAGCTGCACTGCAACTTTGAAAAGTGCGGCACCATTTCAGTCCGTAAAATGCCTCGGTGTCAATTTCAAGAGGCCACGCAAGGGAATCGATCATATCTGTGACGATGTAGTGGGGAGACCGAGGTGTATCTCACAACAATTCTGAAGCGGGATGGTAACGAGATGTTGCAGTGTCGCCTGAAATGTGGCCAAGAGCGTGATCCGCCCTGGACATCAGAGTTTATAGTCTGCTCTGGAGGTTTTCCCAAGCATCGTTTCCGACGGATCCTTGTTTGACGTTGAGCGCGATCGACTGTACGCTGGTGTCGCGGTCCCGAAGGTTATCAATGAACTTGCATATCTCATCCACGGCAGACTCATCAGGAAGAGTGACCATCGTGTCTTCATTCGGATCCCAAATGATTTCAGATGTGGCGATCTGAACTTCAAGCGCCTGAGAGATAGCATCTCCGACAGCTCTTGTTTCGCCAGGCTCTGTATGTACCACAATTCTGCCGTCGGCATCCTCGTTCACATCTAGCGCACCCGCCTCAAGAGCCGGCTCAAGGACTTGTTCCATGCCAATGCCATCTTTTTCTTCCAAAACAACCCGTCCCTTTTTGGAGAACAGATAGCTGGTGGGTGTTGAGCTCCCGTCACTATCCTTGATGACTGTCCGGACCTCAGCCAAGGCACGAAGCTTCCTATCCGTCTCGCATTCGACAATTACAGCGATATTGTGTGGTAATAGACCTTCGACTGTAACATTTTCCAGGCTTGCGCCGGTCGTACTGCGACCCTGTCCTCGTGCTATAGCCGCCTCGATGGATGCCTTTAGGAAGCCCGCTTTTTTGGCCTTCGTGACGAGATCTGCCAACCTTGGATTGCCGCTCAATTCTGGACCGAAGAGTTTGGATGCAGTGGCGATTTCATGAGCAAAAGCGGACCTTTGCTTGTTCATCGCCGCATCCGCCTTGCCCTTGTCGTGCTTGATCTTTGACCATCTGTTGTGTCCGGAACCATAGATACTAGCCGTCGCAAAAGTCCGATGCTGGGATTCTCCGCTGAATCTGAGAGCTTGGTGTGCGCGAATAAGACAACGACTTCCTCTGCTGGGTGCCATATTTGTGAGAGATAATACGAGCATTCGAAGCTTTTGCACATTGGTAGCTCCACTGCCGCAATGCATCATGAAGCTCTTTGAAATTTGAGCGCGGACCTTTTTCAGGGTCGCGTCGAGGGATCTACAGGATGCGTCATCTCTCGGATATCGAACAAGCAGCATGAAACCCAACTGTATAAGTATGAATGGCGGTACATGATATCCCATCCATTATGCCACAGCCTATCTAGCGTCCCAACTTCGTTGATCCAGATAGCGCATAGCTTCGAGTCGAGTGTCCTTATTCTACCCAGAAGACACCTGCCAATATAGCTCGACGCATATTTCAGCGCCTCGACTTTGGTATTCAGCAGCGACCGAATTACGCGTGGAGACTTATACCGCGGATTGCTATCAAGTTGGGCGGCGTGCACCTAATCTCTCCACGGGCACATGTTCGATACCTCTGCCAAGACGCTCTGTCGTTCAGCAATCAAGCCTCTTTTAGCATTGCTTGAGATCACCGCCGACTGATCAAGTAATAGGACATAATTAAGTGTGGGATGCACCATATTTCAGTCTGCAGAAACCATGGCCGACAAAGACGTGTCGAACACAGCTGCTGCTGCTCCTAATCCTATCTCACGCGTGAACACGATTGAGCAAGAAGGAGCAAGTCCTCAAGTGGACATTTCGAAATTACACAACTTGCCAACGGAACAACAAGCGCTCTATCTCTTGACGTTTACGGCAGACTTAGCCCGCCATGTGCATCAGCTGAGCTCTGAAGAGACCACTGCTCAGCAGACATCTATAAAGAAAGAGTTGCTTCAGATCGTGAATCTGCCATCCCCTGCTCCCACTCGCCTGATTCGACAAAACCTGGGGAGGTGTTTTAGGGACGTCTTCACCAAGGGAAGCCGTAAGGTGTTGTTTGAGACAATCAACGACCTCATCGCGATTCTCAATGCGACCAAGGACAAAGATTTGCGAGCAAAGCACGCGGCTGTGCACTGTATCGGCATCGTGTTCGAAAGCGCTGGAGATAGCGCTGTCAGTCTTTCACCCTTGGCGTGTACTGCTGTTCTCAAGTTGCTCAAAGTCTCTGTGAACGATACTGGACTACGCAGCGCTATCTTCAAGGCATTCGGGAGAATCGCGAATGGGATCGCAGTTGCGATCGACGAAGATGTCGGGCGCGCAATCTGGAAGCAGGCCCGCAACTCGGCAACTAGCGACAAGTCCCTCCTTGTTCAGTCCAGTGCCTGTTGGTGTCTGGAGCAATTGATAAGATCAACTCCGTATTTTGACAACTCGAATGACTTCGAGAAGTTGCAGATAGCTTTGTGGAAAGCAATGGAAAGCAGTTCGGTGCCTGTCCGGCATGCAGCTGCATCATGCCTGACCCAGGAATTCGTGAAAAGCTTCTCTGATGCTTCGGAAAGAGATGCCGTTCCAAAGCTTCGAAAACCGAGAAAGACCAGGAAGCCCATGCAAGGAGATGACTTCGAAGAAATAGATCGAGCTTCTTCGCCAGCACCAGAGAAGCCATCGACTGCGCTTTCTTATTCACTCTCGGAGATCCTCAGGATTCTGTCTAATCAATACTGCCGCCCCACAACGAATAACAAAGTAAGGGCTGGCATTGCCGTCTGCTATATCAAACTGTTAAGAGCGCTGGGCGCAGTGACTGTAGAGCAGAATTATGGCGATATTGTCCGCCATCTATTCTCAGAGATTTTGAGTTACCCTGGCTGGCAAGCCAATCGATATCGACAGCTGATCAGCCGCAAGTTCGTTCGGATCATTCTTGAGCGCGTGGTAGGCCGAATGCTCGGAGAAACCGCACAGCTAAATGCGTGCAGATTCCTCCTAAACGAGATTATCAGAGATTATCCGCAGGCTGTGAAAGAACGCCCAGAGCCGTCGAAAGCTGTATTGACGGGCGCACTTAGTGCTCTAACCTCGCTGATCGCTGACCTAGATGCCGCGATCGGGGTCCTGGCTGAGCAATGTCGCGAAGGTCTCATACAAGTTTTACCACATCCTAATTTCAGCGTACAAATTCATGCGGCTCGTGCATTAAAGACATTTGTGCTTGCTTGTCCACAGCAGCTTTTACCTGCTGTTACCATCTGCATGAATAGTGTGAGCAGGGAGCTTGGCTTCCTTGGCGGACAGAGACAGAGTCCACGGCGCTGTGTCGGCTATGCTCATGGTCTGTCCGCTGTCCTCAGTACTTCCAACCAGCACCCACTATATGGCTCTGTGGATGTCTATGCTCGCGTGCTGCAGCAAGCCTCCACCCTTCTCAAGTCGAGCAGCAGCTCAGACCTGCGGATTTCGAGTTGTCAGCTGCAAGTTGCATGGATCATGATTGGAGGACTCATGTCGTTGGGGCCTAACTTTGTCAAAATACATCTCGCTCAGCTCATGCTTCTGTGGCGAAACGCATTACCCAAGCCTGTCTCGCGAGACAACATCAATCAACACACCATGTTGGAATTGAGCTACTTGGCACATGTCCGAGAATGCGCGCTCGGCTCGATACGTGCATTTCTTGCACACAATCAAAGACTGCTGACATCTGACATCTCGCGTCGTCTTTCCGCAATGCTCGAGAACACCGTATCGTTTTTGCAAAGCCTGCCAAGCAAGAAGACGAGCGATGATCCCTCCCATAGGCTGTCACCTGGGTTGCAAATGCAAGACTACGAAACAATGGTGCGGCGCAGGGTATTTCAGTGCTTTTCGCAATTACTTCGACTGAGTCCTGCTGGAAGTATTGAGCCAACATCACATTCTGCGATTTTGCCACTGGCGGCGATGTCATTTTCGGACGTCGAATACGATGCCCCTACATCCTTAGGCGCGGCTATTGCAAGCGCCGCAAGCGCCTTCGAGAGTATTTGGGAGCTTGGCGACAACTATGGTTATGGATTGACAGGGCTTCTTAGGGGCCTCAGCGTGCAAAATCCAATCAATGGCAAGCTCGTCAGGCACTGGACGAGCCGGTCTGATGAGGAATCCGACATTGACGCTACGATTCTGACTCCCATCGGCACAGCTGCTGAGCATGATCCCACTGATTGTTACATTGGCAATATTCGTGACCAGGAGCTTCCCGGACCATCAGCCACCGAGGCTGTTGATGCGGCGATCGCTACCTTTGCACGCTCTCTTCCCCTGCAGGGCTCAAAAGTGCAAGAATCTACGCTTGAACAAATAACCTCATCTTTGAGTTCCAATCAGCTCATCAAAGACCCCTTCCGCAAAGCTGCAATTTTGATCAATGTCGCTGTTGCATTGTCGACTGCTCTTGAGATTGCCAGTGCAGACTCGGGCGTATCCAGGGGTGAGCTACGGGGCGCCCGCGTTGAAAAAAGCTTACAAACAGTGTTGCACCTTTGTCTGAAAGATGCAGACGACAGCGTTCGGTGCGTCGCAGCGCTGGCTCTCGGCCGCCTATGTGCCAGCGCTGGGTCTGGCTTCACGGGAACCGAGGTGACATATTTGACGGAAACAATCGTCAATAATCGAGAGCCTCAAGTGCGTGCGGGTTGCGCGCTAGCTCTTGCACATATCCATCGCCAGCTTGGAGGTATGTCGGCTGGCCTGCACATGAAAAACATCGTTGGTATCTTGATGTCACTTGTCGCCGACCCTCACCCACATGTTCATTTTTGGGCGCTCGACAGTCTCGCACAAATTGCAGAGTCTGCTGGGCTCAATTTCAGCACATACGTGACCAGCGCGATCGGAATGCTCAGCCAAGTTTATGTCTCTGACAGCCATAATCCCGAGACTGCGGCCTTGGCCTCGTCAAACATGCTCATGGATTTGCCAGTGACAGCTGCTATTGGACGGGGTGTCAACGCCATAATCAATGTTCTTGGCCCTGACCTTCAAGACATGGCTAAGTTGCGTGACATGATTCTTACATTAGTGCATTTGTTCTCTGAGGAAAAAGATGTTGCGACGCTGCTGGAAAGTCTCAAATGCCTTGAGCATCTGATGCTGTTTGCTCCACGGCAAATGGACCTTGAGCATTATGTGCGGAGACTTCAAACAGACATCGATGCAGCCTCACCAGAAATTGCAGAAACGGCAGTTGATGGCTTTTTCACCTTGATGCGCAGAGACGCATCCGACATCATTCGAACAGCGGAGTCTGGTCTGGAAGATCGACTATGGGAAATTTTAAATCGTGATCCCGGACACAAGACCATTCAAAATATCTTCACGAATTGGCTACAACAGACAGGCACAAGCGATCCAGCGGACTGGATTCAGCGTTGTAATACTATTTTGACTCGAACTCTGGCCCGCGTCGGGCAGCCGAAGGCCATAGCAAGTGCTCGCACAGCAGGCCCAGACTTGCAGGACGAGGAGGTTGCAGGGTTTGCAGTCACGGCTGGGGCCAGCAAGGAAGATGACCCGCAAAACTCCGGCCAGGAACTTATGCGATGGCAAGTCCGACTCTTCGCGATGGAGTGCTTGTTAAACCTTATTGCAATGATCAGAAAGGAGGCAGCCATCAGCGATGAAAGCGAGGGTGAGGCTGCATTGCAGCGAAAAGTTGCAGATGTCGTACGAATCGCGTTTTCCGCTTCAACCGCAGGAGTGGCTGTATTGCGCGTCGTGGGCATGCAGATCATCGATCAAGTGCTCAAACTATTCGGCAAGACTCCAGATCCTGACTTCTCCGAGGCTATGCTCCTAGAACAATATCAGGCGCAGATAAGCTCTGCGCTGACACCCGCCTTTGCTGCGGATTCGTCCCCCGAGCTAGCAGCAGCAGCCGTAAACGTTTGTGCCACGTTCATATCTACAGGTATCGTGACTGATGTTGAGCGCATGGGTCGAATTCTGAAGTTGCTCGTCTCTGCACTGGAAAGTTTCTCAAGGGAAGGCGAGACGGCAAGTATCGGAGATTTGAAGGCGCTTAGCTCGAACGCGCAAGTGATGGTGCGGATGGCGGTATTCGCTGCTTGGGCAGAGCTGCAGATCGCCAGTGCCGAGCAGAATTATCTCCTCGAAGTTGTCAAACCGCAAGTGGTGCAATTGGTGCCTCTGTGGCTGTCATCGCTTCGTGAATTTGCTCGTTTACGCTTCGAACCGGATATTTCTGCGACAACCGGCACGCCTCCAGACTCGACCGACCTTGACACGGTCTACGCAGCGCTGAATCGCGAAACATTATTAAAATTCTACCAAGCCTCCTGGCTAAGTCTCGTTGATGCTATAGCAAGCCTGATTGACCAGGACAGCGAATGCGTCTTTGACGCACTTGACGGGCAAAACCCTGAGCCTGGTGCCGATGACCAGACCAGTGGTAGCGTTGCGCGCAAAGCCACATCGATCAATTATCGTGAGGAGCCTGTTGCATTCTTCTTTGTCCTCTTTGGCTTGGCATTCGAATCTCTAGCCGTGCGAGGAAGTCAAGATGATACCATAGCCCGTCAAAGGGGCATGGAGATTCTGACTGCGTTGAAGAAGATTCTGCGACCATCTGTGGCTGGTAACGCGATTTATCAAGATGCCATTTTCGCTGAGACCATGGACCTACTGGACAGGATGGTTCTCACCGAGAGCCTCGGCGTTCAAGCAATAATTGTCGACATTGCCAGGAACTTGTGTATTGTTCATCCGTCAGCTCGGCGGCGCTCGGATCCCACAGATGGCAATGAGAACCTCTCGGAAGACATTGAGCAGCTCTTCGAGCTTACGCGCATCATCGTTCTCGTTCTTGCAGGTATCATTCCAGGGCTCTCCGAGACGCCCGTATCTGTCCAACTGGAAACGTCAGAAGAAGCGAGCACCATTGTGCGAACTTCTCTACAAGCCTTGGTGGATGTTTCTGAAGTGTTCCCGTCGATCATTAAAGCTGATCTGCACGCATCCATTCTGCACATCTTCATCTCTATTCTCGGCACGGGCTCCTGTCAAAGCATCGTGGTTCCCCAAGCACTCCCAATTTTCCGACGCTTCCTGTTAAGCATGGTGGCTGACGAGCTTCCGGACACCAAGGACCATATCCAAAATGCTCTCAAGCGCATGCTGTTCATACTCAAGCATGCTCAAAGAAGAGAAACACCTGCGAGCCTGCCATGCGAGAAGAATACACTACTTGCCTGCGCAATCTTGACTTCAGTCGCACAACCGCTCCTCGATGCCGATGATGCCTCGGTCACGCAATTCTTGATCGAGCTGCGCGAGTCCCTTTCAACAGCATCTGCAGCTAAAGTTGCTGCCGGCTGTCTCCGAACGCTGCTTTTGCAGGGCGTCGCTGCACGCCACACATTCTCGATAGCCATAGAATTCCTACAAAATGAGCTTGACGTGGACGCATTTTCTGAGAGCAAAAACATGGTTGGTCAAACATTGGTTTTATATACCTCGAAGCTGGCCGCGACGGAAAAGCCTGCTGCTGTGGGACTTTTGATATTTCTGTTCTTGCAGCGTGCGGACAGAGAGACTCCGGCGACGCACATCGAGATCGCTTCGCGCCTTCTCGAGCTTGCCGCTACTGACAATGCTGCATTTAGAGCAGTCGTTGCGCGTATGACCGACGAGCAGAAAACGACGATGGAGAAGGTGCTCAAATCGCAGGCCCGAGTGCGTGCCGGACAGCACGATGGCAGCAATGATCACGAGCCGACGATCCAACTCAAAATGGACTTTGGGCGATGATGAGATGTGATCGGCAATGGACAATCTTCACATGACTTCAGTCCTGCTTACATAGGTATATATCAAAACGTTATGCTTGATGAACTCTGAAGCCGTCCAGTCCTCCTCTGATGAGCACAGAACACCTATGAGGCTCAAGGCTCTGTAGGAAGCCTTGATTGCGTCGCCTGGGGCTGGAAACTTTGTGCATTATGTTTGTTTGTTTTATCCCATGTTTGGCGAAGATCGCATCCGAGTGCCCGTTTCAACATCCACCTACCTAGGTAGGTAGGTATGATTAGTTTCGTGTCCGTGAGGTGCAGTAAGCGAAGGCCTCCTCGTCCACTTCTCAAACAACGGCGCAGATTGAAGGTTGTTTATGAAAATCTGAGTAAAACCAGGCGACGTGGTTCTCGTTGCACTTCGATCATCAATAATAGTACGTTGTTGTGTGATCATGATTCCAAATATTATCGACTACTGCAAGTGTCTCGACCATGGCAAGGCCGCCTCTACAGACACACGATCCCGACGCATGGTAATTATGGCAATGTACCGTCTAAAGCATACTTTGCCAGATGCAGCCATCGAAAGAGGCTTATTGCAGGTGTTTTGTATACATTAATCTGTGAGCTCCACCGATTTTTGTGAACACGAACACTTAACGATCATGCAAGCGAATATGATACGCCCTAGTTATGAAAGGCTCCCCCACCTAATTGACCCCACGAGGAATCCTCAATTGTCTCGTCTTGCTTCATCATCGCGTTGTTCCAAGGTTGTCTTGTATACTAAGATAACCACAACAGCGAATAAACAAGAATCGATGACATTCCGATCCCGCGCTGCTCTTGTCTTGACCTTCATTAAAGAGATCATCACCGACGACATCGTCGAAGGATCGGGACGACAAGAAGCCCGTCCTTGCTCGAGCGTGAAATTATGTGGTGAAGTTCCGGTTAGCCACGAGCCCTGCATCGAATCAGAGCTCAGATTCGCGCCGCGTGCAACTTTCGTCATCCCACGTAATACCTCGTCGACACGGAAGGCGTCCTCATCGAGGTGCTCTGGCCGATACACAAGACACAGACATGCCGCAGATTCGCAACGACGTGCATAGCCTACCTTGCAGTGTCCCTCTGGATTCGCCTAGAGAAATGTGATACTCTGCTATGTGCGCCCGTCATACCGTTTCGGGACTCGAGGTGATCATCTAGAAGCTCGCTAGAAGTCGCCAATCCTCCCAGCTCGTCGCTGCCCTCTCGCTTGGCGATGTTCCTGTATGCCGTTGGTCGTGGGCTTGCGCTGAAACGATGTGGTGGCAAGGCAAATCATGAACATTCCTACGCCCATGAATAATGGATCTATATATATGTCTGCATGGACAGCCACTTCCGGACAGACGAGTGACATTCCAAGCCTCACAATCACTTTTCCATTCTGTCATTCGATAACCTCGCAATCATGGGTGCCTCTCTCTCCGTATCCATTGGTCGGTCAACACCACCGCCCGCTGTTAACACCACAGTATGCGGCGGTCAGACCTATGTTTATGAGCAATTAGCCGGTTATGGTCTCATTCCAAGCAACAAGCGTGACCTTTACGGAGATACCATCGGTGGCATCGGCTCCGCCATTGCCATCGACCGCAGCTCATGGTCATTTGATGGCACCTCATATTCTGGAATCATCTACGGCCTGCCTGATCGAGGTTGGAATACCGAAGGCACCTTGGATTACCAGAGCCGAATTCAGAAGATCTACGTCAACTTCACTCCAGCGGAAGACGCCACAGTCGGCCAGCCATCAGAGCCTAACATTTCGTTCGATCTGCTAGACACCATCCTTCTCTACGACCCTGCTGGCAACCCGACATCAGGTCTTGATGCCAACCAGAAGGGCCCATACTTGAAATTCCCTTCAATCCCCTTCGCTCTCCCAACCGCCAACTTCACTGGCGACGGTTATGGTGGTTCCGGCAATGGCGGCGTCCGTGTTGTTATCGATGCTGAAGGCCTTTTCCTCGGCAAGGATGGGAGCTTCTGGATCTCCGACGAGTACGGCCCCAACATCTACAACTTTGCAAAGAATGGTAGCATGGTCGCCGCTATTCGTCCTCCCAATGCCTTCATTCCGCAGCGCAATGGATCCGACTCGTTCAGCAGCAACAACCCTCCCCGCTACGATCAGTCCATTGTACCCAACCCCGTCGACCCGACCAGCGGCCGCAACAACAACCAAGGTCTTGAAGGCCTTACCGTCAACCCGGAGGGCACCCGCTTGTACGCTTTGATGCAATCCGCCCTGAACCAGGATGGTGGCCCAAAGAACGCTAACAGCGCACAAACTCGTTTCGTTATCTACGATCTGACCACCTCGCCCCCGTCACTCCTCGCTGAGCACGTGGTCACCCAGAGTCGCATCGTACCCAGCGATAGCACCAGCAAAATCGCCCGCCAGAGTGAGATCCACTATGTCAGCCCGACACAATTCCTCATCTTGGCCCGTGACGGCGGTGCCGGTCGTGGTCAGGGCGACAGCACCCAGTCTCTCTACCGTCACGTCGATGTCTTCGACATCAGCAACGCGACCAACATCGCGAAGACCTCAGACTGCACCACCTGCAGCATCGCATCGAGCAAGGGTGTCTTGGCCAAGAACGTCACTGCCGCGACCTACTGCTCATGGTTGGACTACAATGTCAACTCCCAGCTGAACCGTTTCGGTGTCCACAACGGCGGCGCCCAGGACGCGGGCCTTTTGAACGAGAAGTGGGAATCGCTTGCGCTTGCACCTGTATTCGGCTCGACCACCAACGAGTACTACCTCTTCTCATTCTCCGACAACGACTTCATTACCCAGGACGGCTATCTCAAGGGCGGTCAGTTCCAGTACGCCGATAACAGCGGCTACAGCCTCGACAACCAGGTTTTGGTCTTCAAGGTCCAGCTTCCCAACGGCGCCAAGCCATTGGTCTCATAGATGAGTTACGATCAATGTGTGGTCGAATGGAAAGTATCGTGTTATATTTATTTTTCGCATGACCGTGAAGAGAGCATCTTGCATATAGGTGGGCGGGCGGGCAGATCGCACAAAAGTCTAGAAAATGAAATCATGATGCTGAATATCAAAACTCGTTCACCACATAAAAATTGAGGCTGTTTCGTATTCCGAATTTGTTTCGAGAATGTGTGCACCCGTCTTGTGTGATAAGCTGAGCCTCCAGCCACACCGGACGATGACGGTTTTGGTCCCGGGATCACATTCCACGAACAGTACCAGCTGAAGTGCGGGCCATTCAATAATGACCGACTTCGAAAGGGGCTGCTTTGCAAACACATGCAAAAACATGCAAAAAAAATGGCCTCCACATGCTTGGTAAATCGTATGGATGACGCCCGAAAAGCAGGGAAGTCGCAACGGAACATTCCCCATGGAAAGAGAGAAGCGGACCCTTCCACGGTTCAAGGACTTGCCTGACTCTCTGCAGCTTCGGAAGCCGCACGCGAACCACACGCGGAAGCCTCGTGGTGCATGCGTAGAATTCTTTGATAATCTCCAGCTGGGCGGGCATAGGCACGATAGGGACGTTTTCCCCTCCGATAATTCGGTAACGAGATCGACACATACGCATATTGCCTGCCAATCCATGGATCTGCAGGTGGCTGATGATGAAACGCCGCCTGGCCTGGTCTTTCTTCTCCCGCTGTTCCCAACCATTTGTCCGATGACAGGGTGCCACTCGTCTGTGTGTACGTTTGTGTGTGGATTTGCGCGACAGAGCGGGTAACACGCGACACCTTGACTTGTTCGCAGGAGTGATTTCACCGGGCGGGTGCCCACTATCATTCACTGACTATTGTGAACAATGAGACAATGGAACAATGCATCGAACTTGTCTCGTCCGGTGGGATCGCCCTGCCCCTTTCACCCGATCCCGGAACTTCCTTGATGCCTACCTGATCCTGATAGATGGGTAAAAGGTAAGGCAGGTGGTTCTCCTTCCAGGCGAATCTACATGCGAAACCGTTCATTGTTCACCAGCGGATGTTCTCTCCCGTCGTATCTCATGACATGGGTACCACCACCACTATCGATACAATCACCACCGCGGCGTGGTTGGAATGTTTGCGCTCATGTGCGTGTATATGTGTGTGGATTTGTGCGAGAGGAAAAGAGCACGCGTGTGCGTACAAGCCACAAACCAATGCCGCTGAAGGCAGAAGGGTGTGATTTTCCAATGTGCATTCCGAAAATGTCAACCGGAAGGAACGAATCGCTCATCCCGATGATACCGACTCCCATCTTATTATCATCACCTGCCCAGGTGCACACAGGAAGACTTGCAGCAATCAATGTGAGATTGGAAGTGTGGCTTCTCCTCCTATTCTCGGCTTTCCAAGATTTCTGTCAATATTGATCATGACCATTGTGCGGCAAGGAAAGAGTGTGTGCAACCTCGAAAGTTGGAGAGCATAAACAACACGTTCTGTCTCTGCGTGAGGTATCACAAATAAATCCGGGCCAGAAACAGTAACTGGTACCCATTCATCTTCATCCCTGCAACGACACAATTCCTCTTCACCATCGTCATCCGACTTCACCAGCTCCAGCCACCTTCTTCGTTGAGTCAATTCCATCACTTGATCCTTCGCCTTTGTTTCCCTCATGCCTGCGTCCTTTCGTATGCAATCCGACATTTACTTCATCGACAACTCCACCATGGCGCCTCCACCTAGGCCTGTGACTCCATCCAGAGATCAATTCGTGACAGTCGAGACCAACTTGCTCCATTCAAAATCGTTTACTCGCAGCACCAAAGACATGTGGCCATTGGCATTCTATGGCAACGAAGCAGATCAACAGCTTCAACAATGTCCTCAGAAGAATTGCAATTCAACCAACAACAGTCGATCGCCAATCAATGATTCACAGACTTTCTTCATTGCATCGCACACGCCAAGGAAACGGTATCGTCGCGCTCGAAGACATGATAGCGTTGTTCAACCGCCTCAGACCCAATCTCGTCCGGTAGATGAATTCGAAAGCTGGTATGCAGACCAGACAACACCGTCGACCGCAAGTTCTGAGATCGATGTCGCAACCGTCACAGCGATACCCCAGAGCCCGATGGCTCATGAAGCCAAGGGCAGTCCCTCAAGTCCTAAATCATCGTCGCCTCGATGGTACAGACCACTACCAAGAAGTACAAGCTCAACATTTGGTCGCAGTCAAACTCCGAATGGTAGCCCACCAAAACTCTTGAATAGCGTTGCGAATGACAGTTTCCCGATCGTGACGCCGACTAAGCCTCAATTGAATCCTTACATCTTCGACAACAATCACCTCGCGCGCACCAGAAATCGTAGCAGCAGCGCTCTGCGGTCTCCGTCGCCTTTCTCGACATCATTCAGCTCCGGAGGTAACGAACCACCACAATTCTCGCTCGATCTACCCCTACCTGACTTCATTGCGCCGAGACCTGCGGTCAGGCAACGGTACGTTCCTGCTGGCGGTACCGCCAAACTAAAGGACCGTCCAGAAATCCCCAATTCTCAGTTGCCGCCTACCCTGGTCCACAACATAGCGCAAGTACCTCAACAGCAGGAGACGTTTGTTTCGACGCAGTCTTCCACCACTACAACTAGCAACGACAATTTCTTGACGATGTCGCCTGAAGACCATTCTATGGATCTTGACCCTCCGGCTTGCATCAGCGCATGGGACTCTAGTCCTGTCTCGAAGCAGCGGGGATCCAGCGAAAGTGACAAGATGATGATGATGATGTTCCGAGGCGAGAAGCGGGGCCGGACGGCGAGCTCAGCGAGTATGCGAGAGAGGATCAAGCGTGTCTTCTCAAGAAAGGCAAGCGAAGTGTTCGAACCAAACGTGGCGTCGTCGCAAGGCTCATACCAGGGTCTCAATGGAGTGTTTTCGTGACGCAACTCCGAGGTGGAGGGTGTTTAGCTTGCTGATTCCTGAAGGGCAAATGAAACAACAAGAGACAGAGAAGCGCGCTCTGCAGCAGTGATATACATCCACGCTCTATGTTTTTCACATCATCATAATTCACACCCTTTCGTCGCTCGTCCATTTGATGATGGAAACCCGAGTAATGGATTGCAAGGCGGCAGTCACAAGACGATATTCTCAATTGTATCTAGAAGGCCGGCCAGAGCACCGAAGCTCGTCACCGAAGACGCATGTCGGGCGTATGACAGGAGGATATAGCGTAAAGACGGATAACATATCATGACCGAGAGCATACCGGCGAATGGCCGACGCTGCTATGGAGCCGCCAGAGATGTGGCGTCAAGTGACTGCCTTCACGACTCACGGGGACCAATACTCAATTGTTGCACTATTGTTACAGTCAAAGCAGTATGGAAAAGACGGCTTCGACTTGTTGATAGTGTAGATATTTTGCTCTTCCGCGATTCTCGATAGGAAGAACAGAATTGGTGATTATCTGTGCCTCCTTGTTGATGAAAATCGCGGTTCAAAAGTATCAGTCAGAACTACCTAGACATGAGTGATTACAGCGAGATGAGACTGATGGTTAATCTTTGGCATTTGATAGAAAAGTACGTCGAAGCTGACATGCGGGCAGAACTGCCGCGTCTTCCGCAGCAGGTTTTGCAAGCATCCCAAATCTTCCAGTCGCCGTGACATAAGTAAAACAAAAACAGGAATCAAGAAATAACCCTCGAAGCCACAGTTTAAAACCAATTTTTCCTCCTCTCCCCAACAAGTTGAAAGAGAGGATAAGAAAAGAATCAGAGTTTGCTTTCTTCGCGTCCGTGTAGTAACAAGGAGGTTGTGCCGAACGCAGAGATCATTCCCCCATGAAGACCACATCCTTTCGCCCTTGAGCCCGGTGAAGAGAGAGCTTGGGGATGGGTGATCCGAGGGCGAAAAAATTTCATCTGCTACACGCTAAGCTTTCATCATCTGTGAGGGTGCAATTTCGTCAGTCGGAATGGTCATAACATCAAGCGCTTGAATTGTAAGGATGGAATGGGTAATGGGAGCTGCTTCGGCGAGTACGTACGTGGTTTTGACTAGGAGGGTCATCATTGAAGAAAGCCAAGTTCATTTGCATCGACGTTCGTGTAGTAATATCAGTCGCGGTGCGCGATAGTCACGTGAACGCGGGTAGAGAAAACTAGGCTGGAATTGACCGAACGCGTGCTACGCGTCTCGGCTCACTTGCTCTTCTTCTCAAGAGTGTCCGGATGCGGTAATATCATTCAGCACTCGTTGAATAGTGCCAGGCAAGTAATGATGATGCCTTAAGAAGATTCCGACCTGCCTCGATATTGGTACTTCGGTCCCAGCTTCACAACTGAAACGACGAGAGCGGATAAGTGCGTGATTGTCTCGAACATCTCACTATATTCAGCCTGGACACCTTGGTCCCAAGAGCACAGTCTTAATGATCCCGCGGCGTGTTGCGCGGGCATCTCGAGCATCATGGACTCCGAGAACGATTGCGTCACCTGCCCGGCTTGGTTTCGTTCATAGCCAGAAAACGAACTTCAGATACATACCTTTACAGCACTGTCGTTATCACTCCAAACATGGAGAACCCCCATCAAATAAGAGCTTCGCCGAGACGAGGAGTGTCATTGATGATTTCAAAAAATCCATGGTCTTTCCAGCCAGGACGCACGACTTCAACACGATTATTCATGACACTGCCAGCGTAGTAGGCCAACGGGTGACTCTTCACGGCTATCTAGGCACTCGTCGAGTTGCATCCAGGAGTTTGAAGTTCTTGAACTTGCATGACCCAAAGCAAGAAAACATCATTCAAGTCGTCGCAAACCTCACCCCTGCAGGAGATAAGACTGGCGAAACCTCCATAGCACTTCATGATATATCAGAACATAGCCCTCTGGCTATCACTGGGATCGTCGTAGCCCGGCCAACGAGCACTAAGCAACCTGGTACGAAGAAGAATGGCCCAGCGTCGCCGAACAATCCTACTGGAGCAGAGAGTGTCGCAAGCAAGGGGGTGGAGATACAACTCGAGAGCATCCATGTGCTGAATGAGTTCCCTCCTGATGTCATCATGTCAGCGGATACAGTCTTCCCGTCAGAACAGCGGCACTTGCAAATTCGCCGATCGAACGACATCCGCGACGCTCTTGCGTTCCGCAGCAAAGCCGCAGCCGTAGTCCGCAATACACTTCTGTCGACCGAAGATGAACCTCGCTGTGGATTCACGGAGATCGAGACTCCGCTCCTGTTCAAGTCGACGCCAGAAGGTGCGAGAGAATTTCTGGTCCCCACCCGGGTCCCGGGAATGGCATATGCTTTGCCCCAGAGCCCTCAGCAATACAAGCAAATTCTCATGGCAAGCGGTATCACTCGTTATATTCAGTTCGCGAAATGCTTTCGCGACGAAGATTTGCGCGCCGATCGTCAACCAGAGTTCACCCAAATTGATATGGAAATGGCCTTTGCTCGTGGTCAAGATGTCATGGATGTTGTCGAGACTTTGATCCGCGCGCTATGGGCGCAGTTGCTACATATCGACGTGCCTTCTAAATTTAGGCGCATGAAGTACGCAGAAGCAATGGGGCGGTACGGATCCGACAAGCCCGACTTACGTTTCGGCTCAGAAATCTCTAGGATAGAGTACATGCTTCCTGTTGACCTGGTCCGAAAGATCGGGCCCTTGGACGATCCCATCGTGGAGATCATGAAATTCTCTGTGTCAGATGATCCTTCCACGACCTTCCAATTTGTCGACTCTTTCATGCGTTCTCCTGAGGCCGTTCCTTTCATTCAGAACCCTCACGGTCAGCCGGGTATGTTCTTCTATGATTCCCGCAAACCTCTCCAGGGCCTACAGCCCTTTGGCTTCGAAGCTGCCGAACATCTTGAGGACCGTTTCGACTTGAAGGACGGCGACCTTCTCGTTCTCCAAGCACGACCCAATGCTAAATTCGCCGGCGGCTCCACGCCAATCGGCAATCTCCGCCTCGCGCTCCAGAAGGCCGCCATCAGACAAAATCTCCTTCCGCCCCTCTCCGGTTTCGAGTGGCTATGGATCATCGATTTCCCCCTCTTCACCCCCGTCGCCGCCGACGACGCCAGCGCAGATCCTGGGCAAGGCGGCACCGCCGGCTTCGCTGCAACCCACCATCCTTTCACCGCGCCGGCAACTCCCGAGGATGTGGATCTCCTTCTCACCGATCCGACCGCCTGTACTGCAGACCATTACGACCTGGTCGTGAACGGCGTCGAGCTCGGCGGTGGATCCCGCCGAATCCATTCCGCCGCTCTGCAGCGCTTGGTCCTGCGGGAAGTGCTCCGCGTGCCGGAGACGCGCATGGGCGATTTCGAACACCTCCTTGAGGTTCTCCGGAGTAGTGGATGCCCGCCACATGCAGGAATCGCGTTGGGATTCGATCGGTTGATCGCGGTCATGCTAGGGAAGGAGAGTGTAAGGGATGTCATCGCGTTCCCTAAAAGTGGAAGGGGAGAGGATGCGTTGGTTAGGAGTCCGTCGAGGATGACGGAGGAGCAGATGGAGACTTATCACTTGCGTGTGGTAGAAGCGGGAAAGAAGTGAAGGGTCATGTAAAAACAGAAGATGCGAAGATGTGAGTTAGTCGCGGAGCAATCTTGTATATTAGTCGTCTCTTTCATCATGGTTGCATTATCAACTAGACTAATTATCTCGTCGAGAAACAACCTCATCATCGCTCATCAGTGTCGTGGGTCATTCTCATTCTCATTCTCATAATCATATTCATCACAATCGTATCCTTGACCTCCCAAGTGACATAGTATCATTCTCACCGGTTCATCGTTTGCCCAAGCCCGTTTCTGGAACAGCTAGCGATCATTCATGATCCGCCGTGGCACCGAATGCGAGGCCGAGCGTCACATCTGTGCAACTCAATCAGGCACGCTTCCTAGTGCTGCGAGTGGCCTCGCGAACATCCTCGCGAATGTTGCCAATCACATTCTGCGCCTGCTCCTGCAAGTTCTGCGCCTGTCCCTGCAACTTGTCGCTCTCCTTGTTGATTGCCTCTCCAACTTTGCCCGCCAGCTCGGAACCGCCGTTCAAGTAGACCAAAGCGGCAACACCGAGCAGAGACAGGCCCACGTTGCCCCAGACGCCAATGTCCATGGCGATGGTGCGGTGCGTAGGGCGGCTCCAGTGCGAGAATGACCCGATGCCGGTAAAGATGTGGTGCAGGATCGTGATGAAGATGATGGCGGGGGCGTAAGGGCGTTTGGTGCGGGTGGCAGAGGGAGAGGTGGTGAAGGTGCTGTTCAGGGTAGAGCCGACGAGAGCGTTGGGCAACGGGACGGCGTCGGCGAGGACGAGAAGGAGGGCGGACAGGGCGAGCAGGCCGTAGGCGTCGACGCGGGTAGTGTAGAGCTCGAGATCTGTAACGAGATTAGGGAGCATGTCAGTGAGATTCCGATCGAGAAATTGCCATGATCTTTTCGTTGACATATGCAGAGCGAGTGAATTAAACAACCCGACTCATGAATGAACAACTTTTCTAGGCATTTCGAAGGCCAAAAATTTGAGCATGTGAGAAGTGAACACGCTCATGATCCTCTCCGTCTTCGAGTGAGCGCAGTGCTCTTTATGCGAATGCCGAGGACCACAAGCAGAGAAGCACAAGCACGGTATTTGGCAAGTAGTAGATACAACTCACCATTAGGCTCGGCCAATTGTGACGGCGGACGGAACCAGTCGCACACGGTGGCCGGGTCAATCACACGGACGATGCCGCGGAGAAAGTACCAGAAGCTTGTTCCTGTACGATCGAGAGCGATGAGCTATGATCAGTCTGCTGTGAACTCAAAAGGACGAGATACCGAAGATATAGGCATGGTATGGCTGGAATGGCAATTAGTTAGCATTCATTCCTGGGGTGGTCTCAAAACGACAATCTGTGCGATTGACGAAGCTGTAAGACTTACGTTGGCAAAGTCGAAGATAGACATGGCGGCAGGCTTCTCAAGCAGGCCGTGCTACTCTTGGTTGAACAATCGTGATCGGTTGGAATCTTCACTGTGACGATCGCAGAGCAAATGTTGGATGTGAGAGTTATGTGATAGAGATGTGAAAAACCGACGAGCAAGATGGGCTCTGTTCGTGATCGTGATGAGGTGGGTGGTGATTGTGAAGGAAATAGTTCTGAAAGCGAGAGAAAGGAAGATATACCCCGGCCTGTGGCCATTCACTTCCTGTATCTATCGCTGAGCGTGGGCAAGCATGTGCATGTGGGTTTGCGCCAATGTGACCCGTGAGCTCGTCAGACCGAGATTGCACGAATGAGGCCAAAGGTATGTACGTCATTTCGCGGTTGTGCAGGTGTGTTCAATGCTTGCGCCGGGCAGCTTTCGTGCGCAGCCAAGTGAATTTGCTGATCACACACACATTGACACACAGTACAGCACGTACGGTGAACAAGTGCTGCTGTACCTACATCACACTTGCATACCTAGTAAGTATGTATGCAGGTCGATATTCGCGGAGGAAGCTCGAGGTTGGCCGCCAATCTTCGCCTGTTTTGTTGGGGAAAGCTCCAAGCTCTCACTTCCCGAGCTCCGAGCGTGACAACGGCGATAATAAGAGCGCTTCAATGGTCTTGTTCCTCGCACGTGAGACCACGAACCGCCCCCTACAGAGTCCGATTCTTGTTCTATGAAAGTTATACCGAGGCAAGAGGACTGATTTCGAATCTGTATATCCTCAGTCAAGTCGACTGAGGGATTATCGCCCAGCAGTCGCTTCGTGGACAGGCATGACACTGTGTCCGCGGTGCCAGCGCATTTGGGAAATGAGCGAATTCGCGTGTGCTTATGACGACACATGAAGGCAGGGCTTTCGGAACATCACGAATGAACTCGGTAACGACATCCGGAGTCTTGTCAACGCTGAACACCAGTTGATCGACACGAAGATACAGCTGATGCGGCGATGCCCTCAGGTACGTGGCGAACAAATAGACCTTCGACCGGCCGCATGTTCGCGATGTGAGTCAAAGTCCGAGTCTTACATTTTCACAACATTTCTTCCATTGTAGGCTGTAGCTATTCTTTCAAAACGAGTGTATAATATCGTCTACCCTGCCATCGCAACTCCTCCATGCATCAGCATGCGCAAATCAAAATTTGTCTGCTTGCCGTTCTTGACCCAGACTACCCTGCCCGTCACTTGCTGAAAGCATCGAGCGCATCGATCATGAGCCACGGCGACTCAGTTCTCCGGCATTCACTCCTCGTCAATATCGGCATCATCGTCATCGTCCTCATCCGCTTCGTGACCTGCTTCGTCGCCTTCTCGGAATTCCACAGTGTCCCCATCGACGCTGTCCCTAGCGCCCTCGTCAATCCACTTTTGGAAAGGGTCTAATTGGACCTTCTCCTTCGGGACCTTCGGAGCCTCCGGGTCCTCTGGCTCGACCCAATCGCCATCACGCTGCATGCGCTCTTTATATTTGCGGCCGGTGAAGGTGACGGGATCGATGAGGCCCGGACATTCGATCGTGAAGGCCTTGATAAAACCGGTCCACGTATTCGCTTTCTTGCCGGTGCTGCCTACCGTCGACCACTTCCACGAGCGGAAACAAGTGCCGATGCCACTTTCGTTGTCGGGGTAATCTTCGTCGACGGAGAACTGTTGCATACGGCGTGATCAGCCGAGACAATTCAAATGGTGCTGAATTGGGAAGGCGAGAGGGAAACTTACCGGATAGGCTGTCATGCGCCTCTTGGAATGGCACACCCGGTTGCGGTACGTGACCATCTTGCACTTTGCATCGCGCTCCGGTCCAGCTGCCGCGCCCCAGGTCATCTCCGACAGACCATCTTGGACGTTTACGCTCCCGAATTTGTTAGGGGTCGGGAACTCAAAGCACACGGGCTCGGCAGTCGCCTCGATGACCACGGGATCCAAGACTGGACCCTGGCAATCATATGTCATGTAGCGCTGGATCAACAGGGTGATGTTGGGCAGACGCGGATCAACGGGCTCGGCGATAGGCTCGGGGAGGTGCTTCTTCTTGCGCTTTTTCTCGGCCTTCTTGAAGGCCTTTTTGTCGCGGTGTTGTTCCTTCTTCAGGTTCTTGTAGAACTCCTCGTGCGTTTGCTTCTTATCGCCGCGGCGTGAGAGATGCTCGACGAGGACATAATCGGTCGCATTGTCTTGAGCTACCTCTGGCAGGAGTGACAGGGGAGTACCGATGACCATTGAGCTGGAAAACCCCACGAGGAGAAAGGGGGCAAAGCCCAAGACGACGGACGTAACCTTCATGATTTTGTTCGAGATTACTCACAAGTGAGGTGAAGTGAGGCGTGTGAGAGTTGTGATGTGGGAGTTGTGATGAGAGAGTTGTGATATCATCATTCTCAAGTGGAAAAGGACCTCTTATAGCATGATTTTTCACCGATTCTAGGTCTTTTTCCATTCGAGTTAACATGTAATTTCAATTTTGGCTATGATTGGATTTGCTCCTCGACAATGCAAAGTGGAATCTAGGCTCCGTCTCGTACCAAAGATTTCCAGAGGCTTTGCTTCACATCTCTGGTCCAGCATGAGAGCGGATCAAGGCTGTTCCGCTTTTTCTTATCGACTTTGCAAAGTGCGCGCAGCAGCACCGACCCTGAATCGGTGGTGGGCGTCGCGATTGCGGTGTATCGAGCCGTGAAATTACTGCGCCGGCAAGTCGTCCCGAATTCAGCCCAGCCGATTCGTGATACCCCTGAATTGGCCTAGCGCTTGAAATGTGATGATAGACTTTGCTATGTCATATCGAGCTCAGATGGACAAGTTGTAGAGGTCACTCTCGCGTCTTCTTGTTCAATCGTCGCTCTCTGCCGCGGCTCCCTAGTCATTTCACGAAGGTACGACTCTCGGCAGTCTTGAGGCGCAATCATCCGTCCTGCTTGGGACGTCGAGGACGCTGCGCAACATCTGAGCGATACACACCCAGCCCAAGTTCCCGTCTAGAATTTGGTAAGTCTGGCTCTGATGAGCGACGCGTACCAGCGCATGCTTCTGACCTTCGAGTTCATGAGGTGTCGCATGTTGCGAAGCATAATTTATCTGCGCACTTCATAATCGCACGTAGGCCATGGCTGGAGGGTCGAACCGTATGGTAGCCGGTAAGGGAATGAGATGATGCTCTCTAGAATGAGCTTCTTCACTCCTCTTCGTCGTCCCATTCTTCAGGTAAAATGTCTTCCTCGCCAAATATTCCGCTCCACACGCGTCCAAGCAGTCCCTTCTTGAGCACCATCGCCAGTACCAGTACAATGGGCAATTGCCACACGCTGGCCCAGAACAGAGCTCTCGCGCTTCCCTTCTCACCATTCAGTCGCCAAAATCGCCATGCCTCCTTGGCCATCCAGCCGTTCGCACCAGCACTCAGCATCGCGAAAGCCGGGTCCGTCACACCGGTCCAGCTCAACGCGGCACAGATAGGGAACATGGCAATGCTGTATCGCAAGCTGACTCGCGCTGCCATGGGTATATTGGTCGAAGTCAGCATTCGATATCCTGCACCAGCGTACTCATGTCGCACTGCGTGAGACAAAGCGAAGAAATGAGGGAATTGCCATGCGAAAAGCAAAGCTGCGAGCAGCCAACCCCCTGTTGCAGCTGGAGTGAAGAGAAGCTCGGAGGACTCGGCGACGAGGCTCGACAAGAAGCCTCCATCGCTGCTGTTTGCTTGAGGGACACTGGTCACGTATTGGCTGCCCGCCGCGCACCAACCCATCAAAGGCGGAATGGCTCCAACTATGGCACCCACCCAGGTGTTGACGGGATGGATGCGCTTCAGCGGAGTATAGGCAAAAGCATACAGAGCGATGTTCGTTGCACCGAGGAGTGCAGTCGTTGGATTGACGCCATACCACAGAAGGACAGTGCCTGCAGCACCAGTGGCTGCAGCGAAAATGAGGGCAGCTCGTGAGCTCACGAGACCGCGGACCAGGGGGCGATTACGTGTGCGGCTCATTTTCGCATCATGTTGAGGCTCAAAGAGCATGTTCAGAGTGTTGGCGGATGCAATCGCGAGGAATGTGCCCGTTGTAAGGAAAAGGAGTGTGAGCGTGCTCAAAGATGGCGCCGAAGTCACAGTCGTACTGAGTAAAGCTGGCACCGGGTATATTGAGTAAGAAGCAGTCGTTGTGAGAACAATAAGAAATGCAAGGCGAGGTTTCGTCAGTGCTAGATAGCTCGAAAAGACACGACGAAAAGATTTTGCAGGCGCGGCGGCCGCGTCTTGTGATAGTGTCGAGGATGCGTCTGGCGGGAGTTGCTTCTCGCCTCCGGATGATTCTGTACCCGCCGCAGTCATATTCGCTGCCGCCGCAGCTTCATCCTTTAGTCGTTTCCGTCTTCGATGTGGGGCCTCTTCTGTTTCATCTTGTGCATCGACCGATGTACGTCCCGCTGCTGTTGAGATGTTCCTTCGAATGCCCGCCTCTTCTACGGATGCCGCCGCGGCTCCGGGCACCTGTCCGCTTCGCGATCTGTTGCTCTCTGGCGAAGCCTTTCTCCCGTGATATGCATTTGCCCAGAAGAATCTCCGATCAACCTCATCTTCCCTCGGTGTAGCTATGGCGCTGGCCTGAGCCCTTCCAGCAACATGATATGATCGTCTTTGTTGCCATGAGAATTGTTGAGAAGATTGTGAGCGAAGGAGCTGTGGCGATCGCAGATGATATCCGGCGGTATTGCTGCTGCTCTTCCGAATGGACGTTCGAGCACAGCGGGAGCAGAGAAATGCCGATTCCAGTAACATGAGAGGACAGGGAGTCTTGAGTAACGTCGAAGGTACCCGCATCGACATATTGAACAATCGAACGAAAGACAAGAGACGTGCAGATCTGCTAAAATGATATGTGCATTGGTCATGTATCCATCACTTGGTCAAGTGATATTTAATCTGCCTGTAGGTAGGTCATGGCCAGAACCTCCGAGTTCCCAATGGTCGGCCGGCGTTCTTGACAGTCGTGAAATCATCGAGGCTGCACGAGTCATGCACTTTGCGGACATTTCCTAATTGAGATGTACAGTGCGGACGTCAGATGCAACACTCAAACCTCGGATCTATTTAATATGTTGCTATACCGTGCACGCGGAATATAATTAATCGGAAATGGGATTTTGATGATTTCACGGTCTCGTAGTTAGGTATGATATTGATCAAAGCATATTTTGACAAAGCTTGTGACGTGAAGCGGCTATTTGAAATGTCCACCAAGTCCGTTCCTATCGCCATGATCTAGCGCTTCAATTCGACAGAACACGTTGGCCAAGTAAATGGGACGTATTCTTACCTGACTGCGGCGCCTATCACGGCAGCATACCTATCAAGAACTGCTCGAAAGCAGTTTCTCGGATCGTCAAAACAATACAGAGCTTGTTCCGAGCATATCACTTCCTAAGTGTTTCCCGTCGGTCCCCCGAAGTAGAGACGCGGGCAAAATCACAAGCAGTAGTAGAGCGGCATACCAGAAGAACTTCATTGATCCCCCACGATGCATTGGCTATGAGCCGTTCTCACATCATCAGAGTTTTCAAATTGTCGTTCCGCGTTCTGTTGCTCTCTGCGGGTCTCATTTTGAAGAGAAGCCTCCACGGCGGAGGCGTAACGTATGTTGGGGCTTTCTCAAGTATCGATGGTCGATCAGAGAATGCGGTATGGTCGGAGTCCGTGTTGTTGAAGACATCCGACGCCTGCGCGACTATAATAATAGCCGCCGGCGGTTGAGGTATTGTGTTGTATTCGTAAGAGTTGAGTATTTATATCGTTCAAACATATCGTGATGACCTGCGACATTCGCATTTCGGTCCAGACTCATCCACGATTGTTGGCTGTGTTTGGTTGTGAGAGACTCATTTGTCCAAATGAATCGAAATTGTCGTAAGATGTTGGGTACAATAGCAGGCGTAAGAATGATCAGGGATCATCATTGCGCAAGTATGAGATACAGAATTCTTGTCCAAGGATTCAACAAAGTCCAAGACTCTGTCGAAGGTGAGGAAACCTCTGTACAGGTTAAGAGTGAACTCGAGCCGAGAAAAAAAAACAAGAAAGAAAGCTAAAATTCAGGTCGGCTTCGCAGATTGTGCGACAAGCCATCCCAAGGCAAGGGTTGGTGAAAGTCTCAGTTTAGAGACTATCAGACCCGTAATGTACCAAAATCATTTGGTTGTAAAGAAAATGTAGTTGAATTAGTAACGCCACCCATGTCAATCCAGCATGTCTTCCGTCAGCACTTGACTTGCGAAGACTGGTGCCCAGTGTCGTTTTTGAAGTAAAAAAGTTGTGAAAAGTATCGTAATCAGCGGAGGATAGTGGTGATAGTGGTCGAGAACTCGGAGGTATAGCAGCATCTCCGGTCGATCGGATTTGTGTTGGAAAAGTCATCATGGCTAGTTCGTCAGAAATCGGACGGTCAGGCCGGGGTATCATTTTTGAAAAGGAGTAGACTCGATCCAGTCATCTCAGATCGCACGGCTCGAGACGTGAGTGATATCGGTGGAGGGAGAGGGTGATAATCCGGGGAAGACGCCATGAACGTAAAAGCAAAAACAAAAAGCAACGCGATGGGATGGGATAAGTTGTGCTTTCAGCACAGTAGGCCCGGGTTACATCGAACCGAGACTCATGAGAGCCATCGCAGCACGCTCTTCCGGCGTGGAAGACAACAGTCTTCCGGCTCGCTGTGGCACAGAGGACGAGTGCAGGCCACGCTGCTGGCGGTCATGATGCGCAGCTGATGAGCGGCGGGTAGCCCAATCGCGTTGGGAGAGAGAATGGGAGGCAGGGCCTCCGCCGACGGTCCGAATGGCAATGCCGCGGGTTGTCAACAGGTTGGGAGTGGGCAATGAAGCCTTCCGCAACGCGTCGATACCCTCAGCTGCCCAGGTATCGTCGTCGGTGTCCGAATTAGAGTCAGCGTCGTTGTCGCTGTCGGAGGAGACCTGTGATGGGTCCCGCCCATCCAAGGACATACGTTCGGCGGCTTCCTCGAGCACATCCATGTCCATATCCACGTCGCGATCGCCGTTCGACTCATCCTCTTCGAGGAGACTGGAAGCCGTCCAGCTGCCGCCAGAGTGGTGTTCGCGTCGACGTCGGGCGCTCTGGTTTTTGCGCACACCGCGAGACATGTGCACTGCGGAGTCGGGTCGTGAACCGGGCTCACTATTGCGCTCAGGAGAATAGTTGTCCTCGACGAAGGAGCCGACGCCGGAGTCGAGCGGCGAGCTACCTTTGACGTGTGCGTGCCATTTGCCCCAGCCAATCTTGTCAAAAGCAATCTCGCCCGCAAGCCCGCCACCTGACGGCTTCTCCAGCGCCGCGACAACGATGCGACGAGCCTTCGCAGGAGGAATGCGCGAAAAGCCCGGGACCATTTGAGTAAGTTCGTATAAGACATCGCGGATGGGGATGGCGCCCTGACCGAGCATGATCTTCGGAAGATGATGTTTGGCCAACATGGCGGGCGTGATGGTGATGGACTCGTCCAGGCTGGAGAGTGCGCCGACGCTCAGTGGAATGCCGCCATTGTGGCGAGCATCCTGGTGACGCAGAGAATGATCGTCATCCAATCCGGACCCTACGCTATGCTCCCGATCGATAGTCATGGGAGGTGGCGACATGGCTCCCTCCTGCCAAGAGTGGGCAAACAACTCTGGCGACATGGAGTTGGGCAGAGAGAGAAGCGCATCAGCAGCAGCCTCGTAGGCAGCAGTGCCGGTGTGGTCCATAGCGGGATCCCGTATGCGAGGAATGGCGACGAAACGGGTAGGCGCAGTGGCAGATGCCATCGCAAAGCTGGATGTAGAGGCCATGGGAAGGGATGGGTTCAAGTGGAAGCTTTCCTGCAGGTTCACGCAGTATGAGTCAGCGAAACTCCGGATATGCAGAACTCCACGACACAACCACTTGATCAAACACAGACAGCGGGAATATGAGGCGCAAGACAATGCGACTTACTTGACGATGCAAGAAAGCTGATTCGCGTCGATATACGTCAAACGCGACGATGATGCCGGTCCGTAGGCGAATGCGGAGTTTAGAGTGGTGACAACGGGCGTCGGGGAAGCAAGGTGTGGCGGAATGCGTTGGCGTCGCAAAAGGCGAAGAAAGTAACAACAGCGATATTGCCGTCAAGTTGATCGAGGGAAGATGTTTCGAGGTTGGAGATGGAGAGAAGTAAAAGTGCGGTCTCGGTGATGAAGCGCTCGCTCGCTGACAGAGTGGGCAGTTGTGTGGTGTGTGTGTGACGGCGGAGAACACTTGGGCAGGCAGTACGATAGGTAATAATAGCATGTAATGAGAGTGGTGATGGTGGCCTTGCGCGATGACTCCCTCGCTCTCTCTCTCCTTCCACTGTAGACAGTTGAAGGCAGGCGTGTTCTGGGCGAAGACTTGATTGGTTCGCCTGGTTGTCAACAGCAGAGTACCCGAACCTTGAACTCACGATCAGTGCACCACACTCGATAGATCCTCATTGTTTCTGCAATCGAATGACCCGTCCCAAGACTACTTCTATCCCGACTATTATCGTTACAAGATGCCCTCATCCAGCTCTTTCATCAACCTGTCCCGCAAGCACAAGATAAGAGATTATCAGACAATGTAGTCGCATGCCATGTACAATACACTGTGCCGGTGATGGATGCGCAAGTCAGCTTGGACTATGAGAGGCACCAGCACCGCTCGGGGGAAAGAGGGCGGCGTGTGGGCGAACTTCGAGTGCCGCATGAAAGCGGACAGATAGGCCGAGCCGTTGCGCGCTCTCGAGGACTGTGCTGTGAAGGACCAAGTTGAGCGATGATTGCATCCATTTCCCGATCTACTCCGTTGTCTCGGTGCCAACCAATTGATGCGACGATTGTCTCTGCCCTTCTCGGATTCCGAGAGGCCCTCCGAATTGTTAGTCCATCTGCTCACAGGATCTACATAGCGGATGTCCAAATGAACCACGAACATCTCCATTCGTGGATGGGCCAATTTGGATCGTTCCGATGGACACCAGGGCGTTCATGTTCGTAGACGATTTCGTCACATCAAAGACGTAGAACAAAGCAATGACGGGGCACAGAGATGATCGCTCCATTAGCCAAGCTTTGAGCCTTGCCGAACGCGTCTTTGTCTCACTTTATCCACAGGATAACGACCACATGGCATTCTCATTCGCGATGATTCAGACTGAGAAGACGCTTGTCTCGGCAAGCTCCACTATAAAGGCTGATCTACACAGCCGACAGGCAGGCCCATCAACTGAATTCGTCGGAATCAAGGGTCCTTCGCGATTTCGTTCATCTCGTGATAGATATTCATATGTGGGAGCAATAGCACGTAGGCATCAAGTATTAGTGACTTCTTATCAGTGGTGACCTCGTGAATAGATGCGATAGAGCCCGCGGACATGAGAAACAGTCAGGATCCAAAATGGGAAGGGAACCCCACGGGCCTTTGCTCGCTCAAGCCACGACAGCCAACAGGCCATAGCATCGTCAGCCACACGGATGATCCAGACACCTCGTGCTCCCGTCGCACGGGGCAAGACATCGTCGTTTACGTAGCGCGGGCAGGTCATGTGCAACTCGGAATGCAAAGCACTATATCCACCTGGGCATATAGGACATCATCTGTCGTCATCACCATCAATCGAGTCATCGCCTGCTTCTGAATAGAGCCAAGACGACGTTTCCAAGGTTGTCATTTGCTTGGAATGTGGCAGAGGTGAGATATGCACCCCCGCTGTGGCACTCCGTCCACGCCTGGGTAGCCCTTATCGTGACATCCGCATGGTCCGATCACGGGCCTCAATTTGTTGTATATACTATCGTCCGGAGCGCTTTTCGCGAAGTCCCGCTGAGCGCTCCTCGCGGTTCGACGTATTCCGCGATCGTGATCCGTAAGACAAGTTTGATTGACCTTCTAACGGTCACGAAGAGGGTCAGTGCTCGTTCGATCACCCATCCAGAATAGATTCGTTCCTGCAATTCTAGCGACTGGTTAGATGAATCCGGAGTCCGCCTGTTGTGCTGTGCTATACAGCACATCGTGATCCGTGGACATACATATTGTACCTACCTAGGTAGGCATGTGGTTGGGAATAAAGCGAGCAGAGCGGGCGGGTTCCAAGGTTGGTCGCGCCCTGACTTCTCATGCACGACATCCGTCGGTGCCTCTGCAAGCCCGCCCTCCCCGCTCTTTCTGTACGTGTGTCGATCTCCTACTGCTTTATGTCTCCACGCAGTGATACTGCTCCTCGGGATATTGGTCCTGCAGCTGCGCCTCTGCAGACACGCATCTGAAAGGGACACGTCGATGCCAAATGCTAGAATCTCGGGGCTGCTTTCCTCGTAAATTGCCGATTTCGCCGAAACACGAGCAGCCTTGGGATTATTGAAATGCAGCGAACATGCTTGCTCCACAGGCCAGCTGCCAGGTCTGCGATAGCTGCTCACATACCTAGGTAACCATAGAGGCCGAATGAAAGCCCGTCGGACTTTACACATGCATCCAAGCCGCAGTATGCTGCAGCCATGGGAGCACACGTCTGTGTAGCTGCAGCGCTTCTTGATCGTCAACCAGAACGCATAATTCAAATCGTGAAGCTCACGAATACACTTTCGCCAGCCAATCATCTCTGCACAGAGGTCAGATGCTGCTTCACATTCGTTCGATCCACGGACGTCTCCTCTCCTCTCCTCGGCTGCTTCTCAATCTCCACGTCTCCAGCAGTTTACCTGCATGTATCACTCTTCGCGATTCCAACTTTGTCATGAGATGTACAGTGCTGCGAAAAGTGCACCGTGCCGTACATCACACACATTAGCGACGACTGGCGCTACTGTGCCATGTCTAGCACGTAGTGCGGGGCATCGCGACAGCCGTTCAAAAGCCCACGTTGCTGCACCGCGCTCTCCCACAGGCACCGCCGCGTCGGCGTCGTCGCCGGAGCCCGGGAACGAGCGCGCACATAACGTTCGAATCAGTCCTGTGATTCGATCATGAACAAATAAAGTCAGAAACAAGATGGAAAGACTATGCCGCATTGCCGGCGATGAACGACGTCAGGGCTTTCGATGCGTGATCTTTTGCAATGTTCTGACTGGCTCACAAGTCTAGTTGGAATCAATAGAGCAGCAGGGACAAGGCCCGCTTTCCAGCATTGAGCGCTGGGGGAAATGACGATCCTCAATTGATAACATGCTGCATCGTGGGCATTGCTTTGATCTGATTGCACCATGAGACTGATTTCGACCTTGCAGTGACGCATGAGATTCGTCGGGAAATCTTGGCAAACGCACTCGAGTTGCTTGCATGTTGACACGACGGACAGAACTTACGAGATATGGTTTGTGGTCATGGACATGCTCCAGTGCAAACGTGGTCCAATGCTTCGCTGGTATGTATCATGCCATGCTGCAGGGCCCACATGGTGGGACTACGTCGTGGGCAACGAGCGTGAATTTATCGTGGGTTGCAACATTCAATTCCTGCACATTGAATTCATCATTGTGATGAGTGCCATCCGTGCTCCCTGTTGCGATATTGGCACAGGATGTAGACTCTCGTACTATAACCTGGTGGGGACCTCTCAACATATGGGAGCAGGATATGTGGCGGGATGACGACAAAATGATCTGGACCCACGCGGAGGAAGCCCAAGGAAGACCCACGCATGATCAGTCACAGACATTATCACATCGAACTCGCCCACATCGCGAGTGCGGATTCGCGTCACTGGTGTCGACGAGCTCCAGTCCAAATGTCGAGTCCACTCAACAAGCTCAACGTGGCGTGCATCTGCAATTTGTCGAGTACAGCTCATCCTGTTCTAAGTATGGACAAAGGGAGAGATACACGAGGCGTACACAAGCCAGGCGCGGGCGCTCTTTCCGCTTGATATTCATGTCATCTGTGTCACAGTATTGTCGGTCCGATTGAGTAATCGGTGGTGATATGGAGCACAGGATCACCAACAATACTGAGATGCACGACACGTTTGATGCCACTGGCAAAACCTCAGGCCACTCCAGCTTGAGGCTCCCTATATTGTGATATCAATTCGCATGGTGCAGTAGCTGTGGATACACCATCATCTAATTTCCCCGACGAAGTGACTGATAGAAGAAATTGATTTGCACAACTTGGTTCGTAGGGATATCTAGCTCTCATAGGTAATTCTACAGCACAAATTATGAGTATAAATTCGTTAGTTGCCAAACTTCTCGTTCCAAAACCAAATCTCTCTTCCTCCGTCTGCGTATCGCCCGACTTCACGTCTCAAACCCTGGCAGAGGCTTTTCGGCCCACAGACGACAACCGCGACACGTTGTGGCAGCTCATGACTCTCGTTAGGGGCAAATATTTGATCGACTGCTTGACTGAGATTTGGGCGACCAGTACGTAAGGTCAACGCCGCAAATCTCTCCTTCTGGATGGTGGTGCTCCGGACATCAGATCCAGTCGCGAGCTCCTCGGCATTTAGGAGAATCTTGCGTTCCTCTAGTTCAATGGCATCGCTACCTTCTCGGAGATTGTTGTTGTTTGAAGTACTGGTCCGAATCTTGCGCTTCTTGCTCTCAATCGTCTTGTCAATACACTCATCGCGACTGTCGCCACTGCTTGAGCCTGTGATGTGGACGACCAGACGCTCGGCGAATCCTTCCAGACGACGTCTCTCGTGTGGAAGAGCCCATGAAAGATCTTCCGCTCGCCGAGCAACCCATAAGAAAGTCACCTGCTGTCGGCGGCGGCTGCCTTTGCTTGGACTCAACTCCCCCAGAAGTTGCTCATAGAGCGGTGAACAGAATGTCCCTCCAATCCCCCCAGCCACGAACAGCACACGGTCATACTGCAGTAGCCGATCCCCATGTAGCATGTCGCCATAAGGTCCTTCCAGATGGATGAGGTGCTCGATGTCTGGTCGCAAGGCACTCAGCGCCCTTGTTTGGCCACCAAGGATCCGTGCGACGAATTTCAGCTCGACCTGCTCTGCAGCTTGCCTCTTCGTACGTGCAGCGGGCCCTGCTTTCGCAGCGGTCGGTATCCGAGCCAATGTGAAGGGATTGCTGCGTGCCCACGGAAGTATGAATCGACCTGGTTTCGTTGAGACATAGCCATAATTTCCCGGACGCCAAGACGTGAAGCGTGCACCAGCGGATGGAATGGCAATATCGACGAGTTTGTCCGAGCCTGGTACTGGTGTAATACGAGCGGAGACTCGTTGTGTAGCCAGAGCACGCAGTACCTGGTTGGCCATATACACAGCCAGGCTCTGGTAGAGATAGATCCGGATGTGATGGACATGAATCCACAAAGCAGGAAACCCCAAAAATGCGAGGGTGACGTGAAGAATGTAGAAAAGACGGTAGTTTCTATGTCGAACCCAGCCAAGTGCAGTCGTGCCCAGGACTGCAAAGCTGACGAAGGCTGCATAGCCGGTGAGGATGTAAGTCTGTGTCAACTTTGTGGCAAGGAGTGAAGAAAGTACGAAGAAATTTGTGTAGAGTGCTACATGTGCGGCAAAGAAGAGGATGATGATTCGGCCAAGTAGTTGGTGAAGTGTCAATAAAGTCTCATATGAGGTTTGTGTCAAGAGCTGGAGAGGCGAATATGGAGTCTTCAATGGAAGTAGATAGTGCAGCGGCATTTGTGATGCCGCGACAATCCCAAGGCGTTTGGTGAGGTGAAGATAATCTAGCAGGCCCAATATCAGCAACACAATCGAACCAATCTCACTCTCATAGCTTGGAATTTAACCACTTCGTAATATGTCTCAACGCCCTGTCGGCACTGAACTCACCATCTCCGGTCTGTGCAAAACTTAGGATGAGTAGCCAGACAGCCCAACACGCTGCTGCTAGCAGCGCGCCGCGAGAGCTCCCTACCCATGCTACCTCTTCACTGCTCCACCACACGAAGTTGTTCCAGCTCCCAGCGACGGACATTCTTTGGCTGTTCGATCTAGATACGCCATCGTCCTTCTGGGACGACGGCTCGGACGATAGAGTCCCGCTTTGCGACTGCGCGACAGCAGCATATCGCGGCGGCTTGCCAGTGTGGTACTTGCGATTGATAAATTTCACTAGTAAGACGGTTTGAACGACGATCAGCGGGATGATGGCGGACCATTGGGCAATGGTAGCGTATAGGTCGAGAAGCTGTCGACGCTGGGCCAGCCCGTCGGCATCGAGCGTGACAAAATGATACATGTCGATTGTACTGCCAGCGACAGTATTGAAGTATTGAAAGAAAGTATCTTCAAACAGAAACCGTCCAGGGGAAATTCTGTGGGATCTACTTTTGTTCGATGCGCGGCATCGCCGCTGTCAGGTCACTCTCACAGCGCTGGAGAACGTGCTTGTTTTGAGGTTTTAATATCTTGTCATGTGTAGTATATTCTGCGATTGTAGAACAGCATCTCTATACAGACTCGCCAACTTGAAGTGTTCACCGATTTGGAGATTTGTGATCCATTTCGGAGGGTTGTCAATCGTGTCGCCGGCGTGCCGCTTACGGTCCCCGATTCAAGGGCTGACGTTCTCCTCTGAGGTCCCCGGGTCAGCTTTAATCGCTGACGTAATCCATCTCCTCTTTGGGCATTAACGTCAAACACCAGAGCGCGGTCCACCCCACGGCGTGGTCCACGAATTACGTGTCTACCACCTTTAACACTGATTATCTCAACCAATACTTAATAGATTGCTTTGAGACTTAAATGTGTTATATAACAATACTATTCAATCTACTGTACAGTGTTTGAAGGTGTGAGCAAAGGAACCACACTTGCTACACCGACTAGCACGCTTTGGAGCCCTTGGCATCTGCTCCCTTATTTGTGCTTCAACCTCCTCTTGCTCAACTATCCCTTGGATCTGAGAGGCTGACAGGGCAGGATCTAATGTGATTGCTTTCCTCTTCCTGGATTTGCGTTCA